CACCGCTCAGACGGTCCAGGAGGAGGACTGCGGGGGGGACAATTCCTCCAGTGGCGTAGCACCCACGATAATTTACAATATTACAACTCGGACTCCAAAGTTCTCGTGTAATAACATTACCAATTTTTTTTAAATAGATAGATCACTTTGTATAGATAAAAATTTGATAAATACTTCTTAGAAGTGCATTAAAACAGATTTTGTATAAATTTTTGAGCGCCTCGAAAAAATGAATTTTTCGAAAACGGTCCACGTAGACTTTTTTTTTGTTTAACAGAAATATATACAAAAATTTGCTATGATTTTTTACGCGGCCGGACGACGATTGTTTTTCTCGATAAATAATTAGATCATCTTTTTTTGGGAGTTTTTGATTTTTCTCTCAACGCCACGAGCAAGGGACTCTCGAACGAATCCCAGGTTGACTACGCCAGTGAATCGGACGGCCAGGAAAGCGGCGCGGTGTTTTTTATCGAGTGACTGCAGAGTTGAGAGTGAGTCGAGTCGGAGCGGGTCTAGACGTCCAGGCGTCTGTGTCCTCTTTGCCTCCTTATAGCCAGCTACCGCCTTACGAGAGCTGCTCTTACCCCACTCTACCTAATCAGCGCACTTCCCCTGTCCGCTTTTAATCTTTCTCAGATATGAAAACACGCGAAGATGGCTCTAGGCCGAGTGAGCTTACCCCGCGTGGACAAAGAAGAAATGCGAAAAAGAATGTCAGGTCAATAAATATACAAGCCAGCCAGAGATCATCAGAGAAGATTCAAGTTATTCATGACGGCAGACTGGCAACGGGCAGACGGCCGCACGGCCCGGTAATAAGAGTTTCGATGGCAGCGACAGACAGTGGTGGAAGAGGGAAGAGGGCCCAAAAAGGGACATAGGGGGCTGGACGTAAACAGGTGGCCAGAAAGGAGGACATGTCGGTACTGCGATAGGGTGCAGGGAAGAGAGAGACAGAGAGCTTCGTGCCCGTCCGATGCGTGCAATGCAATTTCCCGGGGGCCCATCCGTCCTCGGTCAGTGCGGTGCGGTCGTGCATGCCACTTATGCCATTGTTTCCCTTCGATTCAGCCCTTTGCTCTGGCATACGAAAGTGCACGTTCTCTGCTATAGGAACGGTATAGGGAGACACTGCGCCGCGTGCTGCAGTCGGGAGCCTATAAAGGGTGTCGGCTACCGACTCGCTCAGACGTCCGGTCTAAAAGCAACTTATCAAAAATTGCACCCGGTGCCTGGGTCCCAGCCAGGTTTCTCGCGAGTTCCCACCTTGTTGAAATGTGAACTCGCCTTTATGACTTCTAACGTCTTTCAGACGGCTGGGAAGCACGACGCCTCCTTCCTTCGTCTCTACCGTCGCTTCTAGCAGGTATGCAGTTACGGAGTGCATCGGACAGCGATTCAAGTTTGAAAAATAAATAATGATTGATTACAGGTAATAAGAGATTTCTGACGTATAAATTACAAGGATATATAAATCGCATAGACACAGGATACAGCGGCCATTTTCAGTCCTGAAAAGGGACTCGTGAAAGTTTCGTTTTACGGGGGCGACGCCGGTGCATCCAGGCGTCGCGCGTGGCGTTGGAACGAGGGGTGGCTGGCTGGTAGGCTGGCTGGCTGGCTGGCTGGCTGGCTGGCTGGCTGGCTGGCTGTTGAAGCGGGGAGAGCGAGGGGTTTGAGGGAGATACCTCGTGACGTCATCTCCCCCTGTCTCTACGTCCGTTCGACAGTCTGTCCGGTTTCTGCACCACCCCCGGCACCCCCGCGCCCGTCGAGAACCCCGACGCCAAAGGGGGATGCTACGTAACATTTCAATGTCACGGCCGACTCAGACGCCTGTCTACATCGCGGTACCTACGCGTTCTCTGCTTCCCTCCTTCCCTCTTCGACCCACCCCATTTCCCTTGCTCCCTTTATACCGTCCTACCGTCTCGTTGAATCGCACTTTCTCGCAAGGGATGCCCCTTCCGCTCACCCCTCGGTCGAGATGCTTTTCCTAAGGCTCGGTTTACGCACAGACTGCAAAAAATGTGCTTGGGAATTATCAGACGGTTAGAAATAGCAGTGCCACGTGAAATCGATATGGGCTACCTTAAGAATCGTTTTCACGTAAGCTACAACGATATCGATTAATACCTGAACGTATTTCACTCAAGATCCGTATGATTCGTGAGTACATGAAAAAGAAAGTATCTCTTATCGCATAACGCAGCCAACTAATCTACCGCGACCCACGGATGAATAAACGTCGCGACTGTCGGCAGAGCGTTTTCACGTAAGCTACAACGATATCGATTAATACCTGAACGTATTTCACTCAAGATCCGTATGATTCGTGAGTACATGGAAAAGAAAGTATCTCTTATCGCATAACGCAGCCAACTAATCTACCGCGACCCACGGATGAATAAACGTCGCGACTGTCGGCAGAGCGTTTTCACGTAAGCTACAACGATATCGATTAATACCTGAACGTATTTCACTCAAGATCCGTATGATTCGTGAGTACATGAAAAAGAAAGTATCTCTTATCGCATAACGCAGCCAACTAATCTACCGCGACCCACGGATGAATAAACGTCGCGACTGTCGGCAGAGCATTTTAATTCGCACGCGCTTAATTTCCCGCGACACCTGAATATGCATGAAACCTCCACACGAGGACGACCGGGCGGAAAGAACCTATACGGAAGGAAGGTCAACGGCTCTGAGGTTGCTGTAGTGAAAAAATGTTATTTTGCAAAAATTTTTTATTTTTCTCACTTCGAATTTGAAATCTATCAAAATGAAGTTTTTCGCAGTTTTCCGTTTTTTGTCACTGTTTACCATTTTTATTTATCGGATTATAGTTGTTTTTTTCATGTCCAATCCTTTAGCACGTGTGTCACTAGGATCTTTTTTTAGAATCTTATTTTCACGTATGTCATATAGGGCAGCCTTACGGTGCCCGGTGTATTCCTAGTATTTTGAAATCATATTCAACCGTGTATTTGCGGATTCCCCGTGAGCTAATCTTATTATAGAGCACCGCAAGGTTACTCAGTCATTGAAATCTAATAGTCATTCATTTTCGTAGACTGACGCGTAACAAGGTAGTCAGCCCGTCATCCCAGTCAACCAGGAGCCGTCGATGGGACCAGCAGACGGTGTGACCTGGATGCCGTGTTTGACTTTGCCTCTCGTTTGCTCTTGTATTCGTGTTTGCATGTTCCGTGCCACATACGTTGCACGGCTCGAAACACCGCGGGGCCGGAGCGCTTGTGCCGCCGCGACGCCTCGCGTCTCCTGGCATCGGTCTACCCCAGTGTAAAGTCTAGGCTTCGTCGTTCGGCAAATAAAACACCGTGACGTTCGAGCTCCTTCTGCTGATTCCACCGTCTCAACAGTCCACCGTCAAGCCAGCCAGCCAGCCAGCCAGTCACCGAAACAGCCACCCCGGCTTTCTTTTATTCCAGTGGGAGTCATGCCTATAAATCCCTTACTGTTAGCATTGACTCCGCTATCCAGCTGGTACGTATAAAAATGACGAATGAAGTAGTTGGTTTAAATTTATAGACATCCGTAAGGAATTTAATCGCAATATACATAGAGACATAAGCAATGTACTTCATTCGAATGATTATCGTATCAGCTGTTTGGTAACTGAACTTGGTACATAAGAAGTTTATATCAGAGTGAAAAAATCCAGTGTGAAAAAATTCTTGAAAAGATCGAATCGTCAAGATGGATATGAGATATTTGTAGAATTTAAAGCTTTTTTCGAATATTTTCAGTACCAGTGCTTTACTTATATAGGACTTTGTCATTCGATTCTTATTGACGTTTAATCTTTAATGAATTTTATCAGGGGTTACAGATATCTCTGTAAATCTACCTTACCATCAGTGGTACTAAATTTAGGAATTTTTTTCAACAGAAATTTAAACACCGAATTATTTGAATGATCGACCAAGTCCCATCTGGGCTACGCGATGAGGATCTGGCTAATCCAGTTAAAATTCTAATTAAACAATTATATGTAGTCCCACCATCTATTTCTCTCCCCTTAAAATGACTCGAACCCCTCCCGGTTCTCACTGGCAATTCCCTTCGTCTGCATGCCCAACGTATCTACGTATCTCTAATACTCTGTCGCTAATCTCTAATCACGGCTATACCAGTTCAATTCTATCTTGCTTCAGGTAACAGTAGATTTACGTGTCAGGTGTACCATGGCTGCTGGTAAATGTTCCCTCTTCTATATTCACATGTTCCTGATTGGCAGGGTTATCGATAAAATCATCTTGCAAATTGAGGATCCTGTTTTTATTAGGACCACGTGACCGGGTTGATGATTTCAGCAGAGACGACGTCTGAATAGAAGCCATCGACGTCAGGCGGATCCAATTCTTCTCTTTGTCCTGATACTTTTTCTACGTTCAATATCTACCTATAAGTATCCAGCGGGTCAATGAAAAATTAATAAAGGAAGACATCGCCTGGAAGTAAAGTCCATAGAAAAAGTTATTCGAGACTCTCGAGTCTAGACACACAGTTTAGTGTAAGGTGTATATTATACACTAGAGCGAATTGTATAGGGAAGATGTGTACGTACGGTATAAGATAATATAACATATAAAATGTATACAGACATATTTCCTAAACATATAGATATACCGAGTAAGCAATAGCGCGATAGGTCCTGCCTCCACTCGGGGTGCATCAAACATGGCGGCCGGCTAGACAAAACAAAAATGCAGCGGCTAGACCAAACGAGGACTAGACGACCTCTGCAGGACACTGTGGCCCAGGGGTCGCTACGGGCTGGGTGCAAGGGCTGATTTGAGGGGTAGGATGCGGAGGCAGTTGCAAGGGGGTGGTGCGGGTGGGCAACCCTTGCAAAACCCGCTGGGTTCTGCACGAGTTAGAGCAGATGGAGACGAGTGTGGCTAACTGAGTGGGTGGCTGGCTGGCTTACTCGGCTCTAGGATTCAGCCAGTGTACCCGATGCGATATTTGCTTCCAGAGTCTGCACTTCTCCCGGTGCCGCCTAAGCCCCTACCGAAACGCTTTGTAACGGAAGTGGTTACCGGCTCCAATTTTATACCAATTGATTTGCGTGACTCGACCAGCCGCGCCATCGAGACAAGAGGAACAAGACATCCGACATCCAGGCTCAATAGACCTAGCCCCTTCGATTTTCCTATTCAGGAGGGAATCGTTGCTCATCTACAGTAGCCGCTGTTCCAGCCACCCTGATCAGCCATCAATGGACGAAATCTGAAACCAGTCATCGAGACGCCGCATCCCGGTTCGCACCGATGAATACAGACCTTGGACGTCGGGACGCTCCACCCTTCCGGTATCTCGGACAGCTTAATAGCACCGTTAACAGCCGCGTTACTTAATGGGGATTTATGCATTGCAGTTTGCCGATTAAAACACAACAGTCGGACGAATAGGTATACCATAAAGGCAAGGCGGGGTTAGAGAGATTGCGTGGTCCACGGGGTGGAGGCTGAGGGATGAGAATGAAAGTGAGAACGGAGGCACAGAGGTCGGAGGGTGAGATACACGATCCCCTTAATCCCTCATAATAGCTCGCTCTGATAAACAGCCCCTATCCTCCCACCACGTGTCTTCACGCTCACTACGAATCTACCATTTTATTCCACCGAACGGACTATTGGTCGAGGTGCAAGTTCAAGAATACTCAAAATAAAAACTGAGCTTGCCGATGCTACTTCGAAGCTAACATAGGACGGTGTACGTTAGCTTTTTTTTGCAAGCTTTTTTTTGACGTTAGCCTTTTTCCAAGCTACGTGACAATATAGCTCGGACGATAATGCAGTGACGATCGAGGACTCTGAAAAGTTTGACGAATCTGAAAAATGTGTCCTGGTACGTGGGCCGAAGGTAAAATCGACGAGGTCGCTGCTGGGTGGCCCAGGTAGAATCCTGAAACGTTTCTCGTCGTAGCCACGGCTATTGGGGATTTGCATCTCTGCGCAGAGAATACGAACCATTGCGTTGCTGGTACAGAGCTGCTGGATGGGTTGGGACAGTGGAAGAGAGAGAGAGCGGAAATCCGGTTTGGGGGCGGAGAGTCCACAAGTAGGAGGAAGACAGCATATCGTGGTCGATCTGTCTAGCCTAGCCCTGACTATGGTTCTGGCTCTGGCTGGTTGGCTGGCTGGCTGGCAGAACCAGAGAGCGTCTAGGTTGCGTCTGCATCACACAAACTCGGTATTATCTATACGTCTAGACGGCCTTGCGCTATAGAGGAGACCATCGCGGTTTGGAGCTCTGCTAGTAATTTACAGCGCAATCCCCCTCTAGAGTTAGCGTCGTCGTCGTCGTCGTCGGGTACAGCCGCAGCGACGTTCTTCTCTCCACAGTCAACCGACTCTTTTTTCTTCTTCCTTTACCTTCATCCATATACCAGCACCTTTAACCTTTTCAACGACTTCTCTAGGGAATCGAAAATTCAGAGTCCAAACGCACTCGATGTTTAGTTCTCGAGGTATGCCTATACCTCGATATATACCCGTATAACGAACGTTCGACGATATGGAAATATCGCATGATGCGATATAATCGATTATCGAACAATCGATCCAACATGGCGTCGTTCGAACTTTTGAAGAGTGACTATCAATTGTGGATATAGGCGCGTCGAGTTGACAAGGTAAACTTTTGTAAATGCATCTTCGGAAAACTCCCGTTTATTTGAAGTCAGTAGGGGGAGTTGGTGGGTGGGTGGTTAGGTTAGGAAAGTGCTACTATGGATCGGAGCTACGAAGCCGGCTGACGCTTTAAGCGGCGTAACTTACAGCAATTGCGCTTCTGACTGGTCTTGAGCGCAGATTAGTCGTAATCTCGGTGCACTGCACCCACCCCAGACTGACTCACCCCTTTATACACAGACTGATATAGAGAATGCCTTTCTCTTCCTCTCTCTCTCCCTCTCCCTCTCTCACGGTTCTACCCCATTACTCCAGTCGCTCCACGTACGGATATCACAAGCCCTATACCAACACGCTTTAAACAGACTCCATCCGCCGCCTCTCTCTCTCTATATCGTTGGCTTTGATTATTTCCTGGAGGCTTAAGACAAGATGTCTGCGCCACTATGCTGCCAGCTGCAGCATCGGCACCGGCACCAACACCAGCAATCCTCAACGCACCCGCCGTGCCACAACAACGAGTTACTACTGCGCGAGAGATTAAACGACCTTGCTTTACGAGACTCTGAAATCCATAGGTGAGCTTTACGGCCGCAGGATTCTTCTTCGTTACTCAATACGTAACGGAGACCTTAGGTTTGGCTGAGTGTTACTTGGGTTTCTATGGACTTCTATTGAACAAACTTTCGGCCAGCTTGACTGCGATACTCAAAAGTATTTCTTGAATTGACGCGTAGAGATGAGCGCTTCCTCGGGAAAGACGCGTGAAAGGAGAGACAAGAACGAAGTGGATTTTCAGATGAAAATGGAGAGTAAAAAGACCGAGAGAAATGTCTACGAGAGATACACGGATTGTACCAAGGGGCCGATTACTTTCGATAATATATGGTGAGACTGTCGGGACGCTACCCCTTTTATTTTATTCTTATTGGTAACGCTTTGTATTTACTGTTTCAAGGAAGGAAGTCGTTAGACTTGAACGGAAGTTGCAGAGAGAATGGGGGAAAAGATATGGCCATCTTTCCGGTGAGATGCTGAAACAGGTAGAGGATTTTATAACCGTCTTTTATTTATTTTTTTTGTATTTTATGGTAAATAGGAAGTGGGCTTGTATTAGATACTTGCTGAGGAATGTGTCAGTGCGGGACTTCCGGTTGATACCTTTGAACGGAAACGAGCGGAAGATCTGATTAAAAAATCTCCAATTCCATTGAAGCCTTCTCCGTCTATACCAAAAACTAGCTCAGCTAGAATAGGATGGAGATCTTCGTTAAAGGAATGCAATTTGGAATTCACAGGACCTATGTACATCTCCGACAAGAAAACGATTGAGCCTCCTCTAGAACCTGGAGAATTTCGGATAAGTCAACAGAAATTTATTTATCTCGGATAGAGCTCTTCATTTAAGATAGAGGTATGCCAGTCTTGAGGAAAATGAGATGAAGATTGAATTTATGTAAAGTGTTTTTGTTTTTATTCTCTTAAAAAACAAACATTAAGAGTCCTCAACAGAAATAGAACGTTAGTTATATGCCGAATGACTTTTGTTTGAGTGTAGGAGGCAGCTTTTCTGTTAGTGAAATAGGATTTACTTCCACAGCCACCATTTCTGTATCGTTTAGCCAGTCTAAGTGCACCAGATGCTGAAGAGAGTGAAAATAATATTAATGATTAAAATTATACGCAAATAAAAATCATTATTTAGTTATTATATTGAGAACTTACCTTATATTTTTTGGCAACATGAAAAGCGTGCTGCGATTGAGAACCGAGCCCTGAGTTGTTACCTTCGACAGAATCGCCGTTTTCCAATCTTGGTATTTTCGATTCACTTTCCGGAAGTTCCTTGTTCTTGTTAATAACGTACACAGTTGTGTCATCGTGGACTATTATAACGTTCTCGTTATTGGGATCGAAGGTTACGTTTGTTATTGGAAAAGGTCTGGTCAGCCATTGTTTCGGTAAGTGTCCTTCCAGATTATTTGAGAATTGCGTGTACATCCGTTTACTAATATTGTACTCAATGATCTGAAAATATTTTTGAAAAATATTAAATTGCCAGCAATCATGAACAACATCACGGAGAGTCTCGGAAGACGTCCACCATTTTTTAATCAAACGTGTAAATCTTCATTTCTTGTACACGCGTCCGTTGCGCTGTAATATTTTTAACGGTCTGCTGCGATGAACGACGGAAAATTTAATCCCATCCAGGTAGTATCGTTAACTCGATCGTAGAACGCGCAAAGCTTTATAGTTTTTAATTGTAACGTAAAAAGTTAATCCAAAAGATATCGTAATTACGATACCAATTCACAGTAACGCGTTACTCTTTTACTCTGTCTCTTTTGCACAACAGTGAAGTTCTTACGCAGACGGATATTACAATTTTTTTATGCTTTACGACTCTTCGCTATTATCATGACGTAATTTCCGTTTACGTTCCGACTTCCTATTACGCCGATGGATCTCGGGCCGGTGTCATACAGGCATATTGAAAAATTATAGCACAGCTAACAGCACATGGTACCTAGCAACTATTCTACAGTAATTGTATATTTTATGCCAAAAATTGAATACCTTATGATCAGAGTATACGACAACCAGGTTAAGGGTGTCCGCCTGCACAGCCATGGCTGTTGGAGGGTACCTGTACTTGGGAAGTTTCCAGGATTTTAATGATCCTGAGGAAAGATCTGAATCGATGGTGTATATTACAATGTGACTGTGGTGATCTGTACAAATAAGGTATTTACTGTTTGGGGAAAAGCACACAAGGCTAACAGCATTCAGGGAATCCTTATCAATGTTAATAGTTCCTTCGTGGCTCAAGCATTTCTGCTTGACTTTAAAGAAAAACATGGAGTTTCCGTCTCCTTCGTTGACAATCGCTAAGAATAATTTTCCATCTGGACTAAAGAGCATCTTTTGTATCCTTTTGAGAGGAATCTCTGGCTCGCTTCTGGATAATTGCGCGTCACCATCGACGACGTCGAAATGAAATATCCTGACATGACTGTTCGTTGAATAGACAATGGTCTTTGAATCCTTGTTGATGGCGCAGGAGACAATACTCTCATTACCTTTTGTTTTTAATTCGAGTAATTTTATTGGTTCTTCTTCCAATGGATGCGTCATTCCCACTTGTATTTTATTCTGCGAGGATGTATTAGCTTTTCCTAGTCTCCATATTTCTAAGTAATTTGTGTATCGCAGTAGGATGCATCTAGTTTTCTTGCAAACTGTGACACATGGTGGTTGTAGAAGTGGGGGATACTTGACAAGCATTTTTGGTGGATAAGATGATTGTGCTAAGTAACCATCCACTCCGGCAGAGTATAATTTTCCATCTGCTTCGATTAAAGCTCTTACGTCGTGAACATGAAGTCTCCTTTCTATTCCTTTAACCCACTGAGCTCTTCCGCTGGATTTTAATATGATTTTGGAAAAGCTACGAACCACAGGATCGACACCTGCACAATATACTACATCTGTATCTTGGGAGACACTAAGTGCCAGTATATCAGCTGTATGACTTTCATGGGACTCCATTAATGTTCCCATATTGGGATCCCAGAACGATAGTACACCACATGAGTCTCCAGAAACAATAAAGTTATCAGAGGTCACTCCGAGGCACCAGATTATTGTTCCCTTCTTTGCCTCTTTTCTCACTGTCGTCATTCTGTGTATTGCATGGCCAGATACCGAATTCCATACTCTGACTGTATTAATCGAACCAGAGAAAATCATTTCCCCAGTATTATCCCACTTAATACACAATATTCGGCCGCCTTGCTTGTCAAAGATTCTTTCATAAAGTAAGGAATCACTTGTCACGGTAAATGTATTAACATATCCATCCTCTGTACCAATGGCTAACCGTGTCTTTTCTTTGTTTACATCCATACACCAAGCTGCTCCTCCCGTAACAACAGTTTCATATTTAACACCTAAGCTTGTCAAGTCGTGTTCCATGACCATTCCATGAAGACCGGTAGAGAAAAGCCTAAGGTCTACCCATAAAACTGCTTCCACCGAACCTTCTGGATGACCAACAATTGTACGCTCCACAAAGGGTGCATTTTCCACATTCCATATCTCAATAGAATTATCATTCCTATAACATGAAATTAAATAATGTACTTCCAACAGCTTAATATTAAATATTACTAAGATAATAGTTATTATATGCTAACCTGGAAAGAGCCAACTTTTTCGTTTTTTGTTCGTAGCACAGACAAGTTATAGATTTTGGTTCAAGATTATAAAATCTAACATTATGTATCCTACAGGTAGACATGCTTTACTTGAAATTATTGCAACTATTAAAATTAACAGAGTAAATTACTGACGGCAAATGTCAACTACATAACCACAACAGTCCAACACGTGGACGCTAAAAAGAACTAGTAGAGTAGCAGACGAAAGGTTGATGAGCACAGCGAATATGAAGGTAAGTACAGTGCACAATATGACCGACCTCTTTGAAATTAATAACTACAAAGTTGATCTACAATACTATTTAGAACGTAGAGACCAATTTCAACAGATTAATCAATTCTTTATTCTAGAAATATACTTTACAAAAGCGGTTTTATATACAACGATATTTCTCGTTGTTAACTTTATGCAATCTACAAACGACTATTTACTATATTTGTATCGGATACTGATACTCTGAGTCTAAGGCATTTGGATACGCAAGTCATTCAATCTTAAGTATATTGCCTTATTTCCGCTATTTGGAAATAATCAATCTTCGTGAATGGCGTGTCGGCAATTTTCATGACAACCATGAATATTTTTAAGCATCATATATATAGTTATTATTAAATCAATTGGCAGTAATAAATATATTTGGGAATCAGAGATTATTACCTGAGTAGCACGTAAACTTAAATATTTGCTGGTAGACTTTGTTCATTCGACAAGAAAATGTAACTTTTAATTCATACCTTCTACCAAAAACGGATATTTATCATTTGAGAATGGAAGTTAGACAATTACCGAGTAAAGAATAATTGCGTTAGTTTAGAGTGGATCTTGGAATTTTTTGGCAAATCAAGAAACTAAATCTCAGTTTTACCCTAGTGGAATGATTTTAATTTAAAATTCTTATCAAATAGTATTAGCATTATCGTACCAAGGTGGCATCCAATTAGGTGGTGACCTATTTCTAGGACGTCCCCTTGGCATTGGATTCTGACTATCAACATTACAGTTCCTGTCAGTTCGTCTTCTGCGAGCCTCATTTATATAGCTCATGGCAGAATTGTTAGGTGCAGCATTGTCGAGGACGACAAAAGATTGTCCATCGACATTCTGCTCAGGATTTCTACCGAAGCTGGGAGAGTAAACTCTTTGAAAATCTTCTTTGGATGGATTAGTTAGTCCATGAGGTGAAGGAGGCCTCACGATTGGTCCTGGAGATGGTTGTCGTCGACCAAAACCACGAGGTTCGTCATCCACATTGCAGACGTGAAGTCTATAGGTTGGACTGGGTGAACGATTTCTCACACCAGGACGATCTGCAGTGTCAAGATGCGATGACCGTTGCACTTGCGTCTTAGATGATTTTGATCCTCTGATCATAAACATTTTTTATTGTATAAACAATGACTGTAATCTCTTTTCATCGTTCTCGTGCCCCTGGACTTACCTTCTGGTACCAGTTGGTGGCTTCCCTACCACGCTTCCCTCATGAACTTTGGTATTCAATACCTGAAAGGCATCTTGGTCCTGAGTAGCATTTATAGCCCCAAATTGATTTCCATTGTTATTGCTTATCCAATAATTATCTCGTTTCCTGGAAGCACTTAAGCTACGATCTCTGCCACGATGCATCCTCGGAGCATCGTAAGACGCAGCTTCCTGTTTGGTGCAGTAAGCGTTTCTGTATTCAGGCTGCAGATCCAAGCTTCCTTCTAATCTCAAATTTGCTGGCATTTTCACACTTTCCGTTCTTGGAATTTGACCATATGAAACATATTGAGATCTGACCTCACTGGTGTGTTCGTTATCGACCCTGTGCGCGGCTCTATCAAAGCTCGCACTTGATCTACTGGAAGCTAGACCGGGTCTTAAAGCCATTGGTGGCTTTCTATATATCGGACGTTCCTTAGAAAAATCAATATATTTTGATTTGTATTCAGGATCCATATCGATCTTTGATGAAAACTTTGAATGAGTAGATAAAGGGGACAATTTCGAGCCGTCGGCTCGACCAATTTCATCTTCCGGTTTTATCAGCCTGGGTCGTTCTCTTGGGAAGTCCTGTAACGAATGATCAGCGGAAATCAAAATAATTCGTTATAAAAAAAAAGTTCTCAAAAATTCTACCTTGTAAGCATCTCGATATTCTGGCACTTCTAAAGGTGGCGATTTTAAATCTTCTAATTTTGATACAAGCACCTTCATCTCGTCTTCCTTCTTTTTTCTCTTGGCCTCTCCCTCCTGCTTCTTCTGTTCCTCAGCAGCTATGTCCTTCTCTAGCTCCGCCATTAATCTCATTTCCTTGACACGCGGATCGACAAACATTTCCGATGTCTCCGTCACGCGATGAAAGTCACCTCCAGGCTTCAGATGCGTCTCGGGCTTTCTGGGCAATTGCCTCTCTAGTAAAGGGAGGTTGATCGATCAAACATTTCAGATATTTTCCATACTACGTGATCTTACCCCTAACATCGTGTTCTCGAAAAACGTCTTTGTATTCAGGAGCGTATCTGGACTCTCCCTCCATCCTGATATTGGCACCCTGTCTCAGCAATTCCGGCCTCCTGGCACCGACGAACGGAACGTACTTATCGTGATTCTCAGTCAGGGTCTCAAATTCACCTTCCAGTTTGAGATGCGTGGGAATGCGCATTAGTTCGGGTCGACTGACGTTGAGCCACTCGATGAACTTTTCGCACTTTTCAGTCATGGTATCCATATCACCTTCCATTTTCAGGGATGTTGGTCTGCGAGCTAGTTCAGCCCGACGATGCCCCTCGTGAGGAACATAACAGGAATATTCTGTATTTGTGCAAAAGTCACCCTCGTGTCTCAGACTGGTACCCCTAGAAATTTGTACGTATATACATTACTTAAAGAATCTTGATTTAGAAGTTGAACGTATGTAAAAAAAAATTTTTAAAGTCAAATAATAAAACCTTCGCATAAGTGGTGGACGGGCATTGGCCAAATTCGAATAAGGGATGAATCTCGAGCTTTCTGTTTCGGTCTCCATAGCTTTTTCGCCATCGGCTATCTGAAGATTGGACGCGGGTCCTTTACTCCTGACTGGGATCTCAATGTCCTTGTATTCTGGAAAATCTTGGTAATAAGAAGAGACAGTGTTCTCGAAGAGACCTTCCAAGTGTAGAAGGTCTTCCGGATGGGCGCATCCGATCGGTTGACTGTTATCCTGGAAATTTGAAAATTCGTTAAAAATTTGAAAGAAAAAATGCATTGAAATAAACTTACACGAAGATCTTACCTGAAGCGATTCAATATTTTTGGCGCGAAATGATTTTTGATATTCCGTAATGAGATTCTTAATGACATCCTCTGGTTTACACAGAGCCAAATTGTCTTTCGGATGATTCTGTACACGTCGACGACGATGACGTGCCAACTGGTCGACTGTTAGATTTTCTGGTAGATGCCATTTTTCCTTGATCTTGTTTCTGCTCTTTCCCCGATTTCGTCCTTTGCTTTTCCCACGGGGCAAGTCCGAGTCCGATGAAGATTTTCCAATTCCAAAGGACGACCTCTGTCTTTTTTTAAAAACAAAAAATTGTAATAAATGTGTCCCTTCTAAAGTTCACGTCCACTTCGACGTTTGTGATTCTTTTTTTTTAACTTTGATAAGGTGATGGAGATTTTTCAAAAGATCCGTTCGGTTCCTTGACTCAGGGCAGACTGAAATCTTTCTCTTGCTAAACCCTCGTAGGGATAAAGGGTGGGCCAGGCTTGCTGAGAATTCTGCGCGGAAAATAGGGGTTAAAGGTAGTGACGAGGGTCGCTGAAGAGAGCGAGGAACAGGAAGAGGGTGGTACGTACAACATACCGTTACAGGAATCTACAGACGCGACGCATCGATCTACCAAAAGGCACAGCTCAAAGGAAAATAAATTCCCTTATCTAATGACTTCCGAACACGGCAATCGATTCAATTAGCTAGTCATACGTCGATTATCTTCAGCATCGATACAGTCAATGGGTATTAGTATATTATATGTACATGCACCAATTGAGCAATGTAATTAGTCGCAAGCAATTCACGAGTTATTTACTTTTTTATCATGTATTTAAAAACTTAAAAATTAAAACGTTTCTCGTCTACCATTCATAGTTTGAAAAGCGAGATCAATAGGTTGATTTTTTAAATTTATATGTAGATCTAGAAAGCCCATGGATCTCCGATAAGCTGTAAGTGATTACGCATGTGCTTTGGTTTGTTTTAGTTTTAAAAAGGTGTCTTATTTTCATTCTTATCTATTTATATACCTGAGTAATGATCCGCCTTAGAATAACTTAATCTATAATTATATATGTATTCTTTTGGTTTGTCATCATATATGATGCGTCTCGTCAAAACTTTTTTATTATTATTTCCAGTTTTTATCACCTTTATTGTTTTTGATATTTATACTATCTCTTTTGTTTTTAAACTATGGTAAAAAATAAATGTAAAAACTATTGTGTCTGTAGCTTGTCTAACTAATTTTAAAATTATGGTAGCGTGGCCGAGCGGTCTAAGGCGCTGGTTTAAGGCACCAGTCTCCTCGGAGGCGTGGGTTCGAATCCCACCGCTGCCAATTTTTTTTTTTTAAGATTAATGTATACCGATTAACAATTATATGGTCAAATGATTCTTTGAATAAAGAATCTACAGGTTTCTCTGTGAAAAATAAAAAGTTGTTGAAGACGTATTTCATGAATTTTAAGTCAATTACTCGGTTGTTTCCAGCAGAATTTCTATTTCCGTAGGTTCTTTCCATTAAATGGAATCGCTGTTCGTCATGAGAAACAGGGTGCCGAGTTCTTGGCGACCCGCTGACCCAGATTTGGTAACCTGGCTCCCTAGAGCACAATTTGCATGAGCCGACAAACAAATGTCGCCCCGCGGTCATACGCATCCAGATTCTAAAGGTTTTCGAGCGGTCAGTAGTTTTACTACGGTGCGTGATTCAATCTGACGCATTTCAACCGCGCGTCTTGCACGCAAACCCAACAAGACGTTGGAAGGATTGGACTTCTTTGAATAGCGTGGACGGTCAGCGGCATTTATATGGATGTTATAAGCGTTTCCTGTCGCGAAATCAGTCGTCAGGTTTTTAGCAATACCCTTTTAATATTTTTCGCACTTAGAAAAATCCCCAGAATAAACTTCCTAGCACGCATGTATATACAGTTAAAAAGGAGGCAATTCCGGAAAGTTATGATAAAAAACATTAAAGTACAGTGATAAGCTGTCTAATCTCGCAAAATATTATTAATGCGCCAATACTTGATTTTTATGTAAACCGGAAGGAGGAACCCGGATTCTCTGCAGCGTCGATTTACTTTAATGCCAGGAAATTAAACTGACTCCTCATATTGTAGGTCATCGATCTCTCTCAGTTTCAATCATCGTTAATGTTCGTCCACACTCGACCCTAATAACATCTACTAATTTTTGCATAATTACCAGCACTTTACTAATCATTAACTTATTAGCGCACAACCGAAATAAGATCATGATAAATTTGCATGAGGTGAAAAAATGCCTGCCTTGCAATACGATCAAGAGAGTCTTTAGTAAAAGGTAATACTATCAATTCTCCATTATATAACTCTTCAATAATACCAATGAACCTCAACGATTAACTATATTAGAAAGTATAACTTGACATCAATCCGAATTACTTAATCTCCGACAAAAGGAGTTTTCATATCAAAATTTAAAAAGGGGATGTAGCTCAGTGGTAGAGCGTTCGCTTTGCATGTGAAAGGCCCCGGGTTCGATCCCCGGCATCTCCAAATTTTTTTCCGCCTTACTAAAAATAGAACCTATAATAAAATTACGTTACCTTTTGCTTGAACGATCTCGTCTTCCTTCACCCATTGCATTCTTGTTCTCAGCGACGTAGCTTGCTGGTATTAGTGAAACCGGTGAAGACGTTAAAACGGACTTCACTCTTTCTCTTAGAGTGACCAGGCGTGACTGGCTTTCCAAGGATTCTAGTAAGAAGACTGAGAATACACCTGCGCAGCTGCGGAGTTATATATGTCGCTGAAACAATAGAGAAATTTCCGCGGACCATGTAATATCATTTGCACGAGGTTCAACCTGACGAATCATTGAAGCGTTGATCTAGCTTAAACGCAAAACTTACACCGCATGCAACAAATATAACCTTAGGTATTGTCGATGTACATAGAAAAATGATTTTCTTTGCTTTTCTTTATATACCACGAGTTAGAAATGTTCGACGTTCAAAGTCAATGCCAGTGCCTTTAACATTGCATCGATTCGCGACTGGAAAGCAATAATTGAAGACTGAATATTTATAACTTAATTCTATAAATGTTTAGCTGCTGAAGGCGACGTATTTGAATGTATACTTGTCATTTAATATATACTGTGATTAGTAGTATTTTGATCTCAAATTTTTCGGAATACATGCTATTGTAATGATATAATGTCAATAGTTAAGTAAGTTATGAGTATACGGCCCACAAGAATGAAAATCTATATTTTGAAGAAAAAATCTAATTAGGTTGGTTTTGTGCTTCGTAAAATGAACATTTTCTGCAGGAAGTAATTTTTGTCTTCTCAATAATTTTACTTCCTGGTTTTATGGGACAATGCGTGTACTACCATCTGTTGGATTAAAGAGAAAGATTGTTGCGTAACTGACACCTATCAGCTGACATTGCTTAGTCTGCTGTCAAAAAGTCTGGCGTACTAATAAAGCATCAAAACGATCAGAGTGGAACGTCATTTGGAATAGTCTTCGGTATGGACTTTATTGGATAGAGAATTTTGCTGAGTTCTCTATACCGGGCAAGATGAACAAGAATATGAATTCGCCGTCGAAGCTGACGGAATTCGCACCACTAAGTCCTGAGGAGACTCAACCTGTGGTCGCATCTCTCTTCTCCAAGTTCTTTGGTTTTGGCAAGAGTAAGACACGCAAGATTCTACCAGGACTACTTTTGCCAGTTCTTCTTCTATACTTGTCACAGCAAGTTTGTTACGGATATTTTGAATTTCCGGGAGTTTATAAAAGATTACTTTTCAGGTGCTACTCTCTCCGATGCAGCTTCGACCTCTCCGAACAATGATGAGCATAGTTCGTCCGGTGATTCTGAATCCTGGAAACAATCGGAGAGTGCGGAGAAGACTTCAGACGATGATGCATCCAACATTATTACCTTTCCTTTGGATACTACAGAGGGTCGCAGCTTACCTAATGTTCTTAAAAGGATTAGTAATATAGTAGCATTAAAAAGCAATGTGAGAATTGATGCTTCTTCTGAATCTTTTGAGTTTGAAACAGTTGGGACTATCATGAAATTTATTACAGAACCTTCAATCGTATAAAGATTCTCAGTTGAGAAGCTATTGGATGCCAGACAGTGTTAGTAAACAGTGCTACGAATGTGGGGAACGGTTCACAACATTTAGAAGACGACATCACTGTCGTGTCTGTGGACAAATATTTTGTTCTAAATGCTGTTCGGATGTAATACCTGGAAAGATTATGGGCTGCACCGGTAAACAAAACTTTGTGATAAATAAAAACTAACTTCTACTGTCTATTAATTCATTTTAGGCGATCTAAGGGTATGCACGTACTGCTGTAAAGTAGTATTGTCATATCTGCAATCCTCGGATATGGGAAGCGACCTGACATCTGACCTCAAAGCATTGCAAGAGGATTTGAGAGTAAAATACGGAAACGATACCTCACCTGTAACACAAAAAAATGTAAATGACGTAGACGGCGATGAGACTCAAATCTGTCAGAAGCCCAGTGTGGGATACATGGAAGAAAAATATGCTCTTGGAAGGTCTACCATATTACCCTGCATTAGAACCTAATAGAAAACCGTACCGTTTAGTTACATCAAGAATACGGATTTTCGCAGATCGTCCAGCAGCTACCTGACTTCGCAAGAACGATCCCTAGCTCTACAAAATTCAGCTTCCCTAAGGATGATCTATGAGGAACTCTTTCGTTCTAGTCAGGCGATTTCTCTGCAGACACACCGAATTCGTTTGAAGAGTTATTACAATTGTTTCCTGGCGAGTGAGCTAGTAAATTGGATGATAGCACAAAACAAAGCAGCCACTCGGTAAGTTTCTGATAATTTTAGTTTGTACACAGTAGATGATTCATGGACCTTTAAATAGAGTACAAGCGGCAGCGATAGGACAAGCTTTGCTGGAGGCTGGTTTTATCGAGCCGGTATTATCGGAGAATTTATTCACTGACACAGTAACAATATTCAAGCCAGCTAAATTATCACGAATGCAAAGTACAACTTTCTTAGTGGAAAATCAGGCATCCTGCGACGCCCAGGAACCAGCTTGGGTCAAAACTATACCTCAACACGATTCTGCTACTGGTTAGATGCATTTAACAAGTGGTACCATATCGAAAATGTTTTTCTGATGTAATATACTTTTTCTGTATTTTCAATCAGATTCAGAAAGTGAAATGAAAGCCCCACAATCGGCACCCCCAATCGCAGCGCGACTTCTGTCTTCGAGTTCCAGCTTTTATTTGGATTTGAATCTGGAAGCTTCGACGGTTACATTAAAACGGCCGACTTCCGAGGACTTGACTTTGATTTCGGTTGACAGTGGTAGTGACAGTGCTATGGAGCAGAAAGAAGTTAATCTTAAACCTCACGAGTGTAATTCAGGAGTCTCAGATGAACTTCTGAGCGACACTCTCCAGGTCCAGGAGTATAGAGAAAAAAATGGCTGGCACAAGCCAAGCAACTTACGAGGCGCCTTCGGGGAGCAGAGTGCGTACAATAACCTGATGTACGTTCCTATGTTGCTTTATCTATTCCTAAGAAAAGAAATTACAATATTTTAAACTAAATTCCGTTACTAGGTCTGCGTACAAGCAACACGAAGACTCTCTCGTGAAGCAACTTCTTAGCAAAGAAGGCCTGTCGCAAAGTTGGGCCGAAGTGATTCTACCAATCGCTCATCAAATAGTCGATACCGTGCGTCCCGATTTAAATCATGATGCAGATGACCTGGACATCAGACAATATGTTCAGATAAAAAAGTCACCTGGTGGTAGTAGACACGATTGTGAAATTGTGTCTGGCGTTGTGTGTAGCAAGAATGTCGCTCATCGCGGCATGGACGCCATGATTGCTCATCCAAAGATTTTGCTGCTTCGATGCGGCATTATGTATCAACGAGTGGAAGGAAAATTGCTGAGTTTAGAACCTGTGATGCTGCAGGTAAAGGTGCAATACCTGGTATCTAATGATTTATATCGTGGTACAGAGCATATTAATATTTATTCCAGGAACACGAATACCTAGGCCACACTGTAGCACGAATTACTGCTCTTGGACCGGATGTTGTCCTAGTGCACAGGTCCGTCTCTCGACTGGCTCAGGATAGACTTAGAGAATGTGGAGTAACCTTAGTCCTCAATGTTAAACTGAGTGTCCTGGAGAGGGTCGCCCGATGCACAGGTGCGAATATCGTGAACAGTATCGATGCGCACATAACTGCGCGATATAGACTCGGTACCTGTAAAAAGTTTTACTTGCGCAACTTCCCAAATGAACGAAGTGAGTGTGTATTCATTTACGTAATCTAGATCGAAAATCGAATCGGCTGAAATGATTTTCTTTACCTAGATGGAATAAAGACTTTGATGTACTTTGAGAATTGCGCCAATCCCCATCTGGGTTCCACGATTTTACTTCGAGGAGGATCCCAGAACGAGTTAAAGAAAGTGAAGAGCGTTACGTCGATGATGATCTTCTGCGCTTACTCTTGGCGACTCGAGAAGTCTTTCCTCATGGATGAGTTTGTTAGGCCTCCTTCGCCGAAAGATAATTCCTTCCTGGATGAGACGTCGCAGAAAGATTCGTCAAATGGCATCGAGGATGCCGAATCTCTTCTCACTGTTGAAAAGAATGGTCATGACCTAGAGGTCTATATGCTTCCCGTGTGTGATTTGAAATCTGGTGAGAATCAGGATGTTAAAATTCCTTCCTACAGTGCAACTGAGACTTTAAATTCCTCTAAGGTATCTGAGGATCGTCACAGTTCTAGTAATGACTCGCAAGCGGTTGACAAATACCAACCTAGTAGCAAGAGTACTCCACTGAAAGAAACGATGAATGAAATTTCCCAGAATGACAGTGTCTTGTCTCCTGAAACTTACAAGCAAGTCTCCAATATTCTCAAGGAAAATTCTGATCCTTATGACACTCTGAAATTGTTCAAATCAAGACCCAGGACATCTGTTGATGACAGCAAAATGGTTGATACATTACAGGAACAAATGCCAGTCGAAGAGAAAAATAATTCTATCGAAGAATCCGGACTTGGCGCGAGCAACGCAGAGAACAATAGTACATTGGAATTATTTAGTGGAATAAAAGATGAGAAATCGATTGAAATTGCAGAGGCAAAGCCTAAACTAAGAGACAAGATGCTATCCGAGGAAAAACGAATCTACGCAGAATCCGTGAGTGACCGAAGTGACCCATTGCATCAATATCTAAACGAAGAAGATGACGTCTTTAATCAAATGAGTACAAACGTGCAGCATCTAAGCGTTGCTGACTTACCATTATTAAATAAATTCAAAAAAGCTTTAAACGATACGATTCTCAGTGTTTCGCCATATATAAAGTTTTCCATTCCGTATCTGGAAACAGAAGCCGGGCGGAATTGCGTCCTGAGACATTTCTTCCCCAAGGAAGTATTTTACTCAATCAACTTTTTGGATAAAGTCCAAAGTGCCAGAAACAGTAGCTTTTCCACAGAACCTGCACAGCAAGAAAATCCACTCATCCATTTAAAGCTGAAGCCTCAGCATCCCTTCGTACAAGCAAAATTAACCACAACAGCAGACAGCAGAGAAGTTCAAACTCTTCTGGCAGATTTTCGAGCTTGCGGTAGTCGACTCTACCCAACATATAACGTAGTAGCTGATATTAAAAGAGTTACCGTGCAAAGTGAAACAAGTGAACCCGCAACGATTCATCCGGATTGTCTGGATCCTGCCAGTCATCAACGACTTTCTGTCCTCTTCTGCAGCTTCTCGCACAACAGCAACCACGCTCCTGCATTCTGCGTTAATCCCTGGATCGTAAATATGGATTTGTACGGCAGAAATGACATCGCCCTGGGCCGATTCTTAGAGCGCTACTGTTTCACATCAGAATACAAGTGTCCAGCCCAGGCCTGTACAGCTCAGATAGCTCAACATGCTAGAAGATTTACCCACGATGGAGGCTGCTTGCATATCAATCTGAGCGAAATGAGCACTGAGCCATTTGGCCAGGAAAATAATAACCGAATTCTCATGTGGAGCAAGTGTATGAAGTGTAAAAGTGTTTCACCAGTGGTACCAATGTCAGAGGATACCTGGTCGCTCTCATTTGCAAAGTACCTTGAACTGCGCTTCCACGCTGGTGTCTATACCAGACGTGGAACTGATACGTGTCATCATTCCTTACATCATGATCATTATCAGTATTTCACTAGAAAGAACATGCTAGCTGTCTTTCAGTTTTCAAAAATCTCTCTGTGGGAGATTTCTCTTCCGCCATCAGTTATAAATATTAATTACGATCCGAAGCAACACGCTAATGTCATCGAGGAGATGAAGATCGTAGCGCTTAAAGGTGACGAGGTATTCACTAATATACGAGATAAATTAGCATCGTGCCAAATTGACGGCGATGCTCTGAACGTCGCGAAGCAACAGCTTGCGAAGGAACAACAATATTTTAAAAATAAGATTGAAGAGATTCAATTGAAATTAACGTCGCCGACGCTTGAGAATAAAAAGCTAGAAGGAAAGAACGCTGAGAAACAAGTGCAGAGTCTTATGTTTAGGATCGAAGACGGTATTGTCATCCTGCAGAGACTTATAGCGGAAGCAGTAACTGAATGGAATGCAAAGATCTTAGAAGCAGCTGCTAAGAAGAAGGATGAGAGGCCGAGAAGATTTACGGAAAGATCAAATACTGCCGGAAGTGTTGGGGTTATTGAAACTGACGGGTATATAACCGAAGATACAGCTTCTGAGTCCCAAGTGGAAGACCTCAGTCCGATGTCTGCTGATTATAACGCAGTTGACGCTATTTCGGCTGTACAGAGCAATGCGCATTCCATTGACCTCACTGAGAATTCTGATAACGAGATACCAGAGAGTACCAATCATGAGGACATCGTCGTGATTCATGGTTCACCAAAGACTCATCATAGATCACATTCTGATATATTACCTTTGACCTCTGAAGACATGCTGGATAAGAAAAAGAAGAAAAAAACGATTTTATCACAGTTGCTGCCGTCGGTACCAATTGTTAATCCTATTCAGAATCCTCTGGGACCGCTTGAACATCATCTTCTACCACTAGGGTGAGTGTGATTAAGAATAGTGAATTTCAAATGATTTTTTTGATGACTCATACAGGATTTCTCATCTTTGACAGGTCAGTTGTACCTATAGTGGTTTACGAATTGGAACCATCTTCGATAATCGCTTACGCATTGGACTCTCATGATTATAAACACGCTCTTCAGGAACTTCTGCGCTCTGCCAAAGGACCAGAATTCAATCCTAGTCCACTCTACAGACGTAAATTTCCTGAGATGAAAGACAATGTTTCGGATATGTCGCAATCTGGCGAATTCAAGAGGCCCTCAGTTCTTTCTTTTCTGAGAGGCAACAGTCCAAATCCTGCAAGTCCTTTGGATGCTGAAAAGAACATCTCATCTGTCGAACCTAGTGCGCAGAACCCACCTATGACCTCTGAAAACGACGAGGACAAGCGGAACAATAAGCAACAAAATTATATAGAAGTTCAGTTCAATGAGGGAAACACAAATTTTTATTGCAGAGTGTATTTTGCGGTGCAATTTGCTGCCCTACGAGAAAACGTTTTGCCGTCAGGAGAAGATGGATATACCAGAAGTCTGAGTCGCAGCGTCCAGTGGGCTGCAAGGGGTGGAAAGAGTGGAAGCGCTTTCTGCAAGACCAGAGGTGACAATAAAAAGCGAAGCAGGATAGTTTATTGAAAAATTATAATCACTCTATTTTTATCTAACAGACGACAGATTTATTCTGAAGGAAATGTCGCGGCTGGAGATGCAAATATTCCTGGATTTTGCACCAAACTATTTCTCTTACATGGAGAAGTGTCAACAGACCAAACAGCCAACACTGTTAGGGAAGATAGTAGGTGTCTACAGGGTGTCCTTTAAGAATAATACAACAAATGCAGCCCTTCGCACCACCCTCTTGGTAATGGAGAACCTGTTCTACAACAGAACAATCACTGATAAATTTGACCTCAAAGGATCAGTAAGAAATCGTTTGGTAAATCCAGACGATATTGATCACGAGGGGGAACTGGTTTTACTCGATGAGAATTTATTAAACAGTAAGTGGACTAGATATTCTTTTAAGACACCAAATACTTTATTACGATATTTTTTATAGTGAGCTGTGATTCTCCACTATACATAAGACCGCATTCCAAAGCAGTATTAAATAAGGCTATTGAAAAAGATACCAAATTCCTGGCAGACAATTCAGTGATGGATTATTCACTTTTGGTCGGTCTGGAGCCAAACTCTGATGAACTTGTTCTCGGTATAATAGGTAAGATCCATTGAGCGTCTGTACGATAGGAATTATGGCTTGAAATAATTATTTTCTAATCTAGATTACATCCGAACGTTTACGTGGGACAAAAAACTGGAAACTATGGTTAAGAAATCCGGTATACTGGGTGGTCAAGGTAAATTGCCAACAATAGTGTCACCGGAAGAATACAGAGCAAGATTTATAGCTGCAATGCATCGATATTTTTTGCCTGTACCAGACAGGTGGACTGGACTTGGTCGTGGCGTCGAGACGCCATCGGAATAGCCAAAAATTTGGATGTATTTTTTACAAGGTCGAAGTTACCATTATAATCGTGAAGTGAATTTTTCTATCAATTTGTCAGTTTATATTAGCAAAATTCTCATGATATATTTACGAGTTGCCTGATCGTGAATTATCACCAGAGGATACTTCGATTGTACATAACTAAAGGAATTTTCAATAAATTTTGGAAAAACTTGTCTTACCATAGGAGCTGACTATAGGGGATTAACGTACTGGGGTTGTAGTCAGTTGCACTAAGTACTAGTCATATATGAAAGCACCATTATTAATGATTTATTTCGATAATTTTTTGTCTTCATAATTATGTACACGAACATTATTTATAATAGTCACTTGACTGACAATAGTAATAATAATAATCATTAATATATAATAATAATCGTCATTAATTCATTCATTCGTTACGATATAACAACAACATAATGGTAATCTGTAATGATCTAAAGTACTAAACACAGGGAGGGAGATGGGGACAGCTCGTGGATTCTGAAGCACGTGCACACTTAAGGAAAAAAGAATATTGTTCTAATATCCATGGACGAGGGAGAGGTATTATTTACATTAATGAACAAACTGAACGAACAGCGATGGAAAATGCGGTCAAAGTTCACAAGAATTTTTCTTTCGTCATTCTCGACGTGTCTACTACAAATACACACACAAATAATTAGTACGACCTAAGAGACAGGTGCAGCCTCCATTTTCACAGAAGACAAAAGCCACGGCTGTCAATTCCGATGAAAAAACCAGTAAATTCGTAGCTCTCGTTCTCTTTCACTGTCTCTCACACTTGGTGCACGATTATCGGTTCTTTATTCCAGCGCGAGAGGAAAGGACGTACGTGCGGATTTGAGAAGCTACAAGAACATAGAAAGACAGACGACAGACAAAGAGTTTAAGAGACAGATGAAGAGTGCCCGATGGAATAAATAGCAAATATGAAAATTAGCCTTATAGAATAGCTGGGGGCCTGTTATTGTCCGAAGAATACAGTTGCGCAAAATTTTATACAAAGTGCCAAAACTTATGGGCAAATTTCTTATTTGCAACAGATTCCATTTAAGCCATAATTCCGGCTTTGTCAATTCTTTCTGAACGCTTCTATCTTATCATTTCTTGCGCCAAATTGTTTTTTTCCCTCATAGACACGCGCCGATCGATTATGCCAATTATTGTTCTTTAGGGAAAAGCAAACAGTCTCGGAGTCTTCATAGATATTTGCTACACGTGTATCTATGTAATAGAAATCCAATTTCCACAATTGCTTTTTACAGTTTAATTGGCAGTACACATCTCGTGTACCTAACTCTTCGACTCTCTTAACACAGTCTCATCTTGTGCGTGGACAGGGACGCGCTCTCGTTACACAACGCACTAACATCTGCTACTTGATTACAGTAATATTTAATCACGATTAAAAGAAATAATGGCGAACGTAGAGACTTATAGACTCTTACTTCTTGTCCATTAATTCCATTTGCTCTCTATCGGCATTCGATCGATCGATCAATTTGATAGCAAATAAAGAAATCGATCGAGCGATCGTAGAATTAATCGACCCTATTTATAAGGAAAACCGTAAGAGGATTCCTCGAGGAAACGACGGTCGAGTAAAGTATAAATTGAAGCGGAAAAGTGTCGCTCGCAAAACGGCTAAGAAATGAGTGAGCGTTCGCAACGACCCAAGGAAGAAGGACGCACACGGTGCAAGCACTAATAATTAATTACCAGCTAATGATATCTCTAATTGTCTTTCATTTACTTTTTAGGAACTACGCTCCTATATCTCGCGTCTCAAAAAGAAATAAACGTAAAAGTAAGAAGAGGAGCTGCACTAAGAGACGGCAGTGACTCCCTTTTCAAGTGAACGCGATCCTAGCCGATCCGCCATTATGATTCGATTCTTGAAGTATCAATATCAAACAGAAGAGAAAAGTAGAACGTTTGGAGTAATTGCTTTCCTCTTAACGGAAGGTTTCCCGGTCAAGTCGCATTGGACAGATCAGTCTGGTGCATCGAAATTCAAGACTGCTGAGATTCCGGGACGGAGTACCTCCTCCTGGGGAAGGTCCTGGCGGAGATAATCGCAAGTAGCGGATAGCAGCAACAGGTCGACGAGAAGAAGACGTCTGTATCGGATTCTTAAAAAAGACATGGAGAGTTCCAAGCTCAATTTCGCTTCGATCAAACTCTCTTTTCCTTCTTCGTCTTCACGCTCAACCGCTAAGAGCCACATATACGTTCCACGTTGCCGAGGTTCCTCTCTTGGAGTCCAAGTGGGTATCTGCGTCTCGACGCTGTCCGCATCGGCGTCGATGTGTCGACGTCATTCGCGTGTGACTTCGACGCCTCAGTATTCCTTAGGGTTATTACTTCTTGCGGTTTGCGATTTGCACGATGACGATGAGTTTGTTTTATCTCTGCGGTTCGCCAAGACCAAACTGTTGATTTTGCGTCTGTTGCTGTGCACCACCGGAAACGCTACACCGGCCACCGTGATGCTGCGTTGTCTGTTGACCATTCTGACTCGGGGACATGCCTGCAAAGACATACGGCACGTAAATAAAGGCGACTCCTTTCCTTCGAGCTCGCGAGACATAACCGAACAAGGAGTTTCGTATGCGTAAACATGTTTTTCCTCGGAACCCATCTACGTCACAGCCAGGAACAATCGATATATCGAAATTCACTGGCGCCTGCAGCAGTGTGGACCGTAAAACATGCATATTACTTACCCGAAGGTGTTTTCTCACCGGCTGACATCTTCGAAAAGGCCAATAGAGCGTCGGGGAAGTTCGGCGGCGTTGCAGGCGTGTTACACGGAGTGATCTGAAAATAAAACAAATGTCCTTTCAATAATTTCACATTATTATCATTCTAACGCGTACCACATATGTACATGATGTGAGTGTGGATTGGTATTACTGAGAATCTTTCATGCGAGTACTCCTAGCCTGACTTGAGGTTGTTTAAGCTGCTGGCGGCTGGTGGGTGACGTCAGAGCCAGGTGAACGGACACACATGATACAATGTGTATACAGGGTTATTCAATTTAAACGTACTAATAAGATTTGACGGTTATCGCGTGACACGCGTCAACGAAAAAAATCCTGGTTTCTAATCGCACCTAGAAAACACTGTAATACGTAATTTCAATATTTTCGAAATATTTTAAAAAACATTCTACGTATTCGTATTCGAATGAAAACATCAAGGGTGAATGAACCTGTATACAAAGAGGAGAGGAGTCTACAATGTATCGTATCCTGTGAACTACAGTGAACTGTACCAAGCTATAGAAAGCTTCCTGATGCGCTGTTCGCCAAGACAAAATGGCCACTCGTGGATCCAGGAAATTAACTTTAGCAATTTTCTCAACCACTTTGTACATACCACGCACAATGCTCTTGGGGTATTTTATTAATACCGATACCAACGGTGGATAGATCGATACGCGTCTCGATGGCGTAAGGTCAAGCAACGTCAGACGCAATAGCACGTAACAAAAATGTAGATTGAAATAAATAATTGCAGACAAAGGGCGGCGAAGGAATCACAAAGTTCTTGCCTAGTCTTCGCTGGGCGATTCGAAGGAATTTCAAAATTACCTAGGCAGAGGTCGGTCCAGTCTCGAATATTTGGCACGCGGCTTATCGGAATGCCACCGACCAGAATAGTAACCTACCTACTGTCTAGCTCTCAGCCGGCAGTGGTTCTCTTGAGGTTTGCCTAACCCGTCGATAACCTTTAAATCAAACGTGTTAGTTAAAAATTTGTCACCACAAACTCCCAATAAAAATTTCAATAAATCCACGTACAGTCCCTCTCAAAGCTAACGATTAATTAAATCCACAAAACCTTCCGAATAAATTATTTTTAACCTTTTATTTTTCCGAGTAAACTTTGAGGTTATGAAAAGCCCGTAACTGCTGCCTAAAATTGAAAAATTCTCCACCAGTCAGAGTGATTGATTTATTTATATACGATCAACTGATTTCTTATCGTTATCAGTTAATTTTAGGATATACTGTCGGCCATGCCTTGATAACCATTCTAATATGGAACAAAAGGAACCCAGCACAAAGAAAACGGACCTGACGGAACAGCACGTTAGTCGGCCATTCGCATAAGACCACAATACGGGGTATTTCTTCTGACTAGGATGAGGCCAGTGTTAAATATATTCGTTGGCAGCTTACTCGTGGAGCCATGAGTCACGGACACGTCGAACGACGCACACTTTCCTTCTGTACACATACAACGCAGCGAATATAGTTACACGAATGCGAACTGTTGATAAACACAGGGATTAGCATTACAACGCCTATGGCTTTTATGGCTCGACTCACTCCGCGTAACCTAACGCAACACGAACGTATTCTCGACTATCGTCTAACCGTAGGATATCCTATCGCGTTGATAAATTTTCAAATTTCCCGCCACACTGCTCCGTGAGTCCTAACCGAGCCCGGTTGAACGATCGGCACGGCCTATTTTCACGAGGAAAAATATTGATAATATTGAAAAAATATTACGCAATTAGATCCGTTTTCTTCGAGCGTGATAAGGGGGTGCCCTTGAACGTATTTAATACACTGGGAGAGCTCGTCGTCCGTTACGAAAGGGAATAACATTAGAATTCGTTTTTATTATTCGCAAGGAATCGTATATCGATTAATGTAAGGGGTTAATAAAGTTATATCGAAAAATATATTTTAACTTTATAAATATCGATACTGAAAATATAATCACAGATATCCGGCACCGCCATAAATACACATTTGAAATGGGATTTGTCCGGTTCGGAAAGCAGGGAGGGTAGTTGAGGGTTGTGGGGGACAGAAGATAAGGGCAATACAAATTATTTTCGCGGTTAACATTCGTACGAATATAAATCGAAGGACGGTAAGAGGAAGTGGAGGCAGGGCACTTGGTTGGGAGAAATATACGAGGAAGTTTATGCTTTTGTACAAAGTTACGAGGGTTGACGTGAAGGAGGAGGGTGAAAGGGGAGTAGATAGTCGTGGGACGTTGGGAATAGCAGGCGGATGGTGAGGAAGGGAAGGGACGCCTCGAACACATCAGGGTCAAACACGCGCGATCGATTTTCTCCTACCCTTGGCCAACCCCAAGCTGGCAAGGTATGTTTTTGTCGAGCTTTGACCACGAACAAAAGTTTCCGAACGTATTTTCTTACGGGTCTCGAGTCCTTAAGGTTTCGACCACTAAGAAAGCACTCACGTGCACTGTTGCGTTTCCTTCACGTAACAGACAACCCCCCCCCCATCCCCCGACAAATCTAAAAGACAGTGTCGTCCTAACCCTTCTTTGCGCTTCGCAGATGTTGCCTGGACGTTTCTACGTGGTAGGAAAGTTACTGAGAAAAGCTAGACGTCCCGGGCACGCACGTGTTTCCATGAGACGATTCAAGGCTGATTCACACATTTCAGTGCTGTATCGTGCACATACGTGAACTGACGTACAATCATTTTCTAGAAGTAGGACCGTTATCACATTTCAGGTTCTGTTTCAGTGACTTACCAACCGTATTAGTGTTCGTGTCCGGACATTGATCTGCAACGATATTTTTTGAACGGACGATACAGAACAATGACGACACTGTGGCGTATGAACGATATTGGTATTAAATGGTACTAAAATATTTGAACATTCCGTAACGATGCAGAGACGGGGATACGGCACCGATGTGAATTGCCCTTAAAGCGATAATGGAATTTGCGGAAAGAAGTACGGGTAGGTTGGGCATAAATAGTGTCGTATGAATTTTCTAGGAAGTAGGGTCAAAGAAGATAAATGCCGAGCAGACAAAATAAAATAAAAAGTTGGTAGGGTCGGCGACGGGAAACGCGATTACGTGGAAGCAGGCTAGGAGCAAATAACGAGGCAAAAAATAGCAGCGCATAGAGGCGCGTGAGTAAACAAACACTGACGGTAGAGGAACTTGGCATTATGAGGAGTATGTACACGGAGGATGGATTAAAGAATCAAAGAATAATCATATAGGTTCATTACGCTTCACTGACCTGTCCGAAATGAGTGCCAGGTCCTTGGGCACAGGAAGGTATCGCCGCTTCTTGGAAAAATATACTCAGCGCTGTCTGAAAAAAGAAAATGTAAAGAAATACATGAGTTAGAAACTGTTTCACGCTTCTATCTTCTGTTTACTTTCGCTAACTCAACCTAACCTAACTTAAACCTTTTTATTTAATTAATATTTCTTGCTCTCTCACTCGCGAGCTTTTAATTTATGTAAAAAACAAAACTGTTATCTCAATAAAATTCGAAATACATGCTTATACGCAAATCTTTATAAGAAATTAATTAGCCGCATTCGTCAAATCTTCATAAAAACAGTCCCGAATCGAGATTGAGAATCTTCTAGCTCCAAGATCGAAAACGACAAGGCTATTGGAGAGACAGATAGGCGTACGGACGTTGCATCACGTTACGTAACCTCACAGTTTATTTATACATAACCAGGAACAATCACGCGAGTGATATTTCGACAAGTCCGCCACCGTCACTTGTGTTTGATTTCGGTAATGATTTAGTCATCCATACAAAACAACGTATGCAAATGTCTGGGTATAATGTAAAACTTATGTAATCCTAAAATGAATTATAACCAAGTGTAATGTGTACATTAATCATAGCAAAAGTCCAAGAGATACTAGAAATCACGTGTCAAGGGTGCGCCGATTATTCCCTCTTGGGAAAAGGGTAGGCGGTAAGTTCATAGGCAGTTCTAGCACGTAGAATTTCTCCGGATCTAAAAATAAAGTGAGATGGCACCGTGCCATCCAGCGTGCGTGCTATTTTTCGCAGTGCTTTGGCACACTAGCATTGTTCTCCTGGTATGAGCCGAGGATGCAGGAGAATCCGCGAGTGGATTTCTTTTGAAAAAAAAAAGAAGTCTTCAGCGCTAACAATAAGAATTCGAAGATATTTTTGGTCATAGGAATGAATAATAGCCACCTGAATTAAACTGACAAAAGGGTCTGGGCTTCGTATCGCTGATCAAGAGAAGGCGTCTGTAATATTTCGTTAACAGCATTAACCGGCTCTGTAAGAGAAGGGATACTACAGAGAAAGTCTTCTGACTCATTGTTAGTAGTTGTCAAACGTTGTTCCATAATCATTCCATTAATTCTCTGTACATACATGCAGCAGCTACGCATTTCGCTAATATAATGACTGTGACTTCATAACTAGCTGCGAACTGTATCCAGGATTCACAGAGGATTTAATGGAATTTCGAAACCTCCGCAGCGTCCGCCATTTGCAAACTAAAATTATATGTGTAAACTATAGACATAGATTCATGTACAGATAAATGGTTGCTACGTATTGAGCAATTACTCTCAATACTGTATAACTGTATACGTTACTATAAAAGGGGATCCATTTCCGTCGCTGACTTCCTGGGTCGACGACGGAAACTCTCTGCGCCAATCGGCATTACTGGTTGGAATTTCCAGCATCTATATATATATATATAAATATATATATACACAAAATAAATAAATGTGTCATGTACGTCGTATGACGTAGGCAGGGATGGAAATAAGATTTTACAATGTAACCTTCGCGCTCAAACTCCTTATCGTTATTCCTGTTTCCGTGGATCAAATCTGAGCCATCGTACTTGAATCCCCTGAGAGGCAATTAACTTCCAGCTTCTTGGAAAGTCCATTAATTCTTTCCAGTAACACATATACATATTCTGTATCGATTTGAATTCGCAGCCAGGAAACCTCAACGCCGATTAGAAATCAGAACATTATATGGTTCGACTTTTGTATTATCGCAAAACGAAAATTCTTATCGATTTCGTTACATCACCAGACGTTCATGTGTATACGAATGACGGCATATTTATCTGTTTCCTAGTACTTCTCACCCAGAGACATCGCTCAATGTTTTTCTTCTAAGTTAGATGTTTTGTTTACATTGCAACTACTGAGCAAATATTGCACGAGGGTCGCCCTGGATTCTTCTAGACAGCTAGAACTCGACTTGGCAGAGACGTTCGTAAGCAACGTAACAGTGTGTTTATGTACGCATTTCTCAATCGAACGTCAAGAGGAAAATAGAAGGAAATTACTTGAAGTAGGGCGGAACGATGGACACCAGAATTCGCAAAGCAGACACGTCATGTCACGAAACGATTCGTTTACGTGGAGAATCGATCGCCGGCGTATTCGACGCGTAATGTTTTTGTATGCTAGGAAATGCGAAACAGGGCAGAAAATTGAAATAAATACAAAGCGAATGAAAGATGTAGGGTTTGAGGCTCTTATAGAAGCCATACCTTATCTTGATAGATTTTAGTGAAGCCTAGAAAGAAATAGAGAGTTGGTGAGTGAGGGGGATCGTAGGTAACATTCACTCTCGTCTGATTTTTATGAATGAAACGCGTACGAGCGCATCCATTGAGGTACGAAGGAGTTCGAAAACCGAGGCCAGACGTACGACGTGTGTGTAACAGTAGTCGAGGTAAATGTTAGTAGATAAGTGATCTTCATACGTTACATAAATAAAAGATTCGCTCCCTCTCACTATGCCTGTCCTCTAATCATTTTAGCTTCCTGGCCATTGATCTCTTCAGCTTCGAAACTAACTGGATATATGGTGTGTCACGGGATGAGAATCTGCAGGTAGTACTAGGAAACAAGCCAGTTTGGTAGTATACAAAGTTTCCTTCCTGTATGACCTAATATAATTACGTCGGCCATTTTCTCGGCTTTGTTTACGTAGTTTAAGGTACGACGCACGAGCCTCACAACGCATAACTTACGCACACGAGAGTATAGCTACTGGTAGCGAGTAACCTGGCTGTCTGGCTCACCTCGAATTGCCAGTGTGCAGCCTGCAACAATTGTTTCGCCTGTTCCCTGGCACAACCAGCAGCCAGCACGAACTGATTGATCATCACCTGCTCCCGCAGGGCGTCCATTTTTCACTGAATTTCCCGCGGGAAGTGGATAACTAAGCGCGATCACGGCCTTGCACACGATTCGCGCGTGCCTGTTACTGCCAGCTGCTGTTCTAAGATTCTTCGTTAAACTCGAAAGTGATCGCGAGCGACAATAGCGATGCTGGCGATGGCGACGAGCGAGCGGCGGCGGCAGCGGCAGCGGCAGGCTCCTTGTTTTCAAAACTAAACTCATCCCAGACCGGCGACGAGCGACGGGCGACGGGTGACGGGCGACGAAACTGCTCTGACGTCACGCACTCCCGGATTCTCTCTCACTCACTCTCTCTCTTTCTATCGCACACTTACCATATTATATCTCTCTCATCTCTCTTAACAGTCGCTTATATATATCACTACTTCGCTCTCGTTTCCTTTAAACTAAACTAGGCACTGGCGCTCCCTTTCGTTTGTTTCGACTCATCTTTGCTTCATCTGATTACCACTAGAGCACCACTGTATTGTTCCCAAGTTAAAGCGAGTTCACAGGAATGAGTGTGAGATTGTTATGTCTTCTAAGAAATTATTAGTGACTTTTGATGATTTGTTGAAAATATTGAAATCATTGCTAGTTTAATTGTTTCCGAATGAAGACTACTGTGTATAGCTTTATGGAATAGCGGTAGTATTTTATTACTTTTATTTCATTTTTAATTTAGGTAAAATTAAAGTGTTTGGAGCCTGTTTTGTAACTTGGCATTATAGTTAGGTAACGTGTGTACGAAGCTTCACAAAATAGAAAACTTACGAGCAGCTGATCGGTAGCTGTCAAAATGGAAAGTTCAACTAGTGAAGACACAGGCGACGATTATTATTTAGAATTATCCGCTGATCCGATCAGATTTGAATCAGTCAGCTTTCTCACCAATGTATTCTTCGATGACTCTAACAAACAAGTTAGTTTGATGGATGTGCTTTTTGCAATTTGTTACTGACGATTTCTAAAGCGTCAAATAAGGGATGTAGTATTTTAAAATAATTTAAAATGATTATGCACAGGTATTTGCTGTACGGTCTGGCGGAGTTACAGGAGTGCTTGTCAAAGGACCTAATCAAAATTTGAGCTTTAGAATGGAAGATAAAGGACCTGTTATTTCTATTAAATTCTCACCAGATATGAATATTCTTGCTATACAGCGTACTAATACTTCAGTCGAATTTGTTAATTACTTGCCTACTAGGGAACTGGATAGCGTAGAATATTCGCAGTCATGCAAAGGCAAGAATGCATCTATATTGGGATTTGTATGGACACATGGCAATGAAATATTACTGGTCACGGACCATGGCGTAGAATTGTTTCAGGTAAGCCTGGTCTATAGTTTTTTAAGCAGGATCAAAATCAAGTATAAATCGTATTTTTACAGGTCACCCCTGAAAAACGTACTGTTAAAGCTTTAAAGTCTTTGAGCTTAGGAGTCAATTGGTTTGTATTTTGTCCACAAAGTTATTTGGTATTGTTATCGTCAGGTACTATAGGAAACCAGATGCAAGCACTGCACATAACTCCTGGAAATCTTCACAAGTTAACAAAATTTGAAAGTGAGCAATAGTTATCTCATTAAGCATTTTTTTTAGAATTGATAGATAATATCTGTTAACTCATCTGTGTAGTGGAAGCCACAGCAACTAAGCCGGGTAAACTAGCAGTATCTGAAAGAGACGTAGCTTTGGCTGTTTTATACGATATACCATGTATAATTGTACTCCGACATCAACAAGGCGCGAGTCGGTCTAATGCAACGACTTTTGTTTACGTTTACACTGTTCACAAGTAAATAATTTGGTTTTTTTAGAAATTCTGTGATTTATACAAGATTTCAAAATTAATATATTTATAGGATGATGACCATCAAGCGAAGTCATATTTTAAAATTAGATATGAGCGGTAGATTCGCAATTAACGTAGTTGATAACTTAATCATTGTTCACCACCAGGCGTCCAAAGTAAGTTTCATAAAATTTTTCAAATACAGTAAGATTTATCTTCTATATTAATAAAAATTTATTTATTTAGACATCCATGATATTTGATATTATGCTACCTGGCGTGAGTGATGGTACTGTCATATATCATACCAGTGTAGCTGTACCAAAGCCGATAAAACCATACAATCTTAAGGTCCCGGGTGCTACATTGTCAGAACATATTTTTCAGCCCTGTCAATTATGTATCCTTTTTCTACTGCCAGTATAAATATCTATTTCTTATTTTATTATGCCTTAAATTCCCATATAGATTCCCCAAATTGGGTTGTCTTCCAGCCCAACATAGTTATAGATGCAAAACTAGGTTGTCTATGGTCAGTAGAAAATGAGTAACGTTAATGATTCAATTGATTGATCAATCCAATTTCTATAGGTACATCGAATTACGACTGGATGCGTTAGTAAAGGTCATTCGCGACAAGATTCTATTGGTCGAGTTCTTAATGCAGCGTAAAGACGCGAAACAAATCTTAATTCAAGTTCTGCAAAGCTTCATGACTCAGATGCCTGTTAGCCTGATGGAAATGCCGACAATTTTTGACAAACTCAATTCCGTCTACAGGAGTCATCTGGAGAACGAAATACAGAGCCAGGTAACATACTTCGAAATCGACAATTTCTTATATGCTATCATAAAAAATCGTTAAATTTATGCAATTTCTTATAGATGGGAACTCCGTTGCAGAGCAATACAAAGAGTGTGGCTACAACATTGGAAAATCTTAAGCATAAACTTTTGATAGATCAAAGTGACATATATACCCATATACTATCCAAATTTTCTGAAGGCACAATAGAACCCAAAATGGTGGTATGGGTGTTACTCGAATACATAAGGTACTTTCCTGCTACTCCATAATTTATTGTTACCTGTTTTGAAGAATGAACAATCAAAGTTATATCATTCTTTAGGTCATTGGCAGAACATGGCATTCCAGTGCAACATTATTTGCATGAGTTAGTTATCACAACTCTAGTTCATAGAAAAGCATATTACCAATTACACCAACTACTGCAGTATCACGTTGTAGCCGATTCAAAGCCGTTGGCGTGTTTACTTCTTTCTCTCGAAAATTTATACCCAGCTGCCCACCAATTAGCACTGGATATGCTGAAACGTTTAGGAAACGCCCACGAAGAAATTATCGAAGTGCTTTTGTCAAAGGGTCATATTCTACCAGCTTTAAGGTAAATAAATGAAACGGCTAAATATTCTTTTTAAATTTTTATTCATGCAAAAGTTTCTTTAGGTACGTCCGTTCGGTGGGAATGGCAGATGAAATATCAGCTCGAAAGTTTCTTGAAGCAGGGAAGGCCTCCAACGACCCCATACTTTTTCATTCAGTTTTTAAGTTCTTTGAGCAACGTAACGTTAGGCTACACAATACAACTGCCTTTACTCGCGGGGAACATTGTCAGCCTTATGTTCAGCATTTCAAATACTTGTTTCGTGAAACGGATAACGGATGCAACTCTGACACGAACTCAAATGTGTCAACAGTCTCTACATAATTCAATGGCCATCAGAAGACCCATCGACTGCTGATCTATTCTGCTTTCCAGGACGACAGGAAGATCGACATGAAAACCATTATAACGAACTTCATAGATTCCAGTAATTGACGATGGCCATTACGCCGTCTGAATACTCATTTGCAAGTGACATGCTAGAAATTGCAGAGCGTGTCTCCAGGTAAACGAGAAATGAAATTCCAGTGTCTGTGATTCTGTGAAGTGTCGATCAATAGAATATTCTTATGTATTTGTATATATCTGATGTACGTATGAGTGTACAGATGTAAGAGGGAGAGACAAAGTAAAGGAGAGAATGACAATGGAAAAGTTTGCCTGATTATGTTTCCTCAGTAAATGTTGTTGACTAGCTTTCAAGTCCAATCGCATTAGTTTCGTTGACATGTCCATTTAAAGTTGGTAAGTCCGGGCTTGGGTTCCCAGTGACGTCAGACGGATCTCATTAAACCTTTTAATAGGTCAACCAATTGCTATAAAGGACCAACCAGTTCCAATCAGGCTACCTACTGGCACGTGAAATGTTTTATCAGCCCGAAGTACCAGCAGAGCGTAACGTTCTTTAAATAAAAATCGATCGGCGTCATTTCAACTCGGCTGATTGTGGTTATCAATTTGAGCAAGCACCATTTTCACGGTACATGTTTCTCACTAGATAATTTTCAATTAGGACAAGATGCAATGCTTCATAATTCCATTGTGATATTGATCATCTGCTGAAAATCTTTCTTCCTCTGGCTTCATTCTCAAGTTCCATGCGGGTAATGGGGAATAAACGTGACCATCCAAATTACATTTAAAATGGATTTATTGGCGTACCTTAAATCACTTTTCGTCTTTCCTTTTCTTGTTTCATTGAACGATATCGTAAAACGCGCGTTATCATTACTTCGGCTTAGCCGAAGTCTAATTTTTCGATAGACTTCAGAGGGCACGACAATACGCGAGATACAAATACGTCATATCGTACGAACGGATAAAGCTGCTGTACAAAAGTAGACTCTCGCGATTAATCTCGCGCTAATGTCCGACACTTAAATATTATTGATAATAACTGGTATCCTTTCCATCTTTGTTTATCATCTTTTTATTCGTCCGGCTAAACGAGTCCTGAGATTCGCGGGGCGTTCACGCTCCGCCATGTTGCTTCTTGCTGGTAGATTCAAAAGACGCATCGCCGCCTTCTTTGATTTGGCAAAACGGATGGATATTAGATTTAATCTGATCCTCGGAGAAGATCATACATATATCTCAAATTCTTGTATACGATCTCTGGTCTTATTCCTATTGTGACTTTAAAAGTCAACAGACACAGTGACGTGCGAGAAATACGTAAAGGATATTTTGTGCTTATTTCTATAGTAACACCAATAAGACATTCAATAAAATTGGTCCAACGAGACGTCCAAGTGGCTATCTTGTTTTACAAGACGTTTCCGTTAAAGCAAATCGCTCATCGCTACGCTGGAATTTATCAATGCAACTTTCAGGTATATCTCAATAACCTAAAAACTTTGTCGACCAGCTCGAGAATTGTTATTCGTTACGCATAAACGGATAGACAGATTGACAGATAGACGGATAGACAGTTAGACAGATAGATTACAGATATGAATATCGACGATATAGATATAGATATGGGAAAGTGTTCAATTTCGTTCGTTTCTTTTTCTTATGGGTATTCACTAGAGAATCTAATTTCTTCAGCGAGTTATGACTATTGATTTTATTTTAGCACGATTTTTATGATTTTTAGCTTGGCCTTCTTGACTGTCGTTAATATGTAGAAAGATTTGTTTATTCCACTACGGGATCCTTTCATTTGAACAATACATTAAGTCTCAGAATAAGTGAAATCTTTAAATTCTATAATCAGTTACACGAACTCGTGCTTTTTCTGACATTTGATAAAGAGCCAAGTCCGTTGATTAATTATATCGATTACAGAGAAGAGGAGCAAAAGTGTAATTTTCTTCTTTTTTCATAATAAAATTAATAATTAAACTTGTTTAAATCAGAGACAGACGTATCGAGTCTTCTTTTGTTTCTCAGTCGAAAGTTCGTTAAAAAGAAAAATATATTCTCTTTTGAGGTTGGGACGGTAATCAATACGTAATTGTAAGAGGGCAAGTCAGTGCGAGGTACGAAGCTCGTACATTTCTATAATGAAGAATAACGCGATTCCCTCGTTTCTGTAGGGAACACTAGAATAATCAATAAAAGCATATTAACACGTCCAGTGTAGAGTAAGAATATCGTGCGGCGCCGCAAAGATGCGTACGTATATGTGTTATGTATATCAATGCAGTATTAACGATACAATATTTCTCTTGTTTTGGCGCTTAGTAATTTTTTCCATTATTTTTCTTTATTCAATCCCTTTTGTGCATCGGTTCAGTGATAATCGGTATCGAGGCATTCGCTTGACGCCCTTACTCCACAATAACTTTTAATATCCCGTGATAAATGAAGGAGCACGAAGGGCGTCACGAGCGTCTCGATGCCATTGGCCTGTTCCGAAGTAATATGTATTCTTATATGCAAGTATTACGATAATTATTTACTTCGCCCCTCGTTAAACGATCAGATAGAATCTCGTAGGATCGATTATAAATTATTTTTTCAACAGGTAGAGACTCCGTCTTTGTTCCTGGTCAGACGTATCCTATAATATATGGAGTGCTGTCCTTACAATAACTAAACAAGAATTTGAAGGAAAAAAGATCCAGCAGAATTCTTTGATACAGCAAAGGATCTAGTTTGACTGCAATTGTTAATCAGTCGTACGAACGGCAAAGAGAGCAGGGCTGCTCCTGGGAATTTAAGAAGAGAAATTGCAAAATAACAGACAGATGGATAAATGGAGTCAAAGATGGCGTTTGCTTTATAACTTTGTTACCTGAAGAAATAAGCAGATTTCCTTCTACGAGTTTCCTCCAATAAACGTCTTGCCAATTAACTCCGCTCCGAGCTTTTATATTTTTCAGATTTTCATCGGTTTTACTGATCCATTTATACAAACTGATTCCATTCAGGTTTTAATTGGTCTTATTGTTTTTTTTTTCCTTATGCTTGATAAAGCTTAAAACAAGTCATTTCACACGATTCTTCAGAGATTCTTCTCTGATCGTCAAACATTCTTGATTATCTGTCTTATCAACTATTTACTTATTACATTCAGATTGAGATTAAAGATTTTGTCTAACACTTAGAGATACGTGAAGATTAAGCGTTTTAGATTTGTTCCTCTTAACTCCAGGACCCGTGACCTTTGACATTTTTATATCCCACGTCTCCTCTGTACTCCCAAGGTGACAGATCCAGTATATTATAGCTAGTTACAATTTTCCCAAAGAGCTCCTAGCTACTTTACCCTTTTTAATATTAACCGAGTGACATATGAGTCAACGCATACCTAGACCGGACGGGAATTCGTATTTGATATTTGCATTCCGAGACTGATGTCGCGACGTTAGTTTGCGCTTGGTCTTTGATCTCTGCTAGAGTCGGCATTTACTTCTCTCTTTCCTTCCTACCTCAACCCTTGCACCACCCTGTTTCAACCCTCATTTCTTCTCATTCTGCTACATTTCTCCCTCACGTAACTTTCCTCCTACCGTCCTTTCGTTTCATTTCGCTACACCTCAATTGGCTCCGTTTTTCTTGGCATTTGCCTTGGTTCTTTGAATATCCCTTTTTGCCTTTCTCTTTTTGCTTCTTGTTTCCTTTTTTATTATTTTCTTCTTCATATCGTTATCCTGGAAAGTACCTCTGATCAGACCATTCATAAACACATTCTTCCTCAGATATTGTTTCCTTCACATTAGGATACCCGAAGGATCAGTACAGCATTCGGTAAAAATATGAACTAACTCAATCCTTTGCTTTAAGAGATGTTACAGTCGTCGGAGTGAGCATCTCTGATTTGCTGTTTTGTCTTCTTGGATGCTCGTCGTATCAGACTTCGACTACGAGGTTTACTTTTTGTTTCTTCCACCACCGTCACCACGCTCGATCCTTGAGCTTGGAGTAGTTGCTGTTGGCTACCTGATCCCGCACTTCCTGTTCTACCGCCAGGACTTCCGGACCTTGGACAAAGGCAAAGGTAAGAAAGAATCCATTACTCTACTAATTAGTTTTGGAACTACCTAATGTTTTTTTTTTTTTTTTTTTAATAGAAAACAATACATTACCTGCGAGATCCGTAAGCCGAACAGCGTCTTTTCAATCCAGAATCATCGGCTTCTCCTGCAGGATTCTTCGGCACGGAAATTGTCACAAAGGACCTGAATATTTCCTTGATATTATAATCGTTCTTTGCCGAGCATTCCATCACCTTCGCTCTTAACTTTGGCAACTCGCAAAACAGCCACTCGCTGACGTCCTCTATTGGCACTTCTCGATTAACAGAAGCCATGTCCACCTTGTTTCCTGCCACTACTATCGGCACTTGCTGTGGAAAGAAATTGGTTCAATGTTTACTGTCCATCCGCAAGGACTTGTCTATTTTGAAAGGCCATTCTTCAAGAACAACCTACCTGGAAGTCTTGTCTTTGCTCCTGAACTTCCTGGAAGCACCTCTTCATGTATTCGAAACTAGGTAGCGAGGTCGTCGCGTAGACCAAGAGGAAGGCGTGTGCATTCGCTATAGCGAGTCTTCTCATTGCTGGGAATTGAAGGTCACCTGGAACAGGAAGGAATCTCGTGTCAGGTGCTTATCGTTATTTACTATAGTTTGCTGGCTGCTGTTATAATCGCGTTCGCTTGAGCTACTTCCCAAAAGCTGCTTCAATAAGTCAACCGAGCCAGCCCTTGTGACGTTACTGTTGTTCCTTGCTGTTTACTCAACTGTCTTGCTTCACAGGGATATTTCAGAATTCTGAGTCGATTGTTGTATCTGGTAGGCTAGATACTAGAATTAGCGGCAACTTGAAAATCTCCTTACCTGCCGTATCCAGGAGATCCACTTTCAGTATCAAAGTTCCTAGCACACATTCTCGGCAATAGAGATCATCTACGGTTGGCTTGTATTTCTCTGTGAAACCTTGTCCCAGTAGACGGCGTATTATGGCACTCTTGCCAACTCCAGCACCACCCAATACCACCACGCGAATTCTCTCGTTGTCTGCCATTATGATTTTTTTGTCTTTTGAATATCTTGAAAAATCTACGTTCCTTATTCTCGACGAACCCTTACGTTTCCATAGCTATCGTATCAGCTAGACTCTTCTTATTTTTTAATTTCATTTACCCAGGCGATGATCAATTTTTTCCTCTATCGTTTCCCTTCTCTTGTACTTGCAGCTTTACCAAGTAACTTATATACGTGTGAGAAGGTGTATCCTTTTTTGTTTTAATCGATAACCTGAATTTTTTCAGAAACCTTCCTTGGAACTTTTCTTCAACTGGAAGCAATATTCTTTATGTAGTCTGGTTATTTCATGATGAAATAATTACTGAATTTTACGTTCTTACATGGATCCTGTTTGAAAGTGAAATTTTTATTGAAAAACTCGCTTAAGAATTCTCCGGAAATTCCATCGCTATTGAATATATCAAATGCCTACCTTTTACATCGCACGGGAGCTGTATGTAATATATTCCATTACGGGCACAGTAATGCTAAATAAAATTTCGAAATCGATCAGAACATTTTGTACGTTGAAACGTTATCCTTCCTGTTCTGTGTCGCTCCTACGTTTTTCGTATAGGATATTCCGTTCCTCTCCTGTACCGTAAAGCCACGGCGTCCTTTTTACATTTGTTTTTGTGCCACTTCACATGGGGATTCACATACGTTTCTTTTTCTTATGGTCTGAAAAAGATAACAAATACAGGTATACCAATGGTATTAACATAGTATGCTATACGTTACGTATTAAATATAAAATGAATAATTGAAAACAATTTGGACAGCTTTACAAAAAATTAATCGACCGAGAAGAAATAATTGGGGATGTTTCGTCATTACGTTAATTGCGACGACCAAATCTCAAGGGACGCAGATAAATCAATCTTTATAACGAACGATCATAATTATGCCCATCATCACCAACGCTCGAGAGATTTACCAGCGGGATTTTATTTGCGTTTGTCCTGCTCCCTTTTGCTCCTTTTATTCTTGTTAAATCTCTCGCTGACAAATTAGAGATTTAATGCAATCCGTGCGTGACCTTGTCAAAGGTGTTGCGAGAAGGAGGGAGTAGGGAATGTATGTCATTTACATTAGAAAAGTGTCTGCGCATGTGAACCGTAAAAATCATATGAGAAACTTCTCGAGTACTGGTACTCGGTTTGAAAAATATGTTTTAACAACTTTTCACTGATATGGATACAGAGAAAAACGTCGGGTCGGTAAAGTCAATTCCTTCGTAAAATGGTTCTCAGCAAAGGTATGAATAAAGTTCGTTAATATTTTTTAACAAATATTCGGAAGATCCGGCTTAGTTTACAATGAATTTAATTTTTTTTCTATTTTACAGACTGGATCGGACAACCGTAACCAAATTTCTCGATTCTAATGGTTTCTTTTACTCAGGGTAATGAATGCTTTTCCATTGGTTTCCATTAATTTATGCTTAGCAAAAAAATCATTGGCAATATGAAATTTTTCTAGGGGTAGTCCTTTGACTTGTTACGTGAAGAAGGCTCGATGTCAATTCTCTCTGCTCCATTCGAATCGTCCAGTCAACGAGGTCGCCAGTCCCTGAATCAATCTTCCGTCGGAGGATCATTAATATTTATTAAATTAAACTCCTGGCTGCAATTATCTTTGGTTTGTGAGACATCATCAATGCTTCTCAGTTGAGAAATCCGGTCTGTTATCAATGTATAGGAATTACACCTCATTAATCATAATTCAAGTATATATAGTAATAGCGGTATCACCAAAGGAACGAATAACTTTCAACAGATTTATCGCGTGTTAAAGGAGAAACCGGAATTTTGAGTAACTCGCACGTATAGTATTTATAATATTATATAAAAACTTCAGGATAAAGTCGATTGGAATCGTCAATAAAATTTCCTTAATAAACATAATATTAAATTTATATGGTAAATTTGTCGGATACGTGGATGATTATAAGTTTGTGGGATAAAAAATATTGAATTTTGGTATTAGAATCAGAGAGGCTGTAATCGTATACGATTATTCTGGCACAATAGGGAATACAAAAATTTTATTCCTGTCTCAAGGTGTCCTGGTGGATGATGAATTGTTGAAATTGAAGGAGCATCAGGTGGCGAAGCCATAAAATGGGGATGTTCAGGGTGCCCTTATTGGCATTATAAGATTGGGCCAACAAGTCCCAGGGACTAGCATAGTAAACTGTTTAGAGGGTGTAAGTGTCATACGTTTAGGGTTGTCTACAGTTTACTAAGCTCTAGGGTAGCTCTAAGGGTGGGAAGCTGGAAACATTAAAGGGCCGAAGGAAGCACAATATTCAGTTTCACCGTGTTTCCAGGGTGGTTCTATTACGCCTCGTGGGCCTCTCACTACTAAGGGCTGAGTTGGGTACAACCCCTAAATACCATAGACTCGTGGGCAACCTGACAGCCGATTACCATGGCAACCCATGGGCGTCCAGGAACCCTTCAAAGGGATACATGAAATTTGCAGTAAAGGCTACTTCCCGATTGGTGTTGCGTCATAGAACGTCATAACCAACTGCAGTTACCTTCCAGATTGGCTTCGTTTTCGTATCGCTCGTCGTCAGTCTGCCTTTGTCACAATTCATTTTAGTAATTAACAACAAATTTTTCATGGTACAACGACTAATTGATTTCTCATAACAGGTGACGCAGTACGAGAACAATGTTTTTTGGATGGTATCAACTGGTCAGGATTATATTTTTCAAAAAATTATCTCATTATTTCGTGCTTGATGTCCCAACGGTGCAAAAGGGTCAGGTCATTGGGAATAGTCTTAAATAAGGATTATTCTGCTTTACAGGCTGGAAAGTACGAAAAAGCTAAAGGAAAAGTCAGGATTTTTCAAAATTTCAATTTTCCCTGTGAGTACAGGGATTTTTATCTTAGGAGTTTTGTTGGATTTTTGATAATGCCAAAGCATATCTGCAACTACCTTTAATAAGGTCGTTTTAGATTTATTGAAATCCTCATTTGCATGGGATTTGTATAACTTAGGATCAGCCCCAACGAATCGAAGTTTCAATCCTAAATCGTTTGATATAGGCAACCACACGATTTTAGAAATTTTATTCATTCTTCTTAAATTTTGGAAACAGGATGTATGTAACAATCCCCAGTAAGTTGAGGATATATGTAGACATATTGCGCGCGACGGCTATATGAAATGTGTTTAAAAATAATGAAAGTCTCTGTTTTAATTCCAACGGAGCTTTAATAAAAAAGTATGTGTGCATTGTGACGTAAAGCTAAGCAAAGTAATATTTTAGATTTTTTAAAATATATTTTTCACGATCTTTCACTACGCATAAACTTTGCCAGTCTCCTTCAGGGTATGTAAATATTGGTTTGTTATTAATTGTCATTTCTCTCCGGTATCCCGCGGCATATATATTTCACCCTCCGTTTCATCCCTATTTTTTCCTTTTGTCAATCTTCCTCTTTTTTTGTATCGCCTTAAAATTTCATAAGTTCCCCTAACAAAGTCATGCACAGAGCCTTCCATCTTGTATGTGACAGTTTCAGTAGACAGTTGTCACGTTATTATTTTGATAAGCTACTAATGAATAACAAAGGCCAGCCAAAATCACTCGAAGCACGATGATTATGAGAAGAGGGTTGATTAATTAAGACAGTGTAATCCAGGAGTAGGTACGTGGGATGTGTCTAAGACACATCATTTTATTAATCAGACAAATATCAAGACTCAATGCTTTTCAAACGACAACATTGCGCAACTATTCCCAGGTTCGATAAAACCGTTACAAACGTAGTTATCTTCGTTAGTCCAGCCTATAATGAAATAGGGAATGAACGGATTGACGTAGAGCGCCACTTGATAGTGCATAAAACCAGATAAATACATCCAGTTAGTGAGGTTACGTAGAAAATCACATGAAACTGGTAAAGCACGGCATTTTGGATGCCTGGTATATCCGTGGTTTGTGGCTGCTAGCCTCTACAAACGCGGCGTATGGCTAGAGGGTTTGTCACTGAGTCAGCGAATAAAGAACACACATTGACGAGCCTATAACATTTATGGACATTGTATAGATGTATTGTGAATATCGGGAGATAAATTGAGAGTAGCTGATGGCTGGTGGGATAGCTGGCTTGAAATTCTATAATAACCGGAGGGCAGGGTACACTCAGTGTACAAACGTATTTACGTGCGTGTAGTGAGCAATTACGCTGTGGCAAGGTTAGGAATACAATACAAACGCAACGAAGATATTGGTAGTGTAGTCCATAGCAAGGGGGGAGGCAGCTTTGGTTTTGTTGTTAGTTCCTATACCCGGTAGCTAATGCTTGTTGAATATATATTTCCTTCAGAGGCGCTGCTTGATGCAAAATTTTCTTTCTGTCTTGACTGCTGGTAACGACCACTGCCACTACTTTCCACTGCCACCATGAGCACTATTCTCTGCAATATCGACGGTTTATGCTTCGGGGCTTAATGCTACTTGTATTATTCCAGAAGGCAAGCTGCTATGAAAAACTTGGAGTTACGTGTCAGGATCGTGCGCGAGACACGCATCAACTAGTTTCCAATAAACGATGGCGATATAAATATTTCCTGGTGCGACTACATACACTGACACACACTCATCGACCATACGGGAGTTTCTCTCGGGTCGTATGACGTAGGTATCTCTTTAGTGTTATGTATGCTTTCCTTTTTACATACGGTGCTATATGTAGTATCACTTGCTGATATACCTGAACACTGGGTTTAGTTACAATTGTTTGATCTTTAATTTTATTATTTTTTTTTATAGAGTGAACTACGTGTTTAGCTGCCTGGGTGTTGACATGCATTAAATATCTCAGTCACTTTGGAGTCTGAACGACAATAGTCAAGATTATAACGAGATGCAGGCTTGACCTCGTTTTTCCTTCATGGTTCATATACATAATCGCCATATGTCCTATAAATATTTTATATTTTCACTGAGGTATGATAATTTTCTTACTTTTCTTTTTGGTTCGCTTTTTTTTTTATTCTTATTGACATTTTCTTGTCATCAGATCTTGGTGCCATTCGCGCACGGTCGTACACTCTATGTACGAAATGCGTTACCTTTTACAACGAAGTCTCGTTAAAGTCGTACGACTTTCGGCGCCGACCGCCTGCAGATGTTATCATTCTTGTCTCGAATGTCCGTATCGAACGTTTATATTTTACACGAGAAGCACGTAGTCACGCAATTACGTAGTATAAACCATAAGGATGTTGGCTGATATTTTTATCATAGGTATTTTTGGTGAGTGCTAGAGTCATTTTCACCCTTCGATTGACCGATAGTTAATTAGCTGTAATGATGAAGAATTCTTGTTTGTATTGGACTGCAAGAGAAATGTGAATGCGCCAATAATTCTTATATAGCCGTTTTTCAAGATTCCTTTTTTTTATTAGTTAATAATATCGTTCCTTCGAAGATTCGACGATTTTCGGTTTTCTGCGAGAGAACAGGATTTCTTTATCTTTTGGGATGACTTTCGAAAATTCTTTTTTTCCTTTACAGCATGGTCTCATCTAGGACTCAAAATCCTATGGGTACAACAATAGCCGAAAAGCTCTCCGAAGTATTGTCGAAAATTTTTCTTGGATTTCAAATACCCTACTATCAGCCGTCCACAGTGAATCCACTTGTACAACAGGACTATTGTCACGGAGGAAAAGAAACCGCATGTCTGCTGAGAAAAAACAGGACCTACCTCTTACCTCATATCTTTCACTCTTACGTGCTAAAAATTTTTGCTTTTGGATAAAGGAAATTCCTGTAACTCTGTAAGGGAAGCACTATTTTTTTTGTATGATTAATGTGCTTCTTTCTTCTATTCCTTATATCAGATTCGTCAACGCTCCACTGAACTGAAAATGATATGCTTTACCAGTTTCCTAGGACTTTGGATGCATGACTGGGAATTGATTAAAACATTTTGCCAAACTTTTCCGCTTGGAAGCCAGCATTGATATTATCCGAGGATACAATCTGGCTTAAAACTAATTAATTTAGAGAATACAGTTGTTGCTCTGTTATGCTCAGCAGCAGTACTTGTCAGTATACATACATATCTATCTACAATAGTTATAGTCAAAGAGGGTGGAGTGGCTGCTGCAGTGATGATCTCTAATTAAATATTAACTGCTGCTAGCCGTACAGTTTTATCTCATTAATACCAGCCAAGATTCCATGGACTAACAATATGTTGATATCTCACTCAAAATAATCCTGCAGGAATTAAAGGGAGTATAGTTTGGCGTTTGAAGGCGGTAGCGAGGTTTAGAAGTGAAATCAAAGGGAATCAATTGGAGTCAAAGGCAAGCTAAATCAAAGTCAGAGGGAGACAAATAAAAACGTGAGTAATCATCAAAAGGAAAACATTCCTTCATGTGGATGTGGATGGGTATATACATATATATAACTCCTTTAAAGTATTACATTTTTAAAATCATCTTTCCCTCTTTCTTCTTTGTCCTTGTAATTCCTTTTTTCCTTTGATTTATTCAACTTTTGTAATGTCTCTGTACAATTTTTATTTTTTTTCATAGATTCTGGATATGCTCCACTTCACGGCCACGTAACGTGATTTTGCGAAGTAACGAGTTGTGCTGCAATAATTGCAATTGAACGATAATCTTCTGGAGTATCATGAGCTGCCAGGTCATAGGTCACGTTACGAGTTCGTATTCTCTGATAAGTGTCTACGTAATATTTTTCAATCCCCATTTGTGCCATTAGCGTCACAGAATTTCATTGATAGGTGAATGACTGTTCGCTCTGGAAATTTCTCATCCCATTGATATCCGAAGGATGCTGCGCGTTATCAATTCTCTCTCATTCCCACACGAGATCAAATCAATTAAATGCAACTCGGTTGACTTGTCTGGATGCAAATATTTATAGCACCATTATGAAATCTCACTTCTGATTTTCATCTCGGTACCCGCGCAGAATCTTGCCTTGCGTTTTACCCTTGTCTTTCTTACCCTCAAATCTACTCCGTTTCACTAGATCTTTATTTGCAGGGAAAGACACGATATCTGAATATGAATTTCTGCTTTTTACGTCACCGAACACAAGTGTATTTTCCTTTGAGGCGAACGAGGAGTAAACTACGAAAAATAGTGAAACCCCATGTCAAAACTGGATACTGGATCCATCCATGAACCGACGTGGTTGGTCAAGCGCAATGAAGTTCGCTGGCGTATAAAAATTTCGCAACGACTTTGCGGCAGGGAATCAGCTACAGGATACGTTATAAACGTTGGGTAAATTTCCGAAATATGCTCTGCATCGGATCACTTTTCTTTACATTTTTTCTTATCCGATCTCTTATCTGTTAGTATCTCGACTAACTAGATTCTCTCGGAGCTTTGAGTTCTACGAATCTCAATTTTTGTTTAATTTTGAATATTATCTTAAATAGTTAATCGGCTGAAAAAGAAATCACAAGATCCTGGATATTTTCATCTACGCATCACCGGCTGCCATTTGTTACATCGAGAAGAAGAACGATAGAAAAAACGGATTGCATACCAAGCGTGAAATCCGAAATCGTAAAGCCAGATGTACGCTCGTAAAGTGCACTTTATACCCAAGCATCGAGTCACGCTCATTGCAGGAAATTATCACGAACGAGAAAGGATGAATGTAATTTCACTTCAATTCGTTTCGCTGCTTGGAATCCAAATCGTCTAGCCATCTTAGGTATGCTTGGATGGTCCTTGTGAAATTTTTGAGGAAGATAAAAAGAAAATCAGTTACTAAAGTTTGTTCACTTAGAATCTTTAAGCAATTAAGATCCTTTGTCAGCATCGTGAAAGTACTAAAGTCGGATTTGCTAACAACCTTTAGAGATAATTCCACTGATCCAGCTCAGTGATCGATTCTCCTATTTGCGAATTTGTTTTGAAATATATTTTTGTCAGATTCACCTGATACTTTGGATTACGCTAATACTAATTGATCTCTTTTTATCCTCTCTTTCTTCCTTCTTGCTTGCGTCCCAAAGCTCCTCTAGCCATGGTGTACGTTGTTCCGTTATTAGTCTAATAGATAACCAAGATTATCTCTTGGGTTGTTATATAAAGCCAATCTTCTCTACTCGTGTACTACTTCAGTCTCGTGGTAAATTTCTATTTTATATACACTGAAGTTGGCTTACTAGAAAGATCCAAACTACTGGAACGTCTTGCATTCGCCGTTGCTGCTTTAAGTTTGACCTAGCCAGGAATTAATACCGGAAGCAGCTTCCATGGAAGTCGCTAGAAACTTCAATGAATGTTGCGATTTTATGCCACGTAAGAAGTCTCTGACCATCTTGGAATATTAAATTTCAACATCGTTATATAATCACGTGCTGTTATGAAATCTGTTATAGCTGCCATGCAGAATAGTCCAGTTTGCTTCATCTCCCTTATGAATTTTCAACGGACGAATTTATCCATTTTTATTTCCATGATGTCGCACGAGGAAAGAGAAGCAGTGAAAGGTATAAATCATAAAAGATTTTACACGACAATACGAACCTGCTCATCTGGAAATTATGATATACTAAAGGCTTCTATTTCTTCACATAGTGAATCCAATGACGCGGCAGATATTCCAAGAGACATTTTCAAGAAAAATCTTCTCTGTATCCTGATGCTGCGAGACGGCCCACTGACTTCCATTTTGATGTGTTTATCCGTAACGCAGCTGATGTCGCACAGTCAAGATTCTCCGCCATATATACTTCCTGGATATTTGAATCCTATCGATAGAATTTGATGAAAGGATGCTGATGATCGAGAGAAAATGTTCAGCCTGACAGGCGCCAGTTCGGAATTATAGACGGGCGTGGTTCCTCTGGCATGCTCTATATTAGTTTCATCTGTGAGAGTAGCGTATCAACTGGAATACATAGGCGCGTGCATGCTGCTCGTAGAGTGATAGAGAGTGTAGAAGGGGGTGGGGTGGGGTGGGGTGGGGTTAGCACACAACGTGACATGATGGAATAGGACAAGAGGAAACAGCTAAAGTTAATATCCGTTAGCCTAGGGTCTCTTAGTTCGACACGTCTATGGGGATTAAATAAGAGAAACCCTTTTCTCACGCGTTAGCCTTGCTTTCTCTTCCAACCCCCCATCGTATTCCGTATCTATACTTTTACTCTGCTAACGACACTAGTTCGATAGAGATAAAAGTAAGTGATCTCGTGTAACCAACCCGTAGATTTACGAGAGACACGAAATAATGCAATCATTGGGGAAGTCATGAAACTTCCAGAAACTTCTCGAAGCGTGTTTCCTTCGGGGCCCCAGATGAGGGGTTGGAAATGGCAAGCTTCCTGAAACACGAGGATGTAAGGAGAAGAAAGAAAGGAGGAAAGCCTCCTGCTTTACTACTCTTTCTTACTCTAAGTGTCTCTCTCTACTCACCCTCATCTCATCTGTAAGGGAAAGCCACCCCCCTCTAACGTACGTAAATATTGCTAAAAAAAAAAGAAAATGGCGAAATAAACTCTGCAAAAAGCAGTTGCAAAAAAGGTCCATGTATTAGTTTGTCTGACGTTTAACGAAATTATTGTTAAAAAGTCCTCACGTCATGTTCTTTTGGCTTTTTTTTGCAATGTAGTCCAATCAAAATTTTCAAACGATTTCGATCAACTCTGCGACTGACAGCTCTTTAGCCAGGAAACAAAATTGTATCAAAACACGAGCAGTCACTGTGACCAACAGTATTGTTTGGAATTACGTGGGTTTGCGAACCTGTCTTTGTCATTTTAAAAAACAATAATTGAAACCACATCACTAAGGGTACTCTAGCTAGAGCACAAGGGTTGCAAGCTTTAGAGGTAGATTTATTTACATGCGTGTAGTGAAGCCACAAAGAAAGTTCATTAATTCCTATGTGATGTGAGTGCTGTACAAGGTTGTACTATGAGGTTGTAGGATCCTGATTTTTTGAACCTTATAAATTCTAATGGTCCAGATACAGGAGATCGTTTAGTGCTGAAAAATGAATGGTCACTTTCTTGCTCCGTTTATTTTATATTTTTCATTCTGCAATCGAAAGTTGGATTTTTGTCAGGGATTTTTATAAACTAAGATAACCAGTAGTGAGAAAGTCTTAGAGTCCTCAAAACTATCTAAGCAATGCTGTGGTTTCTTCCTGAAGAACCTTTCCCCTATAAATTATACTTTTATAATGAAACTCTTTATTATACTTTACATTCTAGTAGAAATGTTTACGAATGGCAAAGCGGCATGAAATGGTAACGCGATGTGAAATGGTCTCGCATGCAATTATTTATGTCACCAGAGAACCCCGAGAAATTGTTGAAAATAACAAAAATGTATGAGAGAAAGAAAAAAAGGCAAATGCACTCGTGTGAGACGGAACGTACGAATTCACCTAGAAGCCATCTAGTGTTTTTCCATAAAAGTTTAGTTCTCGTGGGAAAAGTACGAATTGTTGGAAATACACGAGTAACAAATGATTTTTTGCTACGTTTAACAATGCAAGCTTAATGGGGCACAGAGATCTACTGAGGATCAATAAATTCTTAAAGAATCCTTTATTTTTAGTAAAAAAAAATATCTTAAAAATGACAGACCTTCGGTTATGATGATATAAACCCAGGAAACTCATGGTATTCATAAAATCATAGACAATTAAATGAAAGTAGAAGTACCTGAACTCCCTGTAATGTCACTTGACATTCAAGCATGGAGGTACTACCCTTGGTAATTTTCCACAATGGGAACCGTAACACAATTCAAAAGGTGTTTTGCTCAGCTCCATTCCCCACATACATATAATGTAGAGGAAATCTCGGAGGATAAATATATGTATAGGGTGAAGCAGCGAGGGAGCGTAAGCGCGATAGAAATAGACATAAAGAAAGAGAGAGATAGGAAGAAGACTAGAAGAGATTGAGAGAGAGAGAGAGAGAGAGAAAGAGAATAGAATTGAGAGAGCATCGTAGGTTATATCCTTGACAGCCAGCGGTCCAGCTAATGGGCCGAACCACTTGTTGAAAGCGGATCCCACCGAAGTTCATACAACCCCTAGATCCTGCAGGGAGAGTCCTACCCCCCAACTAAAGGCCCCTTCTCTCGACCTTCATTCTGGCTCTCCCGTCTCCTATTCTATAACCCAGCGGACACAGAGCCCTGAAACTCTCGGCAACCGATTTTTAACCGGCTATCGATCTCCTTCTTTGCAGCATCCGGTGACATCTCAACGCTCACTCACCCGAGTCCTCACTGCCATCTCAGCACCATCGTCAATTGTAGCCGGCGGATGAGCTCAGGATATTGTTCTCCTCTACCATTCTACAACCCCATCAAAGAGATCACCACCCCATCCGATGCTTCGCCACCCAGGAGGATTGTTAAATAGCGAGAGCTCTGAGGTTGCAGCTACGGCAGGGTTCTGTTTCTCGGATCCTCGAAGACTGCCCGGGCATTATCGAAGATTCAATTGAGAGCTCTGTAAGGTTTATCAGAGAGGGTCGAGGCCGTAATTAAGATCGTTCGGCGTTCGGACGTAGTGGCAGAATGAATCAAGGGATGGAAGCGCGGAGCGGTGGAAAATTGAAGAAATTAATTTCGACGTTTAACGTTCAACGTGGGCTGGCTGCTTGTTATTTAGTAAAAGCGTTGCACCCGTTGTAGACGTCACGCCGATGAACCATTAGCGAGGTGGGTTACGTCATATACATTATATTCTCTTTGCGATTTCACGAGTTCCATTAAAAGTGTTTCTCAATTTTCTCACCCCTAGCCAACTACCCTGACTATTCTGCTGATTGATTACCTGGCGGCACTGCCCTTATTCTCGCCGATGGATGTACTCGCCTCTGGTCCAGAAAGGGAAGCTTTATATCCAAGACGAAAGCTGAAGACTTACGAGCTTTTAATTGAGAATGCTAAAGCTACCCCCCAGGAGGCTGCTTTTCTCATGAACCTAGTATTTAACTCCCATCCATCCCTTAGGCCGCTCCTGGCTAATGGCTTGAGATAATTTAGATTTTAGATTCTCTAACCCCATCGAGGGTTGAAGTTCTCGCAGGGTGAAAACTTGCAGGCTAACGAAGTCATGGCGATCGAGTCTTTGCGTCGGAACAGTTACTTCTTACGTTTTCGATGATTTTGGCATATTTATGATTTTACTTACTGCTACGCTGGTAAGGGTGGCTAAACTGCCCACCGAATAGTCAGGGTTTGAGAACAATGTCGAGAGGGTGCATAAATTTTCGCTTAGGTTATTTCCTTGGAAACTTTGTCGGAACGATGTTCTTCGAACGTGCTGATCGGATGCTGCACGTGTTCCTGAAAAATTGTCTTCGTCGGATAAACACGGATAAAGAAACTGTCTGTATCGTTCGTCGACTAGTAGGGATGGCCTATCCATCCCTTATCTCGTGTACCATTATTTTCCTCGCTGTCCTCTTCGAAATCTCACAACGGCAATAACGAAGCTAGAAAGTGGCCAGACGTTTCTCTCTGCTCGTTCAATCCTCGCACCCTCGTTCATCCCTCGTTCACCCTTATTTCTCTGATGTCTCTTTATCTCCCCGCAAAAGCACTTTAGGTCTTTCACACGAGCGATCGTGCGTCTCGACGCGAGGATCGAAAAGGAAGAAAAAAGACTTCCTGTTCATCTCCTAGTCTTTACCGATTTGCTTACTTTAGTCGCGCTACCCTTCGCGAAGGACTGAGGGTTGTTTGGCTTCTACCCTTGAAAAAAAAAAAAAAAACATTTTCGTCCATAAGACATACGAATTGCATTCGATGGAAGTACTTTCCGGGCACTTCTCCCATCAGCCCCTCACTCTAAGGGATGATTGGCGTGAGGGTTGAATTGACGGCCAATGCACATCTCTTTCCGGGTGAATAACATCAGGACCCTGGTCCATATCCATTACTTGTGAGATTGGCTGATGATTGTTTCGCGCAAACAAATAAAATGACAATTTTATCTCTTTTCAATTTTATGTTGCTGCTGAGAACGTTTTCACTGATGAAAGGTACAATTTTCAGATAGACGTAACGGAGGGTTGCACCATCTGAGAGAGGGGATGCAAGTCAAGGGGATACTTTATAGATTGTCTTCTCGAAGATTCGTGACCCCGTTCGACCATCTTTGAATCGAATCCTGAAGGGCCTCTACTAGATCCTCTATTTTTCACACCAGCCGTTTGCACTCCCAAACGGCCCTCTGGACTAAGTGATTAGAGTTTGAGACAATCAAGCATATTCAGAGAATCCGTACTGTACAATCTTGTTAGGGTAATGCAGGAACCTGAAGACGCAGCAATACAGATCAGCGCCAGCATGTTTCCCTCTATATGGTATCGAATCCTCCCTCGAAGGATGTCATTTTTATTATAGTTTTATTTAATTTAAGAATATTCCAGATAGCGAAGCTGTAAATTTCACGCTTGTCACTTTTCGAGAAGGGTATTGTCTACTGTGTGTCAGAGGTTAAAGAGGGTTAGTTAGGGGTAGCCAATACGTTATCAGAAGTCAAAAGTTGTATTTAAAGATTGCTTTTTTTGAAGAAAAAATGTATGTACGTTGGTTGGAAAAATTTGGATATTTATACAGAAATACGAATGTGGAATCAATATTTAGATTTTCCAGTGGAACTGGGCTTGGCTCGTGAATTTTACTATAATTGGGGCTTAATTCTCAAAAGGTATCTGAATACTCAGAAAACCGTCTACAATCTTTACAATCCGTCTAATCTGGCAGCTCTATAAAAAAACATTCTAATTTACATCCGATTCAGCCGAAAATTGGTACCCGGGGGTTTTAAGGTTCGCTGAATTGGGATCTGAAGTAACAATCTTCAAATTCAAAACGACTGAACCAATATGGCGGACCTAAATTACCTCTTCGTAAGAAAAAATGTTCGTTTATTTTCTTTCATCTAGATTATTGTGAAATTTGGTACTATGGAGTTTTCAAAGTCGCTGAATGCGAATTGTAACTCCAAATTCAGGAATTCAATATACCGAATCCAATGTGGCATGCCCAGATTCAAAAGATTACTTGATCTGGATGAATCTCGGTACTCGGGGAATTTTTGAAGTCGTTGAGTACGAATTTGAAGTTAAAAATAAGAAATTCAAAATGACAATTGAAAATGCAAAAATTTATTTAATTTACAAGAATTCAGCCTACTTTTTATCATGAAAATCCGCGATATTGAACTCATTTCTAATTTCCGAATTTTGAATTCAGATTCATAATCAGCGACCTCAGAAACCTCCGAGTGCCAAATTTCAAGTAAATCGTATCTAACGAAAAATTGATATCTTAAGTGACTAACGGTTTCCATTTTACTTCTGCGCGGGAATATTACTCAATTAATCCTTAGGTAATTGACAGACTAAGGGAATCGGATCATTTTCTCATGGTTGAACAACTTATCCGATCTGTTGCGATTTCTCGACAGGTTAACGAGTAACTCTATCAATTGCATTTCTATATGTGTTATACACGTACTACGTGGGTATCATGTAGGTACGGTGTAAATAGCACGTGGGTATCAGATCTATTACGTAGCGACAATATCAGTTACTAGTGAAAAACACCTTCACAAGAAGTTTACACGAGTCACCGAGAACTCTATGAAGGATTGATAGCAACCCTTTATATATTTATCGTTAATCAACCGATAACTTTTCCCCAGGAATCGAAGTCGAATTAACTCGTTAGAACCGTCGGGCGTTTTCAGCCGAGTTAAAGGGATGAAATGGCTATCAACGACAGAAGTTAAATGTTCAGGGTTGAAAGTTAAAGCGAGTTGATGACGAAAATGAAGGGTGAGAAATCGGATTGGATCCAATCTATCCGTAAAAAAAAAGGGGAAGAAAGATTGAAACTGAAAAAAATAAGTCCTCGTTTAATCATGGAATCTGGAAACGATTCATCAACTGATAATTATAATCAATAGAATATACGATTCCGCGTCAATAAATACTCTCGCTAATTAATTGACGCCAGTTAGCACCGAGCTTCGATAATTGTTTGAAACAAATTCATTCTGCGCAGACAGCAGCATGTGCACGTCCTGGGCTTAGCCCTCACATCCAACCCTTGTCACAGTTATCGTGGTCCCTGGACTACGTGCTGGAAGGATTCCGTCCCAATGAATACCTCCACTAATTAATGGCTTCCAGTGCGGCGGTCTTAACGAGTATGACCTTCTGGTTTAAATTTTGCAATATAAGGATTAGCCAATATGTCATCCGGTCAGTAACTCATACTTTTTCAGCTTCTGAGATTCCCTGTTTCAACGACGATCCTTAGGACCAGGGACAGGGGCAGGATGGCTCCTTGGAAATTGATCCAGGTGCACTCGAAGAAGACGTAGATCCGGTACCGAGAAATAGCAAGTGTGCCATGGACGCTGTTGTTGTCCATGCAAGTTTATGATGGTATACGTCTAGTGGTGTCCCGACGCCACTGTAAGGGTCGTCGTAACGTGTTGCGGCTATGGGTTCCATGGCCTGGGCAAGTGTGAAGACTCGATCTTGCGTGAAACGATCAAAGGCTTGGCACGTGCGGATCGCCTGGTTCTGGTGCCATCGAGTTCGCCATCCGGAGCCGCCATTTCCTCGTCCTCTTTTTATTTATCTGGCTCTTCTGGCCATCCGAACCGGTACGGAGTCCTCGGTCTGAACCATCCTTGTCAACATTTACTCTCTCTTCTCTTTTTATTCCTTTGCTCTGTGTCACAGTCACCTAGGCTGCCCTTATATCCGGACTTCCATGTTGAAAAGGTTTTGCTGCAGCCGCGACTCACAAGAGCAAAAAAAACGAGTTCGGATAACTGCAGGGAAGAACTGTGAAGTAGGAAGATATAAAATAAAATTAGTTTTTGATATTTCATTTATCATATAATATATGGATATAGAGACTTTGATAGTCATATATTTGTTACCAGGACGCCAATTTATTTTACTCCATTATTAATGAATCTCTTTAGTATTTTCATTATGCTCATTTCAGAGGGTTATACCGTAAATAATTATCTGATTATTCGCATAGGGTTACATTCAGGGTTGCGTGTAAGTCCTGTTTTGCTGGCTCGTTTCTCACTGAGTTTCAAATTTGAATTTCCTTCCTGCGAGGAAAGTAGTTTGGGTAGTTTAGACAGTAGTCAGGTCCTTTTGAGAGCAAGTTCATAAATGCGTAATAACATTTCCACATTACTGCCGGATGGGGATCTAATGAGAAAATTAAAGATTTCCATAACTGCCTTTAAACAGTCATGAATAAAACAGTATAACAGCGTTAAACTGAAAATTTATACCTAGAATTTTTTCGACCGTACAAAACCGAAATTCCGTAATTCGTGTACCGTGAAAATTGAGGGTTAGGTGTATATTATTATTTCTGCTGATTTTAATTTGTCGTTTTCTGCTGTACTTTGTTTATCGACTCACGCCAGTCGTGATGTTAAGAAAATTTTTTAGGGCATTTACACAAATTCCATACGACGCCAAATTAAATAGTTCAGACACAGTACACTGATAAAGAAAGCATTGACCTCCTTTAAAGGATCCTTAAAAGTCCCGTATCAGGGTCATAACGTTGTTAGGAAAGTCTTATTGGGATAAGTAAAAAAATCTGAAAAAAAATATCCGCTCGGGATTTGGCGATTTCTCACGTACTTCTACGCAGTGACATCCAATATTTTTTTAGTTTTTCCTTTTTTTTATCTCTTTAGCTTTTAATTGATTTCCATTTAACTTTCTCCTCACTTTGAGATTCTTTGCAGAATCCCAACGTATGGCTGCACTACATAACCTTTAATACCGATGCGGCGGGTTTGGCTATCAGATAAGATACACTGATAGAGTGTATCTCACTGATAAAGTAACGTTCTATGGATTTTAATGGAAATTTGTATTTTACACGAAACATAGATACAGCTTGTAAAATTAGCGTGTTTTCTGCACGAAGGTTTTTAGAAGTGAAAAAGGCTGTTTGCTTTTTGGAGAAATGTGACAATATTTCTTGTGCCACTTGAGGATTTAGTCAGGAAAAGAAATCGCTACGATTATCCGGGTTGGGAAAAAGGGGTGAAAATAAATGGACTTTTTTCGAAAACGTTATTCAAATTCAGTGAATCGATAATGCGTATTGGCTTTTGTCGATGGATATGACTTCGAAGTTACTGTCAGTCGAAAGGACTAGCGTTTGACAATTTTGCGTCGCGGAATAATTCGAGTGAAATTGCTGTAAGAGCTTTTGTTAAATAAATCATAAAATGCGAAATTATTTCGTTCGAGAAAAATACAATTTTTCCCGTCAGAGAAAAACTCTGGAATACGATAGCAGAAATATGTTTTATTTGCCTTTCTTTTTTTTTATTTTCAACAAACGATCAATCTCTCTAAAACTAAAATTGACCCTAAGTGGCTTTTTGCCTGTCACGAATCCAATAAGATATGGGAAGCTGATCGTTCATGTCCATTTGAACGAGAATCTTTAATAAATGTTTAATATAGATAAAGTGAATGGCCAATGTACCTCTTTAACCGTATTTATTTTGCAGCTAAATCTAATTAAACACTGATCGAATCGATCATTCAAATGCGATTAAACGATTAAAACGAGGGAAATCAGAGTTTTGAACAAATTTTACTCGATGGAGTTACTCTTTTTATTCAGCAGCAGACTGTCAAAGGAAGTAAACGTTGATGACGTACATAGTTATTACTCCCGTTACATTTATTCCAGTGTATCATCATGCATTAAAAGCAAGCATGTATACCGACCGTATAAAATGCTTCTCACACTTGCTAAAGTATTCTGCCATTCGTAATATCTACATGAAATTGAAAGACCCTGTATTGAAAATATTCTTGTTGCTTTTTACCTTAACCTGGGTATCCCATTTTTTCTCCCTTTTTCTCATTCTTTCTTCCTTATGCAGCCTCCTATATTCTCGAGGGATACTGCGTTCGAGAGCTTATACTTATCCAGAGGGTTTCTGGCAGGTTTCACCATAAGCAAAAAACATGAGGCTGGTTTCCATGGCGCAGTAACTTGGCAGCCTTCGATCGACACACCACAGGCTCAGAAAGGGGCTACGTTGATTGCTATTCCAATTTACAATTCCCTTTGAATTTAACAGTATCGTTATTCAAATCGCTATATAATTCCCAATGAAAGTGTCAATTCGTAAATTAGGTTATCACGGAAAGAATTTTGTTTGGAAAACGTAAGGAGACACGTCCACAACTCTCATTCGCTTTATGAAAGCTGTCATCGTCTGCTCGTCAAGATGGCTTCTGTTGGCATCAGCCCTCTCTAGGTCTTCTGCGGAACTTACGCTGTTACTCCGGGAGGTTTAAATTACATTCATTTTGGAAACTAATTGAATCAGCCTTTAAAGTACTCCGTGTAACCGAGACAGCCGTGACGGTTGTACGTATATTCGATGAAATTTGTTCAGTGAAATGTTTAATATTTCAAGAAGTGTAGGTTATTTTCTTCGAAAATGTGAAAAGCTTATCAAAATTACAAATAGTCACGTTTTACACTTTCCGATATAAGATGACGGATAAACACGAGGGTAAACGGAATTGGTTTTCCAGAAAGGATAAGGTTAGAAGTTTTACATACTAGCATCCTAGATGCATCCCTTGCAATCTAACCTTGATTAGTTTTCAACACAACGAGTATACCTTAACTTGCTTCTTAAACTCCTACGGGTTAGCGAGGACATTGCAGCCCGTATTCAGAACTTGCTTTTAGTGCTAATGGCGCGCTTTTAAATTTTTTCTTAGTGACTTTTAACTACAAACGACTCTGTTAGTGACTTTAAGAGCGAGTTGTGAATACGGGCTTATATCTATTTCTTTAATCTTCTCGTGAACTTCGAAAGGAATAAAAATACTATTAAAATCTCGAAAAGTCAAACGAATCCGAACAAAGCTATCGCGTGCCCACCGTTTTCAATTAAATAATAGACTGGTCAAATAGCCGTGAATTACAGAAAGAAGTAGGCCCGTAGATCTGGTATGTGAGTGACCAAACTTTTAGTGGCAGTATAGCTCAGTAAATACAGGTCGTTCCATTAGCAGTCTCCGAACGACCAACCGGAAGGAAGTTTATGAGATCCATTGGGATTTCTTCATTCCCATAGACTCCAAGTAAAAATAAACTCTTGTGCAACCAGCTAAATACGATGAAAAAGGTCTTCAACCGGGGATTCAAGGTTCTTTAATAGCGAAAGATAATCGAAATGCTCCGCCCAACGTTAACTTAATGGAAAAGAGAAAGAAAGACAAAAGGAAGACGAAAATTTCATTCCTAAACGTTGATCGATCATCGCGCGCACGAGGCTGATATTTTTCCTGAGCCAATGATGAAAGCGATCAGGATATCAGGAGTAATGGTAGTGGAATTCTTGATAGAATTTCAAAGCCTAAAAAATAATTTATACCGCGAATAGAAAGTAATCAGATGTCATCTCTCTTAATGATGGTATCGTATTACGAATGATAAATTAATTTCTCCGCACGCAAGGTGCCGCATTGCTGTATCGCCTCAAGACGTAGATAATGTTTAGTCGCATGTGTCAGAAATTAATTTTTTTTCCATTCCCAACAGAAAGGGAGTATCGCTGCCGAAAGGCAAAACCATTGGAGGAGAATGAGGAGAAGGAGGAAGGGCAGGACGTTATAAAACAGACCAGGAAGTCGATGAAGTTTGCGGCGCGGAACGTGAGAAAATATCAAGAGGGTGTATAATGGGAAAGGATAATCGACTCTTATTATGTCCAGCGTTGGGGTACCTATGTATATATATGCTAAAGTAAAAATGAGCTGGTCTGTGCAAAACGTATATTCTTATTTATTCGGCAAACATTGATTGGTCGACAGATTCGTACGTGACGTTCGTATATCCTGCAGGCTGTTCGAAGGATTACGACGTGACGTAATATCCGTTAGATAACAAAAATGCAAATAAAAATGCAGAGACGACCCATGAAATTATAAGGGATGCTTCACAGCTGAAACTGGAACTCGTGCCAGGTCTCTTCGTTTACGAGGTAAACCAAGCGAGAAAGTCATCTCGTTGACGGTTACAAAGGGAAAGAAGGGATGTGGGAATGTAGATAAAAAGATGGAAATATGGTAAGGGGGTTTGGGACCGAGGGAGAAATAGGAGGGACGGACAAGGAAGGTGAAAAGATAAAATGGCACTGCGTTGGAACGGCGGGTAGGTGGATTAACCGAACTAAGCTTTCCTTTTTTTTGCGAGCATTCTTTCTAATTTTATATTTCAGGAACTCTTGGCGTTCGTGTAGCGGACAGATATTTTTTATGCTTTTGCGGAGCATCAGCATTTCCCGGCGTTATATTTTATTTCACGCTAACGGCAATACGTCCTTGTTTAAATATGAAAAAATTGACGAGGTTCCCTTTGGAGCGCTAAGGCGTTTGAAAAAAGAAAAGAAAACAGTGAAAAGGAATACAGGCTCTACTTTTTCTGGATATTTCAACAGGAATTACGATATTGTGCAAAATGATTGTAATACTTAACGTCGATAAACACGCTATTGGAGTATATTTTTATTAAAAGTAAATCAATTCAATTGTACAACCATGAAAGTAATTTTCCCTTTAATTTTCATCTTTTAATCGACCACCTTTTCTGTTATTACCAGTATTTCAGTGTCGTACCCGGATATGAGAAAAGGCGGAGTGAAAGGAACAAGGAAAGAAATGAAAAAAAACCTGGGAAGTGGCGCTCTGATGAATATTCTTCAAAGCAACGTCCTGCTGCTGTGGCTCGAAATTCTATCCCTGCCGAACATAACCTCGCACTTTTTAATATAGCGGTTATTGACAGGGATCGCTTGCACGGAGGGAAGATGCCCTTTTGAAGATTGATCATCAGCGCCATCTACATAAGTCACGTAAGACTAGCTACTCGTCATCGTCCCGTCGTCTAGCCCACGGTCTTACATACAGGTCTTGGAACTTCCTCGAATTTCAGTGGTGGTGGTATGGTCGCTTACTGAGGTTGAATTTAGTTTCAAACAGCGTCGCTGTTATCGGGCACCGCAGATAAATATAACCTGCAATCGTGCAGACAGTTAACAAAAGTTAACATCAGTTAACAGTTAACATCAAAAACTGGAAACCTGCAAAAACAAATAATAAGAATTTGGAAAAATTGAAACGGAGAAAATAAAAGTTTGAAAATCATTAATGTTTTTCGCATTTATTTGGATTTAGAATAATTAAGATTTTATTGGGATTATAGGTATATGCATTTCATCACACCGAGTCAGTCTATCGGCATTTACGCTTTTTGCTAGACATTATAAACTGATTCGCGTAGCTACTTATAGTCAACATTCAAGCGATGGAAACCACGAATAGGACAGAGATGGAGTGATCCTCCCGGTCCCCCGCGTCCCTCGTCCATACGATTACCCGATCACAGCGACTCTATGCAGCTATTCGGAATGGCATCGCTAAGCGACCCGCCCCCACCACCAGAGTTTCAAGACCTGTATGTGAGTAAGACCGTGGCTAGCCTCGTTTCTTTTCATAAACGCGATAAAGTCTAGCCGCGCAAACTCATTTCGTCGTGACGCCCGGAGAAGCGACACGTATCTACGTAAAAGTGCGTAGATTGAAAATTCCAATAAAATGCCAGTCGAATTCCGAGGAATGGCTGCCGCGAGGATGGCACGATGGTAAAAGGGGTGAGTGAACGGCAGGCACGTAAAATTCCAGAAGTATAATGGCCAACATTGGCGGAGTCGTGAAAACCAACCTAGAGGTACTTGATTGCGTTGCAATAAATCATCAGGATTAGAGATTAGATATATATATATATATATATTAGAGTTACGGTGATTAGGGGAAACCCTCGTTAACATTAAATTAATACGCACACTCTCTGAAATGCTTCCGCCCTCTTCGTTACCCATCATCCCTACTGCCATCTAACTGATGAGAATTTAATAGCTAGAAATTTGCACCATTGTCCTGCACTGCCGAGAGGACCCGCTAACGCTCGACTATGGAAATACGTTATGAGAGTCTTTAGCTGTATACAATCAATTTCTATTCGGCGACAATCAATTTCAAACTCACGATTCAGTCATCTGGGCAGCCATCCAGTCAGTAAGTCGTCCAAGTCAGCCGTCTAATGTACTTTCAATAACCCATTTCTCAAATACGTCACGTATTATTCGACCAGTTACACAGCCAGAGTTAATAATTATGTCTGTATGGTTTTGCATCATGTAAACAGATTCTGAAGAGAATGCAGATCTGGAGAGAGCCAGAGAGAGGAAGAAGAAGAGAGGAGAGAGAATTCTTGTATAACGGACTAGTAATTTCAAATTTTCAACGCTCAGAATTACTACGTGAAACCTGTCGCTTTCCAATCCTCGCTACGTTCATATCGTTACAGACGATATTCGGTCTTTCGACTGACTTCAGGTTGAACTTGTTCCCTTCGATCCAGCAGTACGTATAAGTAACCGTATTATAGTTCCTTTTCCTGAAGGGGAAACCCTTCAAGTATAGAATCATTATTTTAATATTGGGGTGTACCAATTTCAGATGTAACAAGTATATCGGTTAATTGAATGTGGAGAAATCGAAAGTTCGTACCGAGAAGAAAGCCTTCATTAAAAGAGTCGTATCTTTGCCAGGTTTCTTGAAAGAGAGAAAAGCCAAGCTAGACGGTAGATTTTCGTTTCAGAGACTTAAGGGAACTGCTGCTTTTTATGCCTCGCTTGTTCGACCTTAATCCCGTACGGTTCGACAGGGGGCAGCCTAGTAAGGCCAGTATTGCCAGTAGGGATAGAATGTACCGCCGTGGCATCACGGATGGGGTCTAGGGGAGTTAAGATGGGGTAGTTGGGTTGTCTTGAATTTTTTCCTTCGCCAAGCGGCAGCGGATGATTCGTCTCGTAAGCATTTTTCGCGGAAGTCACGTCGCCCTCGTATTTATCTAAGACCGTCTGAACTTTTCCTCCCTGGCGCATTTTTACTTTGTGCTGCCTTTTATTCCTTTCCTCCCTTCGTCGCATTCCCTTCGTCAAGGTCTGTCGATTTTTCTTTCTAACTCTCAAATAAACCGTCTTGCAAGAAATTAAGGGCGTCACGCATACAAATGCATGGGGGTTGTTTCAGGTCAATAGGTCAGAGTAAAGATCGTGTATTAAACGCGAGAGGGTCCATCGGATTCGAAAAGGGTGGTTTGACCCTCTGAGCCTTGACTTGATTATTGATGGAATCTCAGGTCACCGGAGAAGCCGTTATCTTTTTAGCAGCGTCGCGACGCACGTCGTCTCCCTTATTCATCACGTGGGCAAGTAGGAAAGTCCTTCGGTTTAACCTGATTCGTTAACTACGAGGGTTTTTTGGTCGGGTGGAAAAAAGGTTGTGGACCCTTACTCTGAGCTATGAAATTACACTTTTTTTTTATTAAATTTTCAAAGTCCGCCCTTGGACATTTATTAATCTTTTTAATAAATCCCTCTTGGTGTCGTTTTTTATTTTTTCTTTTTTCTTTTTTTCATTATTTTTTTTTATCGATTAACACCGATTTTACTGGCTGCGATGAAAAAATTTATATTTAACCCGTCGACAAATAAACGAAAACAGTATATCGGCAACGTGATAGTTTTTTAAAGTTTGATTATAATCAATGAACTTGAATAAATATCGAATATCAATCGCTGTCGGAATGCAAACGAACGTGGATAACAGTAATATGATTCCTGACCAAAGAGATTTCCGTTGTACGTTTTGAATTAACGTTGCCAACTGTGTCCTTGGAGAAAATGCCGCGAGCGAAATTGCTTCGCAGGATAATTCGACCGGAGCTGAAGGGGTGACTCTAGGCAGGACTCTAGGTGACTACTGTGAAAACGATAAGGGCGAGTTCTCCGAGACAGGGAAAGGGACGAATATGAAAATGAAGCCAAGTTTATTTCCATGAAAATAATTTGAGACCCCTCAAGTCCATTCCGTTAACTCGTTTCAAAATAGCACGTTGCCACTACTGCCTTAACGGTTAAACGAAACGTTAAACAGTTTAAAAAATGTCTATTAATAATGAAAATAAAAAGATGCTAAATGAAATATAATAATGAAAATTAAAAAGAAACTAAATTATAGTTGAAATGACATAAGAAATATTTTACATAGTAAAAAGTTATACGTTCCTTTTACATGGCAAGGGATTGTTTAAACAATTAAAAACTTTGTATATATTTACTGGCTCTTCTTGATCTTACCTTTCAACGATCTTGACGAACTCTCAGCAGTCTACGGCACTCTGGATAAACTCCATCAAATGACAACCTTTGATAACACGTTTAAGTGTATCCGTGAAACGTCGTGATAGGAGCGTCCCGACGCGTCGCCGGGGCGACACTGAGCGTCGCGCGATACCGGCGTTCGTATACGAACCAAGCAAAATCACCTCACCGTGACCAGAGTCTGCGCGTCTTACAAGCAGAATTATTTTTCTCGCGTGACTGTACATACACTACAAGTTCGATTAAATATATCGAAGCGTACAAAGCCATTCGATATCGAGACTCCAATGGTTAATGAGTATAACGAAATAGCTATGGAAAGTAATGGAAATAAAAAACAGAGTGAACTCCTCGTGATTGGTATTATGAATTTATTGATTGGACATCAGTCGATAAAATAATAAGCTGCCCATAAGTCCACGACTTATTGAAAAGGATTACGTGCGTACAGCGTAAGAGGGCTGAATAGTTACGAGGTAAGTTAAAAGGTTATGTACGCCCTGTCCGATGTTTAACGACGTACCCTATTAAAAGTTTTGAGCCGTGAGCTGTTAACTAATTGAATAAATCTTAACTAATAGACGGAACTCGTCGATACAAATTTGTATATAACCTGAGGTATAAGGTCAAAGGGAAATTTCATAAGATTTACATGTCCTTCGTACCGTCCAGCGTTCGAGCGGCGAAGGCCGGAGGCTCTTTCTCCAGATTGCAACTTTAGAAAAGGCTGCTTGGTAAAGAGGGGGCGACGTAATATAGACAGCATATCCGCCCTAAGACCCATCTCCGATTATCGGTTGTCATCTTCAGGAAGAAGAGGAAACTGCCTAAGGCTCGTCAAAAGCATACGAGAAATACAAGTGGAGAGTTTGAAGCATCCTTAAATACCAATTGAAACAGTCCAATATCAATTTTAACAGTTTCAAAGTTTAACCATATGACACGAAGCTTGCGAAGTGAAACAGCAGTGTTACGCCTGGAAGATATCTTTTTCCTTGACTTGTCACAGAGGTGGTAGGAGTCCTAGGCTCTTTGCCTGAATCTTGAGCGATAGGCAGTTCCAATTCCCGAAGAAGGAATTTCTGTGACATTATCTATAGCGGCAGTGGAAATGGCGATCACTGAAAACCCCATGCACACGTATCCAGTAAATTCTTGGGGATGAACAATCGTTCTGCTTTTTTTCTGATTTGTACAAAGGAGACCCACGATTCTGACTATAGACCTCAGAGAAATTAAATTCCCCAAGGGTTTTACAGAAGCTTCTGTAATCCCAAAGCATATCAGCAACCGTGAAACGCCCTGTGAACATTCGAGTCTCTCTGGTCGGTCGAGATAGGCTTCGGGGTTTCCGAATGGCCGCTTAATCGGCAGGATACCAAGATCCTTGGCTCAAATTAATGGCACCCAGAATGACGTTTGTTGAACCTTCAATTTTACCCATAGTCGTTTCTTTTAGTAGTCCGGTAGAATATTTTTAGGGTAAATTTAATTTGATACGAAGCCATCGATCCGTTGCTGTAACGCTTCCGTAATTGCTGCAGCGTTACAAGCTTTCCTTTTTAAAAGTTGCTCCTTTGGTCTTGAAGGGTGACGAAGGAGGGTGTAAGGAAAAAGTCGAACAGAGTATTACTTCAAGCCATTTTGAATCGACGATATACACTGTTTTCAATTTACGAGCCAATATTGCTTAATTGGTTCACCCTTGAGGTATGATTTGTACAGGATGGAGTAGCTTTGGAATTCGTATTTGAGAATAACGGGCGATTACGAAACGAGATTTCCTCGTGGATCGATGCGTTTGATCTATCGTTCATTTATTATATAAATATATCACCAAATAATATTATAAAATAAAATTCGCCTTTGCGTAACTAGCGAAAGAGGGTGAGAAGGGGTCGAGAGGCTCGATCGGATACAGGAACGGGGGATGCTAGGTGAGAGGACAGAGAATTTGAAAAAATTAACCAAATCAATTTCACGGGCATATCTGACAAGAGTCAAGCGTAACTTTAGCCTCTTTTTTATTGTTTTTACTGAGGACGTCGAGAAATAAAAAAATTGAGACGGAAAGGAGGTCTTATTAGTTTCGTTAATAGATACCTTCTGAAATTCACTAGCAGTAATACGAGTATCGTCGTGTCCCTGTTTAGCCTGCATGCGATAGAGCGAGATACAATATTGTTACGCAATTCTGGCAATGAATTTCGGTTTGTACTCTATTTTGACACATTGTTAAATATTCCCGTAACGATTATAACACAGTAAAAGATAAAGGGGGATTTTCGTCGACGTGACACTTTTCTTTACAAATATAGTAAAAATATATCTCTTCGATTCATAGAAATAATCGTTATTAATATTACTCGTTATTATCCATAATTAACGTTATCGTAATCGCTATCGTTAATAATATTACATAAAATAGCTCCTCTATCACTAGAGTCCTGAAAGTATGTAAAGAGTTTTAATTCGCGTTCGCAATTCCATAAACAAGTTTAGTGCGCACCCTCTGCAAGCCACTCGTAACAGTTAAATATTCTGGAGTACAGGTAAACACATTAATTCTATTCTCTCCATTGTTTAGTTCCTTTTCTTATAGTTCAACATTGCCCAGATAAACATCAGTTCCTCATTGAGTCCTCGCTCGTGCCCGGTACAATTTATTAAAGAAAAAAATAATTAAAAAGGAATTGACACAGCCACGTTAGGACACAAAACAGTATCCCGCTAAAGACATCTAGAGAGCATCTCAGGGACATTACAGATAGTACAGCGAACTTTCTTTTTTTTTTTTAACTTTTTAATAACGCACCAGACTTTATCCCAGAGAATCGATTCAAGTATATATATATCCAGTAAAGAAATATTTTCTAACGCATAAATATTCAATGGATTGCACGAAACTTTACGATTCTATTGCCGGATGGATGAACGTCCAACCTTAAGGAGTATCTTATTATATTTCCTGGAGTCTCGTTGGACTCGCAGCTAACGTGCTGCATAAGAAGCTTTCATTTCCGTTTGTTCTACATTTATTTCCATGTATATATACGTACGTAGGAAGTATGGCAAAAGTTTTCCTCGAGGTAAAATTTCAATTATCTTCTCAGTCCTACTCGTCGTATAGACATTCTTACGGCACCGCGACGAGGACACAGAAATAAAGAGACGCAAAGGTGCTACTAGGTTCAAGGTAGCTACGTACGTACAACGAATACAAGAAAACGGTGGAATAACATTGCAGAAGCAAAAAAAGAGTAACAGCGGGTTAATCATCCTCTTGAGAGAATCGACAGTACTGTCAGGACAGCAGGAAATTAGCACCTTTCACTCGAATATATATCGCCATCCGTAAGAAATTCTAGAGAGAAAATTCTTGGACAGCCACATTAAGAAATATTTACATCAATTTTAAATCCTCCATTCATGCCCTCGAAAATTCTATTCATTTTTTTTTTCGGTGTGTCTAACACGGTAAAAACACTCTTCCTGTCATTTGATAACCGTTCCTTAACGTCGTATTTATTTTCTCTCCATTTGCAATTATGGCAAGTATGGAATATTCGTTGTGCGAATTTCCTCCTTATCCACAACTAAGAAGAAATATATTTATATATCTTTATATACTCGTAACGATAACCTAAACGAATCAACATCCTCTTTTTATTTTTATCTCACTCTATACCTCTCTCTCTCTCTCTCTCTCGCTCGATCACTCTCTTTCATTCTTCCTCTCTCGCATTCTTTCGCATTCACGGCTAAAAAAATCTGACAAGATAATTCATCGACGGAGTAACTTCCACTAATTCTACGTATATGAGAATGGCGTCTCGCACTAGCCGTTTTATCTCTTTTATGTATATAATATCCGGCGCTACTAAACAGAGCTTAACGTATTCAGCATTTTTAGAAACGAGCCAATATTTCATGAAAAGTTTTTTCTTTTTCTTTCTGTCATTTCGCAACTGGATATTATATCTGTCAAGAAAGCAATGTTCTTCTGTATGTAGACAAGAATTCAATTCAGCTCGTTTCTGCTCTTATGTCGTTATTTTTTACAAAAGGAAAATTCCTTCGAAATACGACGCACACATACAAGAATCTATATGACAACTGGCAAGACGTGTGAAATTCTAACGTTACTCCGAGACATGCGGAATGTATTGCACGCCATACGTATCGCAAAGTTCAGAAGGACTTTTTCTCAGTTTATTAGCTTTTTTTGTTCGTAGCTTTCTTTCCCTTTCTTTTACTCTCCTCGTATTCGTCGCTTTAATATCTTATGGGTTGCCAGACGCCAGTGCCTTCGTCCCGACGATAATAATGCGGCCTGTTATCCCGGAACACGGTGACTGCAGGAAACTGATTGTCTTGGATGTACTTGAGAGTTGCCCGTATCTGGAATAACGCAAGAAATATATTTTTATTTTATATTTTTCTAAAAATTCTTTTGCCTTCATTCTGTTCACTCGTCAAATCTAACATAGTGACGTCGTTATTTGTTATGGCGAACGGAGGAGCTTACCTGAGAGACAAAATGGGGCAATTCTACATCCGGTGAGGTGGACAAATGTTGAAGGATAAACTGATCTGACTGTGCTAACCACAGGTCCACACCCCGTAGAGGGTCATAGTTGAAGGGTCCAATTCTAAGGAGACCCAGGGTACAGTCATAAACGTCCAAGACCTGATAAAGATAGTTTTCTTTTAAATTCAGTAATTTTCTAGAACCGTGTTACAAGTTTTCTTAGACCCACCTGTTGGCCTCCTGTAAGATGCCTGGCACATCTCAATGCCTGATCCGGACCCTTGTCAGGAAATGTCGCTGGGAATATTTCACCAGTTTTGACATTCAAGCCAATACCATATATCACTGGCCAATGTATGCCGCCCCTTACTGTTGTGTTCAATTCACCGATACAGCAGAGCGTCAGATCAATTTCTACAGGTTGCTTGTGAAAGGCAGCTAGAAGTCAGTAAACAAAAAAAAAAGGAGGATTGTAATACATGCATCCGTAAGATCCATTGAAATTTAGAAGGATCAAATTTTTCACTTACACAGAATATTATAAAATAATTCCTCGGAGTAGTTCCTAGGATCGGAATAACCTCCTACGAGCTGCAATTCGAGACGTCCCTCCGGGAAACCCAAGGCAAGTTCCGTGACCCTCTGAACCATCGCCGTCGCTGCATCCTCCGTCCCGGCGCCATCCAGGTGTGCCAATGCTACCGCACCCGAACCTACGATACAGAAATTTTTCATTCGCGCATACTGGGATACTAGGCAAAACGATTTTCAATACTTTTTTTCAATAATAGCAAAGTCTAGAAATTACAATATTCATGTGAACTCCCTCCCAAGCATGGTTTTTCTCTAGATAAATATATTTCCAAGGCGATAATAAATAATTCTAAAGTCATTAGCGCTGTCAGTTTCCTCTCTAATGGATAGACTGCTCACAACATTGTCATTATAATCGTCATTGAGTCATTACTATCGTCGATAAAACGCAGCAGTTTTCACAGGAGAATCAAAGTGAAATCCGGGCGAACGGATTTGCTTCTGCAGAATACACTAACGCGTATCTCTCGTAAACGCAAGGGAAAGCAAAGTAGATGACCAGTCTCTTTTTCTCTATAATGTTTTTATTGGGACGTATTTAAAACGCGTGGCCGTTCGCTAAAGGGTAACAGTGAGCGTATTGAAAGATTCTGGATGGAAATAAGATTCCTGAAGCTAACCTGGAGCAAGAACAAACTCCAGCAGTCATATCCTGAAGCGTGACGCTTATATTTAAATCCAGCGATATTCTTCACTGGTTTTTATATAAATCTCTAGTTTACGATTCTGAGAATTATCTTATTGCCCGTCTTGTTTCTCATTTCTTAGCTTGACCTATACCTTCCAGCTGTCTCTGTCCCCTATAATTGCATTCGACGCGTTACCCATAGAAAATTGACAGGATATACGGCCTAAAACCTTTCCGCAAACTTTCAGACGCATTAACGTATTCTACTTGCGTATCTATGCTAATCCATTTGAAATGATTCATCCGCAACGGTCGAGACTAATTCGCTAATGATTTTGTATCTCTTCCTGCAGTGCCGCCGTCTCCTGGTGAATTGCACAGCTCGGAATCAGGTACCCACCCGAATGCCTCACGACGACGATTATGCACGTGGTCACGTCGTCCGAGCCCAGGATGCTCACGTTCTCTGCAAAAGACGAAAAAGAAGAGTAAGTCTACTGTTACTTCATGATAGCGACCTGGGTCATCTGTCTGAACTTGGACCGGGACAATTTTAGTGCACCAGCCAAGGTATACTTTTTTCATACCTCTTGTACGACAAGGGGATACTTACTGTCTTGAGGAAGGGTTGCTGCCATTTCTCTTTGTTGAACATAGAGAAGACCCACTGGTCCCACCAATTTTGCAGGCATCGAGTGCAGCTGCGCTGCACTTTCACGATATATCGGGTGAGCAGCATATAGCGATCTGCTATCAGCCGGGGCATCTTCCTGCAGGACCCCGTTCACCACCAGGACCATTCTGATGAGAAAAAAGGAACAAATAAAAAACCAGAGCAATTAGTCGAAGATCCTTAGCAATTGGTGTTTGGGTGTTATTGAAAAATTTTGAGCATAAAAATAACGAGGCTTCGTGATGGCACGTCTCATTGGTCAGAAGGATCTTGAAGAATTTTCTCCAAGGAAATTTAGGAGATTCATAGAATTTATAAAATTCTCGAGAAGACCGAACGAAAGATATCTCTCATCCAGACGAAGAGTCCCTTACTCGTTGATGGGGTGTTCTATTTTTTCCTTCTTTTACTTTTTTTTTCCCCTTTCTCTTTTTCGTCCCTTTCTCTTTCAAGCCCAGGCACGCAGAACACATTACACGCCGAGCATAATATTTTATGTCTTCGTATTAAGCCGCATTTCGTGGGCATTAATTTCGAGTGCCGCCGGAAGGTATCAGCAGACTTCACAGTCTTCGCTCTTCAGCGAATTCTCGTACCAAAGTGTCATGACCTCTTCAGTACCTTGTTACATTTGATCAATTGATTGAAACGTTCCAGTCTCAAAGTGTCCTTCAATGTCTTTCATATTGGCATATAGGACCATCGATATACTAATATTTTCCTTAACGTGTCTGATCCTTCAGTTTCTCGTATGTTCCAGAAGGAGCTCTATCGATAACCCTTTATCGAAGAGAGATCGAAGATTCGATTCGAGAGCATCGAGAGCAACAAACAGCAATAGAGCAACTGTCTTTTGTTGGGTTTACAATAAAGTCGTCAGGGTTTTATCTAACTGCAGGATCTAGCAGGCATTATGAGAAGTCGAGTTACAAGATCGAAGATCAGTCCCATTGTTAGTTCTCCGGGCAACGTGCATTGTGTCGCGACTCTCGCGACTTTGTGGATGGCAGACGCTGTACGTCACAACGGAATTCTCTCTGAGGTTACCACCCATTTCTAAGGAAGTCTACCAAAGGGGTTATCCTCATATCCGATTCTCATGAAAATTCTAACAGCTCCCGGTGCTATTCCTATACGGCTACTACCGACTGAAACCGCCTTCGAAATGTCTGAGGTCGATGAATTTTCGTATATCGTTTTCGAAATTTCTTTCCACGTAACGACCCTGGATTTTCAGTGAAGAATTTCCCATGTAAACTATAAGCATCGATTACTTCGCAGACTTACTCGTCTCGGTTTACTTTTATTTCAATTGGCGCTACCAGCGTAACATGGCCTTCGCACAGGGTTAAAATAGCTCGTGAGCCAACGGCAGGATATGACGTTGCGAATTCTCAAATTCTGAAATTCACATTGCGCACGCAATTATGCGCACTTCGGGAAACTTCGGATCGAGATGAGGGAATTGTGCACAATTTTTGTTGTATATTTATCTTAATTTATGTCGGTCTTCTTTTTTCGTTTACGATTACGGTAAGTACTATAACCTAGCGGAAAATCGGGATTTCACGATTATCTATACTGCACGGCACTAGTGCGAAAATGTGAATGAACTCACCTCGAACTTATGGAAGATTTCGCACTTTTAAATGGCACGATGTTGGTACTATGGAAAAGCACTGGATTGGCACTGAACGCTGGAAACAAGTCACACTGGAATATCCGAGAGTATCGAAGTACGTTGATTTATGTGAAAAGTCAAAAATGTCCATTTAAGATAGAAGTAATCTCACAGAGTGGTGGGGAGGGAGCGAGAGGGAGATAGAGGATGAGCCTTTGGTAAAAATCAGATACTGATACTCAGAAAAATTTGGTAAAGCAAATTAACTGGCGACTTAACTAGATTCCGAGTTCATTCAGACGATCGTCCGACTCATTAACGAATCGTGCTAATTATGGCCTCTTATCAAGTCCTACGTCGATTGGTTGTGACGAGAAGACGAAGGAATAGTGGGGACGGGTTAAAATCCAAGTGGGACCAATCAGTAAAGGGGGACCAATCAGATAGGAACTCACGAAGAAAATAACATGTTTGGTACGTCTTAGAATCAAAATGGTCTTTTTTTTTTCTCAGGCGTCGTCGGGACCGCCGATAAATCTACAGGGTGCCTACGAAGTACCCTGGACACTGTAGACACGCGAAACTTTATCATTGGTAACAATAAGGAAAGCTGAATAAAAAAAATTATGTAATGACGACAACAGCGCAAGCGTCCGCCAATCCCAACGAGAGATTGACGACAAGGAATCGAGAAGTAGATTTAAGTGGACAAATAGGAGTAGACTGTAGTTACCGTATGATCTTTTCCAAGTATAATCATGTCGATCGAGCATCGAAGATCTCGTCTAATGATTAAAGAAGAGGACGAAGCTACGATAGGATCTAGTGAAAAGGGTACGGAAGGATCGTATACGGTGGTATACGAAAGGGACGTTAAGGCATAGATAGAATCTGATCGAGTGAGTCGCCGGCTGAGCGAAGGACGCGCCACGGCGTTGTCGTGGCGGAACAAGGAACTATAAATAAAAACTAAAGAAAAACGTCCGGAGAGAAAATCCTTTGGATCAGATTAAAGCGCGATCTCGGCGAAGATCTTGAAGCAGTGAAGGTGGGTCGGTGGGATGGTAGAACGAATTGCGTTCCCGGCAACAGATCGAACCTCCACGCCCTTTTAACTCCTTGGACAACATCCGTAGAGAGTCTTCGACGTGAGACTCGACCTCGTACACGTTATAAGTATATGCCACGATATCCAGTGAGTTTGAATTTTCTTAAAATGCTCCATTGACAATATATTCGGATTCTTAGAGTGTCTCTGGTCTCTGGACGATCCTCAAACAATTGGGTTAGGTTAGGTTAGATATGGCTACAGGGACCATGCCACGGATTCCCATGACGCATGTAAAATTAGAGTGGCTCGGAGATTTCAAATTATATAGCTCGCGAGCCATTGCCATTGTTGTTACGAAATTACACCGTTGAAAAATCCATTGTGAGTACGTATTGCAAAGCTATTGTTTCTTTATTTTATTTTTCTTGCTTGATACAACGTCGCCACTGTCATTTTACGTTGCGAGGGTAACTTTTACTGGATGCTGTTTATTACGGATTCCCTTTTCTCTTTTTTTTTCTCGCTTTCCTGTTCCATTTCTCTCTATCTCCAGCCCCCTCTTCCACTCTCCTCTCTTCAACATAATTTCTCAAACGAGAAAGACCGCGGCAGCGACCACGTGCAACCACGACGCTGAATGACTCCTAGAAAAATTCGGAAAGGAAACCCCATTAAGATAAATCTTAACGTAGTGATGTATTTGGGACGAAGATAAGAGCCGATAAAAACATATATACATATATACACGTCAACACCATTGCGTCCGATTGTGAGACCAGGAGGATACAGGGTGAACCGAAGAAGTCCGAGTACGTCGATTGCTTCGGGATGTCTTCGGTCTCTGTTTTTTTTTGTTCATCCTTTGCTTTAAGGACCTGAGTCTCGTACCGATCGTGCACCATTTCTCGTCAGTGGGCGTGGCGCTTACGATTTTTCTCCCGGCAGAAAGCGATATTGTTGAGATACCGATCGGTCGGAGGGTTGCAATTATTATTGCGGGGAATAGAGACAAATATCTATACGGAGAGCGCGAGATGAATTTTTCTCGATGAGAAATAAAAATTAAAGAAAAAGCCAAGAACGAAGCACGGGGTTGAAAGAATGAAGAGAAAAGAAAACAGACGTTGGAAAGGAGGATGGCGAGGCGAAAGAAGTGCTGGCGAAGCCTTCGTGACCGTAATCGGTGAGAGGTTGCACAGATCGAGCCACACGGAAATCCACTTGAAAAGTAGCCATTACCTTAATTATTGGTTTATACAACGTATATACAGCGTACTCGATTGGATAGCCAAAGCTGCTATTTGTCAAGCCTTTCAATTCTCATTTATTAAAAGTCGAATTTTCGAACTCAGTTATTACGATTTCACGAACACGGAGTATACCAGTGAAGTGTACACACTGACAAACTACGTATTTGGAATTGAACCGTGGGTACTAACTATCGATTAACCAAGTACGGATTAATCCTTATACGCTATAACAATTGCACCTGTAGGACAGAGCCAATACGATAAGGAGTATCGAGTGACTATAAGGACTGATTTCGAGTAAAAGTATACCCGTCCTTGTCATACGCACGCGAGTACCGATAAGATTGTCTCTCTCGCACTCATAGCGAGTATAGGAGGTTAATGATTTCAAACGCTCATTTTCATATATACCTGCGTACGAAAGTCTCTAGTTTTGTGTTCCAATAAATTTCTTGAATACACTACTTAGGTGTCTACTCACCGTACGCTCAATGGCCTTAGCTCTTGATAACCAAGTAATATAGTCACCCTGTATAAACGGGCGAGATTCAAAGATTTATCGTAACTCGTTACCCGAGCTTCAGATAGCTCGAGTCTGATACCTCGATCGTAAATTATCGAAAGCATATATTTAAAACCTCGGAACCGTCCTACCCGGTGTCTCGAAAATACAGGAATACACCAAAAGGTTTTTCCAGCAGCCACTGATAATTTTTTTATTTTAGAAAAAAGAATTCAACAAAATCGTCACCCAACAGAACCTGGACTCACAAGGAAAACGGAGTCGGTCACACTTGGGAGTTACTGGTCAGTCTTCTTATCGTGGATCCCGGGCTTATTAAAGCTGTAATTTCCACGCATAGAAGTATCTTCTCCGTTACCACTTAGTTGGAGGTTATGTTACGCAGAGAGCCTATGTTAACGCACAGGTTTATCACGCGAACACATTGGGCCCATTGGTCTGGTACATGTTGGCAGACTTGACTGTAATTACATTACCGGACGGTAGTTATTTCTTTAAGTGCAAAGCCACAGAGGAAGTTTAACATGAGAAATCCTCCCTCAGGAAAATTGCACGAGCAAATTGAAGATTTCTCGGAAATCGTCAAGGGATCTTGAGAATCTCTTACCGACGGCCATCACGGCTGATAATACCCTTACCTTCGTCTGTAGTTGGATTTTTGAGAATTTCGAAGATGAGCTACCGAGATTATAGAACGAGGGGTAGGGGGTCGATAGGGGATATGAAAAATCGAAGGTGGGACACCGGTGAGGATGTCGCCATCTTGGCCGGACGTGCAGATGTTCCTGAGGTCGTCCGGATCAGCATTAGCATTTGCATAGACACTCCTGGCATTGGCATCGTTCTACGTAACTCGATTTCGCACACGCGCTTAATGATTAATTAACCGGATTAATTAGACGTCTAATTACTGGCCGATAGGTATCTCGATTAACGGTTAGCCGCTTGACTGGACGGACCCTGTATAGGTTATGGTTGTCCGATACTGTCCGAAATACAGGTAGTACCGGAACCACGTGTAAGACTTGTAACTGGTCATTAAGTCGATGTGGGTAATCCATTTAGAGATCTCGGAGGCTGTGATCGATCTAAGATCATGGATCGATATTTTTTTTTTTCAATTCACCTTTCCCTCCGTATTCTCTCGCGCTGGTTGACTAACGGGAAATCGTTTCTAGGCAGCGTCGATCGCAGAGTCGGTGACGCCGATGGCTCTGTGGTGTAAGGAGTTAGGGATGCTTTGTGCATTAAAGATAAATGAAATCTGAAACAAGAAAGTCACCCTGTAGAGAATGAATGGTAAGTATAGAAGGATCGAAGCGGTAACGAAGCCGTCCTTCTCTCGGTCACGTATTGCATGTCATAAATCGATGCTGATTGGCCAATAAAAGCGAACGAAGCGCCCTGATTGGCTGGTATCGCCCACGTGTGCCCGGTAATAGACACGTGCCTTTTTCTAATTACCAAGAAAATCGACCTGATCACTTGCCCTTGCTCGTTAATTTACGTGTTCGAGGTATTCACTTTTTTTTAATTTTATTTACTCTTCATTTAACCCTTCAAATTTTCATGACTCGTTCCTGACTTTGATTCCTTTTTTTTTTTATATTATATTTTATACGTCCACCATCTATCTGATACTTCGCGAGACTCACAAACCACTCGACAGAGTTCGAGACAGGGGACTTCACTTCGCCGATCTTACGTGAAAGAACAATCGACAATAATGCCTTTATTCCTGAGTATGTCTTATAGGAGACTTGTTTTCTTTTTAATCGGCTTGCATTCCGCAATTCTCCTTTCCTCCCTCACGAGCCACCCCCCCAGCCCTGACTTTGCTCATAGGGATCAATGGAACCCTGTCTCGCGATGCTCAATTATTTTTATTATCAGACGGTATATATATATATATAGTTAATATTATATATATAGAAAGCACGTGCAATGCGTTTCTTCGCTTTTCCATTTCCATCACGATTTTACTGATAAGGCGCGTCCGTTCCTAAAGAGAAAGGATAACGAATGATGTACGCAGCCAAAAAGTGAGGATAAATGATAAGAAAAAAATAAATAAATAAGGATAGCCACTGAAGTTGGCCGGTGAAGTATGAAGGATCGATTGGATTATTAAGTGTCTTGAGTTTTTTCCCCGTATTTCTTTAAACGCAGATAATGATAAGGAGTATATGAAAAAAGTTTATCATAACGAAGATGGCAGCGTAATTTACGAGCGACTATAAAAATATTCGATAATACAAACGATTTCGGTTTCTAAGCGGAGATTCGTGTGTCTTGAAGTGACGCTGGATTTCGGTATAAAATTGTCCCAGGAATTGTATGATACAGCGTATTCATTATTTAGGATCCTTTTTTTTTTCAGCCCCTGTGCAGACATTCCGTGGGATAAATCCAGGATGAAAAGACTATCGAAGTGGTATATTATCGACAATAGGACAGTTGAAACTAGATATGTATCTAAAGTGAATTCACGATCGCGAAACGTGTCTCAATTGTGAAATATACTAGAGGTTAGTTTTCGATCGAGTGATCGATGAGCAAATCCGATCTGACTTACCTCACGTTTTTCTTGAGAAATCCTTCAGATCCAGGGACACGTTCCTGCCGCCATTTTCTTGATCGATCCCGTCCCTATTGACAATCCCCCAGATCCTAGGGACTTTCAGTCGCCCTCGACGTCCCTAAAAGGAATGCAAAGAATTGAAATTGAAAAAAAATACATAAAATTTTAATCCAAAAATTAAGAGCCAGGATGTGCCGAAGTTATTAGCAAGATACAGGGTGTCACGTAAATACCCAAAAGATCGAATCACAAGATCCTCAAGATATCTTTGAATTTCCTATCTTTTTTCTTTTTCGTTTCCTAATCTCAACCCTTCCGATACCTTTAGTAGCCTTTAAATTCGTCGTTTAATGGCCAAAGGTGCAACAGGGCTGCCCGATCGAGCGCACCTGCGTTTCCCTCGCCTCTGAAATCTACCGGGTGCTCTCATGCAAAACAGCCGTAACGTAATTTACATACAGTGGCCGTCGGTCGTCCCGCTTTACATATTTATAGGGAACGACTTCCTCCGATTGTTTTTACGCGCGTCGTACCGACGACGAGGCTTGTCTATTTTTTTTTATCTTTTTCTTCGACTCCATATATATTGCCCTCGTCTACCATCGAATTTGCGTCACTCCGTGCATAATTCTCGGCCACGTATAAAAAACGAGGCGAAAGAAACTTTCAAAAATATCATCAATTTCCCCTAACGTCAACCCATTTTCACCGTCTCCGATCGTCCGATGTATCATCCGATCTCGTCGGCGCGACTTATTCGTGAACGCGGCTTAACGATCGCTGAATTTACATTACCGTACAGACCGTGACAAGAGTCTGTACCCACGAGGAGGGATGAAGCCATTCCTCCACCTAACGATTCAGCACGATGAATTACGATCAAGTAAATTGATAATCTTTTCGCTGATCGGTCGATGCACTCGAACGGCTCACGGGTGGCAATTAAAGAAATGGCCAAAGGTTCGTTGCACAAAGTATTACGCAACAATGCATCGGCAATGCAAACAATGCTTTCTAAATGCATAAGCCCTCAGCCCTCCGGCCCCTTATCCACCCAAGAGCACACGCGGGTGCACGTTCGACTCTAATAATTGTACGTACGACGTACCACACGGACCTAAGTGCTCGCACACACGCCGGTCCACATTCCATGAGTGGAACAACCGGTACACGATGCAGTGGTTCTCACATACATCATCCGGTAAACTCAATTTTGTAAGATTGCGCAAGAAACTTAATATCCAATTAGTTAAATCGAAATATAAAAAAAAAGGGTCAACCTAACCTCAAAATCCATATCAATCCTTCGACGACTCAATACAGTCATCCGGTATATCATTTTTCACGTGGGACCCCACAGAATCTGCTTGCCGCCACGAAACGATGCTCCGCCGAGCAATTACGTAATAACAGACGAATAACGCTGTCCAACTATCGGAGGTACGAAACAGGCTTAAAGTCGTAGGGTACAGGCAGGTCCGAATCGAACCCGGATCTTTACCAACAAACGGTTAATTCCGTGGTTCAGCCCGTGGGAGCGACTTCTGACACGCTTAAAACAGTCTTTTTTGCGTCTCTCTCGATATCGATTCATGAACCAGACGTGCAAGAAGTTAAGAGGATCTTCAATATATACCGTAGAAATGCTTTTTGTCCAAAGAGTCTTGAATGACGATCATACAGGAAGCAACTGTACTCGGTGGTCTGAATGAGCTGGAAATAAATGTATATCCGTATGCGATTGATATCGGGAGTAGGTACAAGATCAAACACGTTTTTGATATTGTGCCACCCGGTGTATCTGGATTTCTGGCCGCACTTCGGCTTAGCCTGGACCTGAGTTTCTGATTTATGTGGGCCCCAGGGGGAGTCCAGTTGCTATGGCTACACAGATGACCACCCTGTACGTACGATGTACATGGCCACGTATGTTGTTACGTACTGCACTGTCTTTTTCTTTCTCTCTCGCTCGCTCGCTCGGTACGTACTTCATGAGGATAGAATACAAGGCTGCACATAACCCACCCACCCACAGTCGCTCACACTGCCTTCTCTTAGTTTCTACACGTTTTTTTTCAGCATTTCTCCGTCTTCTTTCTCTCTTTCTCTACCTGCTCCCGTGTATTCACGCGTATGCGTCGGGACGTCGTCGTAATTCGTTCTCTCTAGCCACCGTGTCTCTCTGTAGCAGGAAAACAGGAAAGTTTGCGAGAGCGTTTGGCTTATATATATATATCTATATATATACATAAATATATACACGCATCCAGCGCCGTAGCCAACCGGATTAACCTAGTCTGCACTCCGCAATACTGCATAGTCACTAGAAGAACTTCTCCGATAATCGAAATCATTTTCCTAGCAGGATGATTGCTAATAAATTCAAGAGCCTTCGATACTCTCGATAGGTTGGAAGGCGGATATAAAAAAAATCTTATAACGGTATCTCAGTACAATTTTATGGTAAACGCTGCAATTTTATGAAATTAACGTCGCGGGAATGAAAAATTAATAATTTTAGGTTAACCAAATAAAATGGTGTGTTTATGTCCCTGGCATGCGTGAACGACGTATCCTGGTATGCCTGTCTGGTAGTCCGAGGTGGAATCTAGTCATTTAGGATGGTGCGCAGGTTCATTGGACAGTTCGGAATTGAAACGTTATGGAAAATAATGGCGTATCGCGCGGGCCAACTAGCTCACAGGTGAGCTAGCGGGAGGCAAAAGGTTAACACCCTCTCATAGCCTTAAGAGCGTCTTAACTCAGTTAAGCCCGTGACTTAAGAGAGTCTAGAGTTAAGAGTCAAAGAGGAGACGAGAGCTTCGCCAGGGGCGCTTGCTTCGCGGGTTCCCCCCGATGCTTAATGACGCTTTAATTCATGCCGGAGGACGCCTAATGGCGACAGAGCACCGAGTCCAGACGACCATTGAAGTCAAGCAATCCGGACTTCAACTGTCTCCATTAAAACCATCTTAGTTCTACGTAACTAGTATTGTCGCCATCTCTTATTCTCGTGGTGATTTAAGTATATTTGATTTTCCAAATTTTTCATTTTACTTTTACAAATTTTTCGTTTGATAATTTCTAACCAATCAAGGAAATCCCCAGTGATTTATTACATGCGGCAAATCGTGTTTCTGACTTTATCCTACATTCACGTATAGCTCTGTGCTGCTACTGGTTGGCTGTTATAATTTTTTTTTACTTCCAGTCAAATTCATTTCCCACTTAGGGCGATTTACACGGGGATAAATAAGGCTCGGTGACTGCAGTTACGTTTACCGCCTGCTGATACCTTGAGCCCCCGTATTTAGAGGTAACGTGTTACTTCTGCATGCGTCTAGGGTGCACCCTGATCACGCTTTGCCTTTCTCTATTGCGGACACTCGGAGGCTTCCCAACACGTACGAGGCCTTAATCGATCTTAAACAATTGAATTGGAACAGCGTTAAAGTATGACAAAGACAGTTCAAATTTCGAAATTATGTATTTTAGGTGTAAAACCGAATTTTTATGTAGCAGAAACTTTCGTGACGGATATCGTGCACGTGTTGGAGTTTGCCAGTGTGAGACTCGGTGCACGAGTGAAGGAAGAGTAGGAGACTCATCTCCAGGCGCGGTCAGATTAATGAAACTCATGTGGCCAGTGTTTCCCAACTGCTACCCGATTAAAGTTCCCATAAGATTTTTTTCATCTGGTAAGATCTTGTAATTAGATGATAAAAAAAAGAAATTTCGAACCGGGCCTAAAACCAACGTCCGAATCCTGCTGCAGTTGAACAGTGCGAAGATCTGGATCTGGACGGAAGACAGGTATGATTATTCCAGAAGATATTTATCTATTGTAGGATCCTTATCATTCCTGTAAGAACATGGTGAATCTTCAAAGGAGATAAAAGCTATAAGAATTCATGGGATTTATCAATGGAATCATCTACGAACCACTCTGCCGACTCTCGACCTCAGCCTCTTCTCCTGAATCGTCTGCTAGACCTGGGAAGTTGACGTTTACGTAAATTTTTTCGAGAAATAGAAGAGATAAAAAAAATGATCATCGGTCAGACTTCATCCCGAGGCTGTTTATTTATTTGACTTGAGATCGACAAAGTTTGAGTGGGAATCGGTAGCGGAACATTCATAGACTCTTAGAGCATACCTACTTTGATTACCGTCGCTTTGTTATCGGATTACGGTCGTTATCGTTGATTTACGAGGTCTATGATTCGTGGTTATCCCGTTATCGAGACTGAGGTGGTATCCCCATTGCCTTAGGGAACGTCTACAAGAACACGTAGGAGCCTCCTAATCCTTCTTCCTTCTGGTACAATACTTTCTTAGTCGTCTGTCTGTTATATTTTTTTCTCCCTCTTCCTTCATGCTTTCGTCCTCTTTTTATCCGCTCTCGTCTCTTCTTTTTTACTCTAGTCGTCGACCGTACTCGCTTTTTCGACTCGCCAGACACAATAACCAGGGAGTCTTGAAGCGCACAGAAATAGTTCGTACGCTCTTCGCTCTTTGTTTTCACGCTGAAGACACAGTTGGCTCTTTTTCAGAGCCACGTGGGCGGTTCAGTGTCAAGGTAACCGTGAGCGTTCCTACAATTAGAATCTGCTGTATTTTTACATAACCTTCCTCGACAAGATTTCAGTTCCGTCTCTTCTTAAGGAGTCGACTTAGGCTTTTTCGTAAAAAAAAATTATTTTCAAATAAATTCCATTCGTGCGATAAGTCCACATGTTCCTTATCCCAAAAAACAGGTGGCGTCTTACAACCACGCGTTAGACTGACCGAGAAAAGGGGAATAAAAAGTTTTCCAAGGAATTTGTCATGGTACAAGAAACGGGATTTATGGGAGCAGACCGTAACAGCCAGAGGGAAGCAAGAAGGAAAAGGAAAATAAGGGATGAGCTTTGAGAAGTGCGAAGCTGGTGAGTCTTAGCGATTCAATTTCAAAATCAGCGAGATATATTCGTGACGCGTGAAAAAAAGTTGACGATTCCCTGCAAAAGAGAGAAAATCAAGGATCAACGGAAAAGTGTACGACGATAAAGAGTAGAAAGACGAGAAAAAAATTGGAGAACGATAGGAAAGCTTTGCCGAAGGGATGACGAGGATGAAAATAAATAATAGACGATACAAAGGCGAAAATTTAACTGGAAACGAAGAAATCGAGGTAGCGTCTACGTAAGAGAATAGCCGCCGCTGTATTTACGTACGCACGAGCACCTCCATTATTTCTGTGCATTAAATATTTTTCATTGCCATGGAAGATTCAGTACTGGAAAACATTCCTAAGACGGCATTCCGTAGCCATGCATTTATCCTACCGTATACAATTTTTTTTCGGCTCTTATAAGCCAAGCCGCCATTTGCGTGCATGCGTGCCGATAGAATGCGTGAACGTACGTTTTTAAGGTTACAAGCAAAGAGAGGACCGGAGAGGAGCTGACTATTTTCTTTTCTTTTTCATCGTCATCCATTGAAACAGTCTTCGCATTATTACTGTTATTACGTACAGTGAGGCATTCAACTGAAATTCAACGGTTACGTTTGAAAGTCGTAGTTCAGAAATTATGAAAAAAACTGATAACCATTAATTCTCCCGATTATCTTACCGTTGTTATTTTCAGAACTAAATCGAAACTAGTATCTATTATCCAAGAAGCGACATGTGAACGATAAATTATACGAAACGTTCAAGAGCGCTTTGCATATTCAAATAATATTGCAGTCACGATAGAAGCTCTTGCTGGCTACGTTTCATACGTTTTTTTCTAGCTCTTCGCGCAATAGGTGTTTCGTTGCATATAGATACAGTTCTTCGTCGTGGTTGTACCTTGCTTCCTACGTTCATATATTTATGACCGATTTATGAATATGAATAGGAATGGACTCTACGCGCAGATACCAAATCATAGACTGGCGTACGCAGCGCGTTGCTGGCGCACAAGAAATTACACGTCTACATACTCGAATTCCAAGAGACGCCAGTCTAGCGGTACGCAACTGTACATACACGTGAGTGGTGTAGGATACCTTGAAAAGATACTAGTTACCTAGATGATGTGAAAAAAAATGAGATGGACAAGAAATGAGCGCAGAGACACGCGCCACCTTTGAATAAATCATAAGACGATGTTGTTTCCTACGAGGATTCTATGAATTTGCATAAAATTTATTAAAAGAGACATTAAACGATGATACATTAGATTGGCCTTATAAAAAAAATATGAGTCAATATACACATGACAGTCGCGAAGATGGTCGAACGAAGGCGCAACATGAAAAGAGGTTAGGATAATGAAGAGAGGCCTTCATCGCAAGAGAAATAACGGTTGTACCTAGGTCTTGAAGCACGAACAAGAGAACCTTCAGGTATCATTAAACGTCATGGACGTCACCGATCATCATCGGTAGCATATTACCGCTGTAGTAGATATTATCAATTTTATCCGGTCTGTACTCTTATTCGAAAGCGTAACTCGTTACCATGTGGCTTTGCTTTTACTTTCTGATTTCCAGAGCGTTGTCTTATATCCTGCTTGATCAAAGGTTTGAATTAATATTATCCGTGGGGCAAGAGACTTCGCGAAGTGCAGCCAGTTGTCGGAGAACCAAAGTAGTTCAGAAGCGAATGAAAGCGTGGGAGGAGAATCGAGTGGGGTAACGATGAAGAATTCGACTCACCAGTGCTAGAAAATTTGACGCTATTCCTCGAACTACACCAGAACGGATCCAGGAATACGATGAGGAGAAACTCGGGTGATGCACCTGAAGATGTGGCTGTCCTTTACAAACACGGTTACGCAATACGCAACTGGTGGCACACGCGAGCACCGTGGAACGACGCGAAAAGCACCTTTGCGAGTTACGTTCTTTTCTTCCAGGGGAAGCTACGTATCCGGAGAGAAGAGGCAGTGCTCCTGTAGGAGAGCACAGGATAGGTCAGTCCTTGTCCCAAAAAGTCCGCCAGGTATACCGGTTTTTTAATACCGAGGAAGAACGTCTGACAGTTGAAGAAAAATCAGGAAAATAAAGGCCCGACACGGCCACACTCGCCAGCCACACTGCCTGCACTGCCGACTGCATTTGCTGTCTGTCGTCTTCACATGGAAACGCTTGCGCACTGCTCCCTCTATCGCAGTTCTCATTGAAATCTTACGCCTTTGCTCGAGCGCGGCGGTGCTGCCATCTCTGTGCTACCTTCAGTATTTTGTCAGGAATCCATTCTAGAGGCAGATATGCTCTGGAAGCCGATAAGGAAGAACATGGTGTCTACATCTACATTAATCTTATATGGCTGGTAATGAAGAAATTTCTACCGTCACTGCTTCGGTAAACGACTTGGTTTATAGCGCTCGATCAGCTGACCGGAATAAATGTGAATCGACACCATATAAAGCCAGGACTTTGTTTGATTTTGACAGATCTCATCAATTTAGCGTACATATCTGGACCTTAGCTGTTATCAGTATCAACGAATCATCTTAGCTATGTAAGCAAGCGTTGAACTCACCAAACTTCTATTGACAGTCATCTAGAGTTCGTTATCAGTGTAATATTGGTAAATGAACATTCCGGGAACACTATTGAGATTCGGTACACCACAACTTATCCTTGCTTTATATCAATCAATTCCAACTGACCTGTCAAAGTTAATTATAAGCGTTAAAGTCTCCCGACTGTACGTAACAATCCATACAATATCCTAATATATGATACACTAATAACAGAGATTAACTTAAAAAATTTGAGACTCCAATAGACTTCGTCCCACGCGAATAAACCAGGTGCAAATACACAAAGGATTTAAACAATTTTCCTCTACCGTTCTCTGCAGCGCTTTTAACAGCGATCGTACGTGCAGATACGTAGGCGTCTGGTGCTCTATATAGAGTGACGTCACTGCATCGCGCGTTTGCTCTGTAGAGCTTAAAGTGTATCAAAGATGGCGACGTGAGGGTAGGGCCGGCTAGTAGCTCCGTTAGGAAGGTCCTTCCCTCGACGTGTCGAGAGCCAGCTCGTCATTTCGGTGAGTGGAAAAAAAATTCCTTCGTACCACGTAGCTCGTTAGAACTCACGAATTGAATTTAATCGATGCTGTGCTTCGTAAATGGCGGATTTCGAATAACCAAGATGCCACGGAAACTTGACACAAAAAAAAACATACTCACTCGCGACCGGGAAGTTCAATGCGTACATACGTGTCTCTGGCGAGTACTAGACGCGCGCGCACTTACAGAGAGATGATTCTGTCTTTTTTTTTTAGTGAGTGAGTATGCATATATACGTGTGTCTGTGTATGTCTCTCGAAACTGTCGAGGGCTTATCAACGAGCGAAGTAGAACGTATGAGTATCTTATCCACGAGGAACTAAATATCGAATGACGTGGTATCCATTGATCGGTTTTAAGATGGGAACCTCTAAAGAAATCCGCCATATACAATGCATACATATTTAATCATAGAGCTGAGCTTGCATCGGTTAAACGTAGAACGTTGGTGCACAGTGTTTCTAAATCTATTTAAATACGTTAGACCGTCTGATAATGATATTTATATTTTTATCTAAGGAAACACCGTGCACTGTATTGTAGCAATCTGTTATCAGGAGAATATGACCTGGTATGGTGTTTCTGGGAATAATAACGTGGTTGGCAGAGGCGGTGGAATTCAATGTAAAATGGCTTTGGTATTTCTAATTTCTTTCAGATGGTGACGGGCTCTACACTTTTGCTAACCAGACTTCAGACACGGTTCTAACTAACATTATTTAAATGCAGTGTATATACTATGCAGCATGACCAATGGAAAAATGTATTAGCGACCGATGCTTTTCAGACTATAACGAACTATAATGATATCAGTGTTATTTAGCTGGATCGAATATTCTTCTTGGAAGAGCATAAAATCGTACCCGTATTCGGTAATCAAAGTCACCGAGGTATTACGTTAAGCCGATAAGATTTCGTTAGATTATTGTGAAACAAAAATACCAAAGAAAATTAAAAAAGTATTGTCGTGCTCCGTGAAATAAAAATTGACGTTATCATCGCAATCAAAAGTGAGGGAAGCCAATTTGGATGTTATATATATATAAAAAAAAAGGGTAGAGCCCTTGTCGTATATTTAGACTATTAATCGAATTGAAAAATGTTAATGAATTTTCGAAAAATCATTATCAGTAAAAAATAACCAAAGAATATTTACACCGAGTATCGTATCCGTACCGGTGATAACGATTGTCAAAACAAGAGAACTTTACGCATGGTTAAAATAAAAAAGTAAAAAAGAGAGAAAGCCGACATAATCCCGTCCGAATTGGCCTGTGGAAACGTGGGGTCGCGTGTCGCCTCGTCAGCGAGCGACATCGATGCCAGACATCGCTAAGCCCAGCTGCCAAGCTGAAGAGCGGATAGACATCAGCTGTAGTCATTGAATTTCCAATTTCGATATAAATTCAAGTTATCGCTGTAGCTCAGTCACGTATTGGTTGGCTCCAGGAGTGTTGGAGAGCGAGGAACCCAGTAGCGGTGCGGGTTGGGTCGTACGTAGAGTGCACAGAGCAGGGTGGAGGGTTCGTGGGTCTGGGCCGGGGAGGGAGATAGGTGAGAGGTCGAAGAGTCTGGTAGGTGGGGTAGAGGCTCGTATCGACCGAGGATTGCGCTTGCGTGGACAAAAGCGCAGAATTGCGCGAACCAGTCGAACCGAGGAAACTCGTGTAGCTTCCGTCGGAAAGGAAGTCTCGTCAGTAGTGCGTGGCGCGGAGTGCCCGAGGAGCGGCCTCGGGTTCTTCGACTTCGCTAGGGATCAGGGAGGGCCAGGACCAGGTCCAGGAGTAGGGTCGTGGCTGTTTCGCTAGCGGTTATGAAGAGACCCCAGCAACCCCTTTGGAGGCACGGGTGATGATTCCAACGTACGCACAGGAGAGAGGATAGGCTGGTCTCACTTCCTGGCTGACCTGCGCTTCGATTGAACCAGAAGAGACCCAGACCAGCTGCTGAAGCGTCGGTGGGAGAGCCAAAGGTTGTTGCTGGAAGAAGAAGGAACGAAGACGGGGAAGCCTGGTGGAGGTGGTGGAGGAGGAGAAAAATAGAGAGAGGTCCGGCCCAGGGGTCTGGGGGGAGCTCGAACGAGAGTGAGATCGGGTCTGAAATGTATCTCCACGATAAGGCCAGACGATAAGCGTCTGGTTTCGGTGTTTGTACGCGAGCTGTTCTGATAAAAGATAAACTGACTTTTCCGAGGCTCCCCCTGAGGCCTCCCGGTGCTGCAGTCGACATCCTTCTCTCGGAGACATCGGCGCGCTTCCTCGGACCGGTGATTCACAGTGCTGCTAATATTCCAGATCAAGATCTTCCTGGCGAGGACTCTTTTCATGGTTTTCGTTTGGCGTTTTATTAAAATTGGAGGGAGGTCCTCGCGCGGGCGTTGAAATCCTCGCGGGAGCCGAGAGATACGAACTGGCAGAGGACGTGGCAAGGAGGGTGAACAACCTGAGAGTTCGTTTCGAACGTCCAAGGAGGCCATGCACAACTTCGCCGAGGCATTGAAGTCTCTCGAGTGCTAACTTCTCGGAAGAGACAGGGAATGACCAATACGCAGCAAACCATCCTCGGCCAGGTCTCCGGATCCGAGCAGCCGCGCGAGGAAGTTCAGCTGACGGAGTTGACACCCGTCAAGCAGTCCAGGATCAAGGAAAATTCAAATGACAAGGATGACCATACTACTGATGGACTCAAGGCGCTCAGAAGCTTGTCCCAGGATGGGGTCGACGAGTTCGTCGAAGGGAAGAATTTCGAGTTTTCATCCAAGATCGACGCCATCGAGGAAATCGATACTGATTATGCGGACAGACCGATTGCTACTGGCACCAGGAAGAGGAGGACCCAGGGCAGGAGGTGCTGCAGGGCTAAGGAAGATCCTCTTCAGGAAAGTATAGGTGCGAGGGACAAGAGCAGCAAGATCAGCAACGAGGCACAAACAGATGCGCGAAATAGTGCCAGAGTTAATAAGAAGCTGAATCATTTGCGAAATGCCGAAAATAAGAAATCCGCAAAATCCGATGTAAACAATGCGACAGCCGAGGACTCCGTTCGAGAAAAAAGATACGTCCTCCGCACGAAGTTCCAATCACTGAGAAACTCCAAACAGAAGAAACAAGCGGGCAGCATAAAAAATGTCAACAGAAAAAGTAACAATAAGTCAGCAAGTAGCAATTCCGTGGACGAAGTCTTCGAAGATGGTCTAGACCCAGCGGGCCAGGATGAGGATGAGACAGTGGAGAGCGAAACCCAGTCTCAGTCAGAAGAGGAGAAGAGTCTTACAGAGGAGAATCTAAGACGAAAGATAGACGCCATCATCCAAGCTAATTACCTTCTAGAACAAGAGAACAACAACGTGATGCAACACGACCACAACAAGCTGGACGACGAGACTCAAAATTGCAGCAGCAACGAGTACACCGGTGAAAAGAGATCGGACCAGGAGGAGGACGGTACCCTTAAGAAGTATTGTTGCGTAATATGCAATGCGAGGTTCAAGGGCAGCGGTGGACTCAGGAATCATTACAAGGTGGTCCACGCGGCTGGACCCATATTCACGTGCAACGAGTGCGGCAAGGAGTTCCCGCTGAAGGAGCGCCTGAAGCTCCACGTGAGAACCCACACAGGATTCAAGCCCTACAAATGTCCGGAGTGCGACAAGACCTTCGCCAGGGGAGGTCAGCTGGTGCAGCACAGGAGAACTCACAGTCAGGTAAAGCCCTACCGTTGTGTCCTGTGCTCGGGTACCTTCACCTGCGCCGCCAATCTGGCGCTCCACGTGAAACGTCACAACGGCCAGAAGGATCACAAGTGCGAGATATGCGGCCGAGGATTCGTGCGTCGCGACGCTCTTAAGAAACATCTCGAGTGCTTGCATCGCGACGTCAAGTCTTTCTTGTGCGTGATATGTAACAAGACCTTCAAGGGTCACCTGCCCCAGCACATGAGGACCCACGCCCAGGACAGACCCCACGGCTGTGCCACCTGCGGGCAACGCTTCGCACAGAAATCCCAGCTGACCGTTCATCAGCGTACTCATTCCGGTCAGAGACCATTCCGTTGTCTAGTTTGTTGGCAGGCCTTCGCACACTCCACCGCGCTGAAGTTGCACACGAGACGGCACACCGGTGAGAGGCCCTTCAAGTGCGCCGAGTGCAACGCTGGTTTCACGCAGTTGCCGCACTGGAAGAAGCACATGAAGTGTATACACGGTAGGAGCGAGCCCTACTCCTGTAAAAATTGCAACAGCTTCTTCCGGATCAAGAACGACCTTGAGACCCACGAGAAGACGTGCCTGGCCGACGTCACCCTGGGATCGGAATCGAATGACGCCACCGACAAAGTAAGTAGCCTACCTAGGTACAGGGTGATGACCGTGGAGAAGATGCGTCTGCTCCTGGCAGTCCTCCTCAAGAGAATATCCAAACCGGAGAGACTGGACGAGCTTGGGTTCGGCAAGAGGCTGATAGACGAGGTACTCGAGGACTCTCTGGTTTCCGCTGGGAAGGATCCTGTCAGGGCCGATGGTCTCAGTGAAGTAGATGCTCTTCGTAAGAACCTGGCGACCTTCCTCGAGTGGACCGTGCCCAAGGAACACTGGGAAAACTTTCAGAAGATGAACAAGACACCGGAGGAAATTCTTGAGACATTGACGGCGACCTAATTATCTTAAATTCTTCATAAGGATAGTACACTAGGTGGTTCACGCCTACCACGTCAGGAACGTTTCCTAGTGCCATGTGTCAGTGTCCTTGCCATGCTATATTAACGAATGAGTCTATACTTGTGCTGCAACGTCATTCGTCTTACCAAAAAAAGATTAAGTCAAAGAAACTAAGGACACTTTATATCGTAGAAAAAAGAGAATAGAAAAAGAGAACAATCTTGCTCTCATGATTTTAGTGACATTTTTGTCCGATGATTCCTTAAAGCTTTAGCTAAATCACTTGCCATAATTTCAATTATATATAGCGTACGTTAGTTATCATTAAAGACACGTGCATACTTCTATCGTTACTGATCAAGTTCATTTGAACCGTAGTTTTAACGATCTCACCGATCACCAAAAAATTTATTATTTAGACTGTAGATAACTGTGAGGAATCGAGGTTATCTCGTTCTGGATAATCTTCTGCAGCGCATATATTATATATTTTAAATAGGCATATATATATATTATATGAGATTCTGTTATGTGTTCACGAGCTGTCGGGAGAGTGGAGAGGGACGTGCTCGATTTTTGTATTATGTGAAAAGTTCGGTGCGTGGCCTCCAAGCTATGTCCCCGTGCTTCTAGCATATATTATCATAGATATACATAAATGCATAGCTCCGTAGACGTAAATGCTCGTGCGTGCACGAAGGGCAATGATAATATATGGTTCCGTTAGTTAGATAGGTGTAAGTAAATGTGACCAGACAATAACGAGGTTCAACAAGATTAATATATTGCTATAGAATGTATATTATAGATTTGCTCTAATGTTAATGCGATCGATTGAGAATAATGTTTTCATAGAAATCAATCGACACAGGACTGCCTGCTACTTTCGTTTTGCTTTTCTCGATCTCTTTCTCCCTCGAGAAAGAATTTTTGGCTTTACTCAAAGTTCAAAGTAAAATTTATGCCGTACTCTTTTTTTTTTTTTTTTCATTCTCTTGGGTTACTTAGAATTGTCTGTCCTTGTACATTGGTGCTTGTGTCCATCGATCGAGTCTTTCCTATGGACGAGACGATCGAAATTATATTTTTTGGGAAATTTTCCTTGCCAATTGGCTTAGCGATTTAATTTAAAAGAAATAAGTTTGAACGGTGCTTTGAGAAATTTTTGTTTAGTATGAAAAAACAATTTTGCTCGTGGAATCGTTATGTTGATTTTACAGAGGTTTGTCATTTCTGATAGAATTTCGGGACTATTCGGTTTCCTCATTTTGGAAAGCCACTATCGAATCCAAAGACTTAGTTGACTCAGTTGCCAAAAAGAAATGTAACTTATATGGCCGTTAGTTTAGACTTAGTTTTTAATTTTGGGATGATTTACGTTTGTTACAAATTTTATTATACACATATAGTATATATATATATTATATATTAAAAAATGAGAAGGCGCAAAAAGGGATTTAAATAGAGAGGGAACGAATGGTTTGACTATGCGAGTATAAAAGAAAGAAAAAAGAAATGCGCGGTTACTCATCGCTTTTATTTTAGATTTATTCCAGGAGATCGACATCTACACGCTTCGGCTTAGCTTACCTATGTAAAGTAGGGTCGTAGTGCATTGAATAAACTATCGAGGTCGCACTCCGTCCGTTTAACTTATTAATAGAGTCTGCAGGTTCTTTGAAAAAGTTTAGAAAAATTCAAGCGAGCATTGAACGACGGACATACAAAAAGAAATAGTAAAATTTATTGTTCCAAAGGAAACTTTACGTTATTGGTGCCAAAAAAAGAATTCGTACTCGAGCCATTTAATTTCTAAGATAACCGCTGCTGTTATAATTTTTTTTTGTTATTTTTTCCTTTGTTTTCCCGAACAATATTACCATTTATTGTTCGTCCCATTAGTGCCATAAGTAATGCCAGTAGTACGCCATTGTTGCACACGTCGCTATACTGGTATGTCGATTAACGCGTAGCGTCTCTTTGTTTTTGTATTTGTTACCAATAAGCGCTGGATTGATTTAGAATTAAGGGTGGTACACGAATATTGAAGTTGAATAAGGAGATATGACGCGGCTGAGGAAATTGTCGAAAAAATGTGGTTGATAATAATTAGATGTAAGTTAACAATGGTACTAGATAAATGTCTTGTTGTACAATCATGAATATCGGCTGGGATTTAACCAAAGAATCGAGTCATGGGATATCTTTTGTTTTATCCAATGACTCACAGACTCTTCCATGGCTGATTCATGATTTGTCGACCGGATGATGTTTTCGTGTACCCCATACGATTGATATTCAAAATACATATTGTCTATACATACTAAGCCAAGGCTGCTTCTTTGCTATCTATTTATTATCTGATTTTAATATCCTTCCGATATTTCTTTTATTAATCAAACAAGCAGTAACAAAATATGAGTATAGGGTAATACATTTCGTGTAGCGATTATAAAGTAAACAACGTTAAAATTAAAAGGGGGGTATATCACACTTTTACTTACGTTATGTTAATTGAGAATTTTATCATACTTTGTTGCTGTTATTGGTTATTCGTATTTCCAAGATAACGTGAATTTCTGGTGTAAGTCCCACGACAAATCCTGCACCTTCAGATACTGTAAAATATAAGAAATATTGTTTTTGTTAGTTTATTAATTTTTTCAATATATTGATTAATCGAAGATTTACCGATTTATCTGGATCGTAATTAAAATTGATCTTCTTGTCATTAATGAAGACGCGTGAGACTGTTCGCGTAATGCCCAGTATGCGAACTTTGCCAAGAATCATTTTTTCATTAAACTTAACAAATTTCTTATTACAATTGGGCTTCTCGACAATATCACTAGAGAGATTTTCCTCTTTTACTGTAAAGTTCAACCACTGAAAGTTGCAAGTGGTGTCGAGACTGTCTCCATCGTCCCAGTAAAGTTCTCCGTTAGCTTCGCCAAACTGATCTAATGCTATCAGCAATTCAAAGTCACTCTTTCTACTTTCTGTTGTGGTCGACTTAGGTTCCTGAGCTGGCAGAATGTAGCCTCCACGAATGAGTAGAGGTATCGTATCCAGAGGTGCATCCAGCATAAAGTATTTTCCGGTAGAAAATACAAATAGTTTCGAGTACAGATCATACCACAGACCACGAGGAAGATAAGCCTTTACTGAAGTGTCACCCTGAAGATGTAAAGCAAAATTTTAAATCTGCACAACATACAATTTGAATTCTAGAAAAATATAAATATGAGCGTACTTCTTGGAGAACTGGCACAATCATAAAGGAGCTTCCCCATAGGAATTGAGTATCAATAACGTATGTGGTGACATCCTGTGGAAATCTGAAATAGAATAAACACTATTAGCTGAACTGTATAACTCGGTTTAATAGCAAGAAGTAATTGTTTAACATACTCAAAGAATAATGGACGAGCAACAGTTTCACCAAAACGATGAGCTCGATAAAATAATGTATAAAGGTAAGGAAGTAGCCAATATCGAATCGTCAAAGCTTTCTTGGAAGATCGAACAACAAGATCTCCCATAGCCACTGGATCTTGTTCCTGAATAGCACAAATAAATGTCAAAATAGATCATTAGGTTATTGATCGATAAGTTATTAATTCTCATACTAACTGTGGTATCGTCCGAATTGTGATTACGTGAGAATGGATAGAAAGCTCCTAACTGCATCCACCGATTGCACAACGTTTCTGTCGTATTTCCATCAAATCCACAAATATCAGCACCCACCATTGGTACTTGAAAGAAACTAAAGGCTAAGATCTCTGGGATACTCATTCTCAAATCGTGCCTAAATGATATATGTGAATTTATGATTAAATTTTACACATAAGAATATTACAACAGAATCCGAAGGTGCTAAATTTTCTACCCCTACCATGAAGAGTATATATCTCCAGTCCAGTGACCTGCATACGCACCATGTCCCACCCAGGTCGATCTTGATATTATAAAAGGTCTTTTGTTTCTAAGAGATTTCAGGACGCTGTTGAATATTTTTAAAAATTACGTACTTTGTTAATTATCAATATGATATAATGATGATTGGATAAACTATTTTAACTTACTGATTAGTAGTAATGGCTTGACTGGTACCATATGTATTATGAAGATTGTAATGCGTACTGAGAGAATGCTGAGCGTTCATACAAACTGTTTTAGTTGCAAGCAAACCGCTAACAACATTCGGTACATATGGAGGATAATCAAGCTTATTTTGGGTACATCCATTTATATGACCATTATAAAAGTTTGATGGTTCATTCATATCCTGTTAGTGAGATTTTAAGAAATCAATGCTAATTTTCATATTTTAATGTTACTATCGAATACTCACTATCCAAGCACCATCGAATGCTACATCTTTGTGTAATAAATTCATCATTTTTGTGTAATAATCTTTTATATTCTTGTGTGTAAAATCTGGCCATACCGTGGAGACACGATTCCAGACTTTTCCTACGAATGGCTGATTTGTCTCGGAATCTTTGATAAATATATCCATGCGTAAACCTTCATCATAAGGTGGATAAGTGCCATTAACTTCACCAGCAGAAATTCCTGCGTCTATCAATGGAATGTAATGCATTCCAAGCTGTAGAATTAATTATAATATCAGATTCGTTGACATTTTTTTATTCAATTTAAAGACAGTAATGAACTGACTGTGTGAAGCTCATCGATGAATTTTGGAAGATCTTTAAAATTGTCCTCGCTGTATGTAAAGTCATTGTTGTTGCTCATGTAATCCAGATCGTTCCATTGAGTATCCTAGATCGTAATGATGAATGTTAGTAAATGGTTGATTAATAATAATATCAGAAGGTATTGAAATCATTACAAGTGGAATTCCTGCAGTGCGTGTTCTGTTCCATACTTCCTTGGTTTTTTCCAAACTTCCGTAACCAAATCTAAAATTCGTGCGTCGAATTATCTGCTGCTATTTTTATTAAAAAAATTTAGTTACCTGCATAAGTGAAACCCAAGGGACCAGTAAGGTGGCATAAATGGTTTTCCAACTACTTCAGAGTATTGTTTAAGAACATCCGCAGGCGTTGGTCCCAAAAAGAAGTACATATCAAAGATACCACCGATAGACCGGAACGTGATCGCTGGTGTTGGTTGTAGAATTACGTCTAATTCAGTTGAAAATTACTTAGTGAAAAATAAACTAGTCTGCTGCATTGATTATCGATTATTACTCGTATATTATTTTACCCATAGCATTGCTGTTAAGGAAGAGAACTCCATGACAGTTACCAGAAGCCTCAATTATTAGATAAAACGGATGAGAACCGTACAAACTTGCCTGAATAATCAAAGATTATTATAATATATACATTATATACTTCACGAAATTTTATGAACTTGCTATTTACCCCTTCTGTAGGTGGCTGATCTTTATTGAAAAATGTGTATGATTGCCAATTAGTATTTAATTTCAGATGCTCTCTATGTTCGCCGAGGCCATATATATTGTGCGATGGTAGTAAAGCGTTTATTTGCAAAAACTGATCAGCAAATATCAATCCACCCATTCCAATCGAGTCGAATCTATAGGACAAAGTTTATACAAGAGTTTATAATAATGTAAGAAACGTATGGCATAAATCATTAAGTCTTACAATGGAGTCTTGTCGGATGATCTGCTAATCATGAAGCCAGTTTTGTTTGGATCCACTCTAAATTCGTACTTTTCATTAGTATTTTTGGTGCCATATAAATATCTATCATTTCTAAGTGGCCAAGGTGGTTCGTATCGGTGGTTAGAGCGATCAGTCATCTAAAATTACAGTTTGAAATTAGTTGTATGAAACAGAGTTATAATAGGATTCCATACGAATTTGTAAATTAATGTTCAATTTTACCTTGACACGGAGAATAGAATTGTCAATACTAATAGATTCCAGTTGGATAGTTTTAATATCATTCTTATAGAAAGAAGGAGTTGAACGGCTTAAGAACCCAAGAAAATTGTTACCATCTTGATTATATTTATCGTATTTGTATCCAGGCCATTCTGATGGATAATAGCAATATGGAATATTTAGAGGTATTCTTGATGTATTTGAAATATCATTGCTTATCGGAGTCCAGCAACAATTACGATCTGCACATGATAATTCTGAGGCTCCATCCTCTGGATGACAATCGAATCTTAGATCAGGTTGAATATTTTGACAGTGTAGATTTTTATTAATATTGTTTATCATTTTTATGTCTGATATTGGATCATTTTTGCAAACAGATTTGAGCACAAGGTTATCGATCACCTCATCTATCTTTGAATGTGCAATATTCTCTACGTTTTGATCTTGTAAAGAATTCCAACAGAAATTGTTGAACGAATCAACTCTCTTCACTAAACTGGGCAAATAAATTGCAAAGGATGTTAGTATCTGTAGCATTGAGATTGTTGAATCCAACATTTTTTTATTTTGCTCTATTAACATTGATTCCTCGTGAGTATAATATTTTAGTTTAAAAATGATATATATAGAAATTGAAATCTGAAGGCACGCAGTAATCAGCAGTACTAAGAAAAATGTGCCGAGACCCCAAGTTTCCTTAGCCGCTAGAACATCTTTTTTCCTGGTAGAAATTCCTTTCTTATTGTCTTCCAACAGTTTCCTAGGCTCAGTTAAATTATAAGAACTGAGTAGCGTGACATTGTCAATACTTTTGACAGTAGTGTCAGAAAGACTCCTCTTTTTGAAAATCATCCCAAAGCCTTTATACTTAAATGGTCTAAAAAAAGTTTCTTTTATGTAACTTCATTAGAGGTACAGATAATTAAATAATACAAAAATTACCTTGAAATATGCCTTATTAGTAAAGTTCCTCGAAACTGGTTGTTCAACTAAAATTTTGCATTGTCAAGTACTGAACCGGCAAACACTAGTCTACACACAGAACTGCTGTTAACTGCACATAACCTGGACTGTCTCTGGTTGAGATATTCGATAAGTATGTATATATATGTATTTCTACTGCGTATAAAACTTTAACAGATATATATATATATATAGTACAGATGTGGACTGGTAAGTTGCTATCAAAACTACACTGTTCTTTTTCAGCAATACCCCTTCAAATATTTAAACGATAAGATTTGAGTCCGGCACCAAATATAGTATCCAAGTGCATTTCTTTTTCCAGACAGCGGTAGTCATCCAACAAAAGGCCAAAGCGCAACGTAAAATACTTAATATTTAGTGAGGATTTATTATCTACCAAATGTATATTAATTAGACTGGATTGTTACATTAAAATGAAACAGAAAAAAAGTAAAACAAAATTTAATTCTCCAAAACAGTATATAATTACATATCACGGGTGCTGAATAAATGTACAGGTGGAATTATGAAGATAAATTACTTGCAATAAACGTTGGTAGAGTTGCGATTACCTCAGTGTGCATCTATTGGAATATTTTCTTTATCTTCTTCACACTTTTGTACAATTCCTGAAAAGCAAAGATAATTATATTAATAATACGTTTTTCATCAGAAAATACACCTTGATGAAGCGTAAGTATATCGTTTTTTTTCTTACGTTTCATTATCGTTTGTAATGCAGTAATTGCAGGTGAATCTGGTAGTTCTGTTAAGAAATTTTTTCCCTCGTCACAACATCTTGCCAAAAGTGGATCTAGCGGCATTGAGCCCAAAAATTCAATATTTAAGTCTTGGGCCATTTTTTTACCACCGCCCGTGGATGCAGGAAATATTTCAGCTGAATTCTATAGAGACAAAATAAATGATTATGATGCTGTGATACAGAAAAATAATGTTGTAAACATAAATAGTAAACTTGCCTTGCATTTTGGACACACGAAAATGCTCATATTTTCGAGAACGCCTAAAATTGGAATATTCACTTTTTTGCAAAAATCAATTTCCTTCCGAACGTCAAGCAGTGCTACTTCCTGTGGCGTTGTGACTATAATTGCGCCGGTTATGCCTGCGCCCTGTAGATAGGAGGCAGCAGATAAATGCTCATCCGAAGTACCAGGCGGTGTATCCAGAATCAAATAATCTAAATTCCCCCAATCAACTTCAGACAGGAACTGTCGTATCATTCCTAAGCATGAAAATATGAAATATAATTATTAGATGTTCTAAGAGTATTAATAAAATTATCGAATTGGTAACTACCGTTTTTCTTGGGTCCTCTCCATATTACAGCATCACTGGGACTACCCAAAAGGAAGCCAATGGACATTAAAGACAAATTGTCTTCAATGTACTAAAATGATATAAAACCTGTAACATCAAATCAAATCCTAATCCTGATATAGCTCTTGCTTACTTACAACAGGGGACCATCCTGAAGCACTCTGATGAACTTGTTCCCCAAGTACTCCAAGTACTCTAGGCTGAGAGGGTCCACAGATATCTATATCTAATACAGCAACCTGTATAATTAATTGTATATGATCTTTTGGAGTAAACTGTTCTTATAATATAAGTTTGATAATTTGGATGAATTTGTTTTAATAAAGTACTGTAAGTCAATGTGATTCATATTGCTATAGGATTTATAGCATTGAAACGACATAGTTATTTAAATGCTGATCAATAAGTGCCTGGCACAGAGTGACTCGACACAGATAGCTATAGATGTAGTCAGGGGGTTTGATACCCTAGGTCATTTCCTGAATTGACACTGCCAGTGGCCCTTGACATGCTACCATGTACATTGAAAATCACATAGACGTTCTTGGCTTGGGAAAAAGGGTAAGTTACTTAAAACCACAAATTATTGATAGGTAGCATTGAAAAAGTGTTATTATCGTGTCAATACTAAAATTTTCTTATTGAATGGCATCAGTAGATAATGTTTGCAAATCATTTTTGCCAGTCATTGTTTTATCCAAGTTATTCTTGTAAATAATATTAAAATAATTAGATTTGTATAATATATTGTTCCTTACATTTCTATCAGCATTGTCAGCAGCCAGAGCCCGTGATATCAATGACGTCATAGTACTTTTTCCAACACCACCTTTACCAGACAATACTAATATTTTGTTTTTAACAGCAGATAATTTCTCTTTAACTAACGCTATTCCAGGGTCAGGCTGCTTGGTTGCACCCGATGCACAAATATTTTGATTTGGACATCCAGCACATGCGGAAACTTTGCCTGCATCTTCACTTTGGGTTCCAGGACAATCTGATAAAAGAATTTGTTCACACATTAACTACATTTTTTGCAATGTTACAAAAAGATAAATAAATTACATGGATAACCTAATTGCACGCAATAATGCCAAATCACTAATGGAAGAAAATCAATATTGTTTCCAATATCTATGAAATTAATAATTATCAGAAAACTGCATAAAGACACAATATCTAATGTGCACATTTCATTATACGGATCAGTCTAAATTATACAGGAATTATTTACTTACGCTCTGGAGCATCGTTAGGAACATCAGCCATATTGGACATGTACTCAGCCACACTAGTGTAAGCTCAAAGTCACTCGCGTAGATATTTGATTGAAACAACAGATCACTATCAGTTTATTTCTTGTTTTATTCCCATATTTCAAATGCACTGAAATACCTGTTTCTAATTGTACAACCACTTAAAAGGTATCACTCCTACTTTTCTTAACGACACCATAATTAATGTATATCTTATTAATCAACTTTATTTGCTGCCAAGGACACTGCTCCTTTTTTCATCCATCTCCGAATACGAATATCAAATATTATCGCTTATGGATAAACAATTTATATTATTTGTAACAATATAACATATCTTGTGCAGCAACTTCAGCCTTGGAGCACAGTTGGAGCTTCTATGCCGTGCACACAAGTTTTGGTTCCTATCCGAGCCAGCGATTATCAAAGAACTCATAGACAACAGCCTTGGCGATCTAATATGGGTTACGAGAATATCGAATTGGTTCCATTGTAAGTTTAAAAAAATATTTGATTCATCTAAAAAATGTGTGAAGGATAATTGCCAGATTTTCTCCCAAGTTAATTGTAGTAAAAGAATCGCAGTTCAGTCTATAGTAAAGATGCATAGCTATATTGATTAAACAAACCATATTAGACACAACTGTAGAAAGATTCCCTATAGGTATTCTTGAAATTCCTTCACAATCCTGCCTTCAATAGTTCTCAAGACTGTGTTACAAGAAAAGAGGTTCCTTAAAAATACAAATTTACTTCACTTGTATAAATAAGTTATCTAATTTCTAACAGAAGTAATATTCTATCGCTATAGAGTTTCAATAACGTAATACCAATAATATTGTAGATCTCGAACAAAAGCTATGACGAATTACACTGGGGATCCTATGAGCAACATGACTACTCAGCCTTTGAAGTTTCCAAATTTGGTTACTGGATATGAACGGAATCCTGTACACGCGTCGCAAGCAGCTATGTACACAAGATATACGCCAAATGAATGGTATCAGAAGCAAATAAAGTTTTATAACGAAGCCAATACGAACAGACAATATTCTGAAAGAATAAGAAACGACGCCGTGAAAGTGATGAGGTGTACCGGATCATATTAAATGATACGTAAAAGTCAATAGATTTGTGCTAATATTTTTTCTTTTTCAAATATTTCTCGATATTTCAGAACTGCAGAAGAAAAGATACAATACGGTCAATACGACACGAGTCGTCGACTTGGTGAGAGAATAAGCGACGTGACTTTTTGGAGGAATGAAGTGGCGTCTGAATTGGAAAGATTGATTCAGGAAAGTGAGAGGCTTCAGGATTGCCGAAGTGTTTTGGAAAAAGCCATACAGGATATAGAAGGGCCGTTGCATATTGCTGAAGAATGTCTCTACCATAGAGAATCGAGAAAAGGTGCAGGATGCACGTATATATAGATTAGATTGTTTGTTGAACTTTATCATGGCACCAAATAATTTTAGGTACCGAACTGATTCATGATGATACGGAGAAATCTCTGCTGTGTGAAATAGGAAATTTGCGGAACAATGAAAAGAAGTTGGAGGCTTGCCTCGATAAGTGTAAAGATCAGGTACTGATTTCCGGTTTAATGATTGCTGAGTTTTGTATGGTACAAACATTTTATTCCAGCTCCGCAACTGCAGGGCAGTGCAAAATCAGTTGGAACTAGATATGAAAAATAAAGAAGGTGCCTTGGGTATAGATATGCTGTGTCATCAATTGAATAATCATAGTCAAGGATTACAGTATTATGCTGGAATTGAAAAATTTGATCCATGGTACGTATTGCATGTAAATATTCAGAGTCAATTGATGAGATTGCGTGACGCAGTGTGTCGGAACAAGAAACCTGGGCAGAAGCGGCCAATAGAATCGTTCAAAAATCACAAACGGAAAGAACCAAGTCTTGTCAGTTGCGCACAGATGCGGAAGCGCTAATAAATCGTGTAGCCCAAGAAATATGGGATGCCTGGACCAATACGAACAACGCAGTAAGTCGTAGATGCTCCGAACTGCTAGAAGCCAAGAGTAAACTTCAGCAGCACCTTCATAAGATTCAACAAGAGATTTTTGACGTGGAGAAAAATATTGAATTGATGCGGAAAAGCATTGCGGATAAGAGTTACGCGCTCAAGGTTGCTCATACTAGACTTGAGGCCAGAATGCATCGTCCTGAACTTGAATTGTGTCGCGATTATGCGCACATGAGGTAGTTGTCGCAAAGTAGATAATTTTGAAAGATGATATTCCATGAATTTGTTTCTTACAGCTTGCAGAAAGAAATAGATGACATAAATCAACAGGTGGAACGAATGCATAAGATGTTGAAGGAGCTTGAAAATCAACATCAGAGATTGTTAAGAACACGAAATGAAATGGAACACGATATGGCACTTAAAATCGATGCCATGTATATCGATAAAGAAAAAGTTTGCGGATTACGACGAGCTTATCCCATTAACGCGCTCTTTAGATTCTGATGTGTTCGGATGCGCGTTTTAGGAAAGATTAGAAGTAGACGACGTAGTCGGAATGCACTCCTAGAGTGATTTAGGTCATGTGACATTTCGATGAAAATTCGCTGAAAGTTTGTCAAATATTTATTGCTCTGTACAATTATAATAAACTTTAAAACAAAGTTACGTTTTTTTTTTTATAATTACACTACAAGTGACTCTTAATAAAACTTGGTATAGGTAGTTTTAGACCATCTTTTGCTTCAAAGAATGTGTAGGAAAGTGTTATTTCATCAACACCCTCCATTTTTGGATCGTCAACAAATTCTGGATCAATGTAGAAGAATACTGGCATATCGACCTTGAAAACAGATTTAAGGTTATTCACTGTTAATCGTAATGACAATTTGCATAATGAATACAATTATACTTTGAATTGTATATAATCAAATGCATATATACATTGTCATCTACAGAGTATTAAGTGTATGTATTTACCTGTTCATGTGGATTCAGTTGTTGTTCTTCGAAGCAGAAGCATTGGATTTTATTGAAATACTGACCAGCATCAAATGGTACCACGTTATAAGTAGACACACCAATGACAGGCTCGTCTGTTGGATTGTAGGCTGTATAAAATGCCAATGCAGTTTCACCAGCCATGACTTTGATCTCTAACTGTTGAGGTTTAAAATTCCAACGCATTGCTGCAGCAACATCTGCATTAAATTTAATTTTTATTATTCTGTCTTTGACAGGTTTCATCGTTTCCACTGTATCGCTGCCATGACCTACGGTCCCACCATAGCTGTATGACTATAACACACAGAACAATAATCTCTAAAACAGCACATTAAAATATAGCAGATACACTATGATAACTATTGATTCTTATTGAAATTACCTGACAAAATATTCTGTAAAGTGGAACTGCTGCATAACTCAAACCAACAGTGAGAACCCCTGCAGCCACAACATAATTCACAGTGGACCATAATCTCTTTTTATGTAGAACATTTTCGTTACGACACTCTTTGAATAAAGTCTTTCTGACACTAGTAGATATGTGTCTCGTGTAGCCTTTTGCTAAGTACTGACACGTTTTAAAATACATTTTCTTTTAAAGATCGCGATTCTAAATAACCATAACCATAACCACGTAACCCAATATCATGCAAATTATATCATGGTATTTAGTTTTGTTCGCGACTACATTTATATTGGCTTGAGGAAATCAATTATACAGAAGCCATTTCTATTTATTACAGTTTAAATCAATATGCAATGTTACAATTATTCACGATTGGCGGTCCATGCAACATACCGCACAGCTGGCAATATTAGCTGGAAGCCATATTGGCTGTTGTCATGTAAGATACATTGCTGTCTCTGCTGTTCTTGGCGCAACGTTGGAATTACATACATATATGCAGGAAAAAAAAGGGTAGAAAATTCATCTCAATTTGTCTTTTATTAAATACATTGAATTCTGTACATTGTTTGGTAAATGCAACAAACAGATGCGATAATAAGTCTTGTAGATCAAACTGTGGTTTATTTTTGCTCCAGAATTTATTCACTTTCTATCAAACTTTCTTAACAATATCGAAAATATAATACGTGCATTCACATCCATGTACTATTTATTAATTAAAGAAAACGCGGTGCATCACTTAATAAAAAATCCGCCGCGTTTTCGCATTGTTTCGTAACTTTTCTGTTTCTTTAATTTTCATTAACGATTTGCTATTTGAGCATATACAGTGACATTTCATGAAGTTCTCCACTTTTGCTCTTTACATTCCTCCTATTCTCTCTCTCGCTGTCTCTTATCCTCTCTTAACTTCTTTTGAAAAACTATAATACTTGTGTTTCCTAAAACGTAAGGACTAGAGATGTCGTTTGGCACAATCAAGAGGTATATGCAATTGTGGTCTCTATTGTTATTTATCAGAAGTTCAAAATTGAGCCTTTGAGTAAATTCTTAGTATTATATAAAGCACCAGCTTGAAAAATCACGAGGTTGAAGTTTTAGTTTCCTCTGTCGATCTCACCTGAATTTATAAAATATACACATTCTTGAAATTATAAAAAAACTTATTGGTAAATTATAAAATATTCGTTTAAATATTTTACGGCACAGGTTACCATACGTTCCTGACCGCATAAAGACGTTCTGAAAGTCTCTTCGTTTTGTATTTGCAACAATTATAAGAAATTTAACGGATGTCGACGTCGTGTTTCTAAAGTTAGCATAGAAACGTCTTTAACGCGTCACGTTTTTTGTATCATTAGAAAGACATCTTCAGGACATCTTATTCACTCGTACACTATCAGGCAGCTTAGCCTATTTAATACTTTTGGCACAAACTCGACTGTAACATTTATCACGAACACCGAAAATACATCAAATTTTATATTTTAAAAATTCTACATTTCTTTTTTTTTCACTTTAATTTAGCTTCATTGGCCGGAACTTGGAGTCGCCGTTAGTCCAATTTCAAAAAGTCACCTTAAGTACGTATTCCAAATATAAAGAAAAACGTCAAGATACACTTTCACTTTGCAGAAACCTATTTCAATTATCTCATTTGTACCGAAGTCAACAAATATATAAATAAATATAGTGAAAAATAAATAAAAATTTACGAAATGGTAGGCCCTAATTTCGCGACTCAAAAGAGCAGTTTGCATAGAGATGCGTTCTTTGGTGGTCCCGTAGGTGATGACGATGCTTGAATCTTTTCTTGCAACTCGCACATTGAAAACGTGGTCCGACGCCGCATTCTAGTCGCAAATGCCGCGTCAGGTTGCACTTATGCGAATAGGTCCGGCCGCATTTCGGGCATAAAAATGGTGGTCCGTCCTCCAAATCTTTATGTCTTTTCCACACTGAAACAGTAAGTCGATCGTGAAATCGAAGCTGTGGAAAGGAAAGCAAATGCAGAAGATCGAACAGCCAAAAAAAAAAAAAGAATTATACATCAAGTCATGCTGCGACATAATTTCGACAGGTAATCGTGAATTAAAGAAAAAGAAAAAAAAATATTTACGAATATCGATTCCTGGATACGCAACTTTATATATGTACGTTTACGATCTTTGACTACCGTGGTTGAACTGTTTATGAACTCACGCGTTTCTAATGGCGCATTTTCATATTCCACTGAAAAATCACACGCAAATCAGTGGAATTAACGTGTATAAAAGATATATTTATTTCAGCCTATTTTTTGTACAATATATTATATATGTATATATATATTTATATAATGATCTATGTATATAATATAACTAGGCAGCCCTGAATATAGACATCTATACGCTCGTGGTATACGTTTCCTGTTCTTGATTTCATATTGTGAATATTTCCACTGATAAAAATCCTTTCGATTTTTCCACCTTGATTAAAGAAAAATATTTTCAACGTCCACTCCGATACGTATAAATGTGTACCTGGCAGTACGTCTCGAATCACAGTTAGTCGGTGAGTCTAATTTTTTGAAAAATGTTTGAACAAAAAATTTGCAAAAAACGAAAGTCAAAATTTACGTTTTTTTTTCTTCTTAAACTTACATCTAAATGCTCTAAGTATTTTTTTTTTTCGCTAAATACTTTCTCACAAACGTAGTTCCTAAGAATCGTGTTGACTTGGTATAATAGTATGAGAAATAATAAGCGATACGAAGTATGGAGACTCAAATCGATGAGAATTCTCTTACGTTCGCAAAACTAAAATGGTTTTTTGGTAACAAAAATAATAAACGTTAATTTTCTGTGCCCACTAAATGCGCTCCTAGGAATGAATTATTCATTCTCAAGAAATAACAATAACAATGGCAGTGCTTCAGTCTGTTATCGGTAACTTTAAGTTACGTGTATCAGCCCTCTCGAGAGATCATTAGAATGAAATACTGAAATATATAAAAATCACTAATTACAGTAATTAAGTTACCGCAATGTCCTAACAAAAATTATTTTCATCCTTTCGTCCCAATTTCAGTAGGGAGTTGAGCAATTGAATCTATTGCTATCGTTATCTCTTATATATTCAATTTTCATGAAAATTTTAACAATTCAACGATATATGTAAGTTCTACTGTAATTCCTTTCCAACTTTATTTATTTCCTAAGGAATGTTTACTTGACTATAAAACACATGACTACGGGAAGTCTTACATAGAAGATTTCTTCTGAAATTCTTCTGACCACTTGTTGAAAATTAAAGAGAAAAAAGAAATTTGAAAAAAAAATGATCAAAATTCCCTATACGATAATTTAACGAAACGGCAATCCAGCCCAATACTGTATAGAGTATTTCAAAAGTAATCTGTAATTAACAAAGAGAAAAAAAATAATAACTCAAACTCAAATAAAATATAGCACTTCCACGAATATTTTTCTCTTTGCACTCTTTTTCGAGTGAAACACAAAATAAAAAAATTAAAATCTTCGTTAAATTCATTTGCAAGTAACATCACCAACATTTGAAATTTAATTACGTAACGTCGGCGCAATATCGATTTCCTTGAAATCGACGCTATCAAAAATAAACTGTATAAACTTTTTCATTTTGAAAAAAAAAATAACCCTGCCGATACAATCGTCATAGATAGAAAAAAAAAGAATGAAGTATTCTCTCGCTTCACCATACCAGAAGTACCAGTACTTCAAGGTTTTTGATGAGTACGCATATGAAGGACTAAATTGTGCTTGTGCTTTGACTTTTTGTGACAGATTGGACATTCAAATTGCGGCTCGACTCCGCACTCGAATCGAATATGCCTGTTAAGAGAGTGCGGCCTTGCATATGCATTGCCACACCTAGGGCACGAGTACCCGGTGACGTCACGTCCAGTCAAGTGCGCGAAACCAGGACCAGGACTACCACGATCAGGAACACAAGTCATCGCAGCGGTCATTTCCAACGGTTGAATTTTATCCGCAGCTTCTGGATACAAGCTTCTGTATGACCTCCTGATATCTTCTTCCCTGGCCAAATCGGCCATCTTGTTTTCGGCTAGGAGACGTAAGTACAGGCTCTGATATTGGTAGTACCACTCGATGGCCGTCCCTGAGGTATACTGGTGCTCTAGAAAAAATAGAAACCAACTCGCTTAATGCTTTCTTCTTTTTTTTTTTAAAGACACTTCCGTTCCTGTATTCCTCATTCCTTGTGTGTTATCGTGTCTCTATTATCATCACCGTATTCCAGCTATTAGGACGTCTGGGACATAACGTGTAGGACGCAAACAAAACGACCGATCAAACACGTACCATTCACCACCACAAGCAAAACGTGAAATAATCGGATTTCATAATTTCACGTGAGTTTTCATAATTTTTATTTATTTTTTCAATATTTATTCCTAAATAATATGCAGTGGGAGAGAATATGAAAGAGGAGGATAAAAGTTTTATATTTTTGCGAGATACTAAGTGATTACTTTTTTTTATTGATAACAGACAGGATGCGATTGTGAGTCTGCCGAATCAGCGAGGATGAAGTTCAATCGTGGCGGTAGACATCAAGTTTTTTACATCCATCGCAGAAGTCTGACGCTTTGTAATGTTAAAAGTTTGCAAATTTTAATGACGAATGATGAAATTCAAAATATATCGCATAAAGGTACGATTAAGATAACATTAAATTCAATGATTTCTTTGCCAATTTGTGCTTCCCCTGATAATGCTCATTGAGCTTGTACTGATGATAAAACTTTTTAGGACAGAGCCGGCAGCTGAACTGTTTCTCCTTGTTACCACATTCGGCTCTCTGATGACGCAGAAGACTGTCTCTCCATTTATAGCCCTTTCCGCAACCGGAACAAACATTGGCCGTTTTGTGGTTACCCGCTGGCTCAGGCATTTTCGTAAACTGTCCAGACTTTTGTTTCAAGTGCAACAGGGATTGCGTGGTAACGTTCTCCGACCAGCAGGGACCTTCTGAGGGGACGAAAATTTCTGAAATAGAAATAGAAAATCCTTTAGAGACTGTTCCGAGTAAAATTTTATTCGGGGATATTCGTTGCGTCGTTAATTCGTTTAACGATGACGATTTAGAAACCTACTTCTCTCGTCTCTTACTGATCAATGACTTAATGATAATTCGTACAAGTTCGTAGAAGCATCTACCGAGAACGCATTTCTTCCGCCATTCTCATTTGTTCTTCAAACTTCAAAATAGCTGATCTACCGTAGTCCAACCGTGAATAGAATAACTACCGCATGACGGGGAAGTCTGTTTCGACAAATTGCTTTGCACAACGACGACAATAGTGTCTTCGTTTATCGCAACCAAACTGATGACTTCGATTGGCCGATGTTTTCTTAAATTACTGTTGTGCTTGCAAGTTTTGCCGCAGACTAAACCGTATCGTGCTTTGCTTTTTCTGAAATTGATCGATTTTAATCGAAGCAAAATTCATCGATGAACCGATCATCAGCCAGGACGTCGTTGAGCATAGGAAAGCCTAAAAAAATGGATAATTCAAGATTAAGCACAGTCGACAGAGTGATTTTTTGATTTCAAGGAAAAACAAAGGAAAGATAATAAATTAAAAATAAAGCCTTTCGCACGCGAAGCCATTAAAGCGTATCTTGCCCTCAAAATATTATCTTTTATTATTCAATATAATACAATTGGACTTGATCCTTAAGAGCAACAAAATAAATTTAAGGTCTGTGATGAGCGAAATTGTGATTTCGTAGCTCATATCGATACTTGAACTTCCTGTCGCAGAAGTGACAGGAAAATTTCTTTTCCTTGTTGCCACACTCAACCCTCTGATGTCTCTTGAGACTGTCCTGCCATTTATACTTCTTTCCGCAATTCGTGCAGGTGTACTGTGGCTGGGAAATCGGCACATACGTTTCACCAGCATACACAGCAGTCATGGAGAACAAAGGTCCAGTCTGTCCAAGGGATGATCTTTCTCGTTCCTTCACAGATTTATCGGTGGTTGACAATGCCTTGGACTCCGTGATGTCCCTGGTCTTCCTTTCGAGCATCCAGAGGGCGTCGTACTCTTCCTGTTGTTCGTCAAGCCCTACGAGCGACAAAGGAACGTGAAGTTAGCAGCGGACCAAAGTTCAAATAAGTACAGTATATTTATGGCGAGTCCATTGGCGACATGAAGCTTTCTACAAAGACATTAGCTATAGTGGATTCGGGTTTGTGCACTCAATGAACTGAAGCCATATTGATTTATCGTTGAACGATGCCTTCCGGAGCGGATTTATTCATTGACAATCAGACTTGTTTTTCAAAAGAAGAAGTGTGACATAAGTGTATTGTATTATTTGAAGTATTGTTATTAACGTATACTTGCGTATTATCTATCACTTTTTTTTTTTCATTTTCTATCATTTTCTCTCTCTCTCCGTCCACCTTGCAGAAACACGGTCGCTCGTAGAGTCTCTAAGAGCTCTTGTCATCGGGAATCGAACTGGCACTGTTGTTCCCGCGCGTGTCGGCCGTCTTCTTCGCCGCGGCTGCATGAAGAGACTGATGCTTCCGCATGAGGAATCTGTAGGCGAATCTTCGCTGGCAGATTTTGCACGCGTACTTGCCCTCCTTGTTCTCGCAAACCAGACGCTGATGTCTTCGCAAAGTGTCGAGCCTCTTGTAGCTCTTTCCGCACTGGGTGCAAGGATAACGTTGCTGAAATCCTTCGCACTTCTCCTGCTGATATTGAAAAGAGGCAAGGAGGTCGTCGCACTTCTGCTGATGACGCTTCAAGCTGTCTACGCGGGTGTAGCCTCTGCCGCACCCGGTGCAGATGAACTGTTGATTACTGTTCCTGGAAGGTCTCTGGACGCAAGGCTGATCTGTCGTGTAAATTGTCGAGGGGTTGCATACGATGTAATTGGTCTCCGTATGGAAATTAGTCTCGAACGGTAGAACAGTCTTGTCCTCTTCCTCCTCGTCGGAGACACGGAGTCCGTCATCGTCATCGGGATGACCGGTAGCGTTACCGGAAGTCTCGCCTGAAAGTCATACGCGATTTATTTTTATTCATCTTGGACGAACTCGACAAGAACAATACGGGGGTCGCATGCAGAATTATGCTCGTGATTCGTATATAAATAATATAGTCATGCAGATATGAAGTCGCAATAGAAAGCACGGGTTTGCAGAAGTTTTTAAGAGCAGTAGAAAGACAGAGAGAGAGAGAGACTGGCCTTATTGATCTTATTTATTAACGAAATATATTTCACGCCGAGATATCAAACTTTAGTAATCGGGGATGACGTACACGCTTGATTGTCTTACAGATGTGATTTTTATTCGAAATTTTTTAACATGGTGAAACAAAATTAATCTTTCGATATCTATAGGTCTTTTAATGATACAGTGTACCGTTAAGATCGTATTCTTCGACATAATGCATATCAATCCCATTAGTAATATCGATGCGTATCGCAAGCGTATTTTTATAATCTAAAGTTGTACGAGCTTTCGTTCTCAAACTAGATAGGAGTAACCAGGTAGTACTTGGCAAAGACGTCGAGGTTCGTTATGTTATGAGGGGCCGAAATAATATGAAAATCAAAAGGATAGGGGATGAATTAAAAAAATAATAATAAAAGTAAAAAAAAAGGATCACTGCGATACGACGTATTTTGCCATAATTTTCACGTTTCTTGAATCAATTGGTACTGTTCATATTCATATGAGGTACATAGGAGGTGTGAGCAACTTTCATGTGTTTAATTAGAATGTTTATCTTTGAAAACTTTTTTCCGCAATACTGGCAGACAATACGGTCCTCCTTGACGCCGCAATAATATTTTTCGTGACGCTTCAGACTATCCATACGTGAGAAGGACTTTCCGCACTCGTTACAGACTATTACGCGACCTTTGCTCTCATTTTTCAACTGACTCTGTTGCATCTCGGTATCCACCGGTAATGACGTCGAAGACAGGAAGTGGTCTGTCTCGATTTTCAGAAAATCCTCGGGTATCAGATCCTCGTTTCCCGACTTGCTCCAAATGTTGTCCAGGAACAGTGCTGCCAAAGAGAAAAAAAAACAAGACCACGTTAGGGTTATCGTCATGACGTTAGTTCGATTTTCGGGCACAGGAGGGGAAAATTAAAAAAAATTTTAAAAAGCGTGTGACACGACAGGAATAAGGATTACGGAAAAAGACGTAGCGCATGCATTTATGACAAGCGAGTTATTCGATGAGATTCATTATGTATAGCAACGATACGATGAGATTTTTAGAGTAAAAAATTCTTTTTTTCATTTTTTTAAAAATAATAAACAGTAATGGGTATGCTTAATATTTAGTTTAATTATGGGGAAATTGTAAGATCCGTGTGGCGTTATCCTTTTAAAAACGTCCGTGTGACAAGTGGAAAATTTGATTTTTTATATATATATATGTATACCTTTTTTTCTTTTTTTTGAAAATATTGGGTAACATTAAAATCTATCTACTCGTGCTTCTGCAGAATGTGATCGCGCAGACGGTATCTTCTGTAGAATTTTTGACCGCAAAAGTCACACGAATGCTTCCCTTCCTTTTCGCCGCATTGGGATATCTGATGACGTCGCAGACTGTTTATCCACGTGTAGCCACGTCCGCACTCGCCACACACGTACTGTTGTTTCTGCGCTCTATTTGGCATCACTGCTAACGATTTAGTGTCGATTATCGTAGGCATCCATTTTAATTCGTTATGGGTTTCTTCGAGTTGCCACAGGATATCTGAAAGGAAGAATTACTTCAGTATCTGTTCCAAAGCTCATTGATTGGCTAGGCTCGATAATGGATCAATGAAATATCATCGGTAGATTATATAATCTTGTGATACGTAACTTTATTGAGGAAAATAAAATAATAGTAATTTTAATAAGGGAAAAACAAACGAAAACTTCACGTACGAACATTAATTAAGGGTGGGGGGGGGGGGG